CCTGGTTTCGTCAATTACTGGTACAAGGACGGTATCCCCCCAGCAAGTACCAAGTCTGGCTTTTATTCACATAAAATATTGACAGTACACAGTATCATTGTAAAGAACGCACTCATTTTAATGCATAAATTGAAAAACTTTCCTAATCTAGTACCATTGTCTCTCAAGAAAACAATTCCCAAAAGTGCACCATTATTTAATACTAACCTGGATTCTATTCTCACTACACAATGGTCAGAAAAGTATGGTCAACACCCTTACAACAACTCAGTATTTTTTAAAGGTCCATTATTAGCAATAAACCGATATAATGTTGCAGCAACTTCCCCGCCTAGTCTATTTAACCTGAACATTTACAAAACTTGTATAAAAACTATGCTCATCGATCAGCAAAATGAAAACATCGAAGACGATTGGCCTAATTTCATGTTATATGTATAACAGGACTAAGAAAATCAAAGCGTAACATAAACCAAAATGCCGATAATAACCTTGTCTCTACATCTTAGATTACATGCACACACTTATGCATCACTCAATAAACGTCGCATATCTCATCAATTACACTGCCAACATAGGACATTATTTTTTATCGCCGCGATTTCAAATCAAGTTACAAATTCTACAAATTTTGAAGTGCTCAGTCTTGTTTTACTTTTCTTATCTTTATCTATTAACCATTGGAAAATAAAACTTTAAATTATAAACCTTCATTGCATACTTTACCGGTAGAATCTAAATTGAATAGTTTGAGATTTCCTTTACATTTTATATTTATGCATGTGCCCCACGGGGATGAATTTCTTATTACCATTGATATTATATATATTTTTTGAGTAAACATTGGCTGGTACCACGGGCCAGTCCCCAACCAAAACAAGTTGTCTACACGACTCATTGAAGGTGGAACTGCAATCAAGAATGAGAATCAGCAGGGAAATCGGGACAAATTGAACTCTAGAAATACTCCTCCAACAAGTTCTCTGAGTACAATTAGACTGCCAGTACACGATGGAAAAGGTGATAAGCCTGTGATTGCGAAGAAAGAGACTGTTTTAAACAAACTTTCTACAAGATTCGCCACAGAAGATGGCACTTCCACGCCGAAAAACAAACTTTGTAAGGAGAAATCCGGAAGAAAGGCGCTCGATGCCGAAACGATTAAAGATAGATGCACGGTCAGGACGAATTTTGAAATTGAATTGTGGAAGTGTAACGACATGGTACCTGGCCAGATTATCAAGGCCAAAGCAATTCAACGGGTTTTATTCAGACTTGGGTGTTCTTTAGAGGAAGCTTGCCTACAGAATATATACAATATTTTCGGAGGAAAAAAATCCAGGTGTCCTACGTTATCAATTGTGCGATCCATGGAGCGGGTATTAAGACTAAAATCTAAGAAAAGACGTCGTCGGATGATGAGTATTTTACCTACCCCGGAATGTCAGAATGGAACAAAGAGTACAGATGATGTGGTGCAGAATACTGTGCATCAGCCATGCCCAATAGCTAGAGTGAAACCAATCTTGTCATCGGAAACTATTCAATCTATTCCAAAAATACAAGGAAAGCTGTCTACTAATTATGTCCATGCAAATGTGACAGGGAAGCATTCTTTTGCCTTTATTTCCCACATTGCGGTAATGCTAGAGTTAACTAGATCACTAGGTCTAAGCAATTTGAAAAGTTGTGACGATGAGGAACTTGTGCATAGATCGTTGAATGAAATAAAAAATAATCAGGATTCAAAGAAATATCTAAATGTAATTGATAGCGCGGAAGATATTGAAAATGAAGTCCCTGAAGTCTTAAAGCAGGTAAAGAACCTATTGGGGTGTGTGAAAGTGAAACAACCAGATCGAAGTTCTGTTTCAAAACATAGATGCTCTCATAATCTAAAGAGCCATTTAGCCAGTTATATAATATAATAACATCTATAAACAAAAGAGCACCTAAAGAGGCTCAGCAAAGTGCTGGCCTATTTACGCTTACGAAGACTCATTCGTTCAATATGTCTCAAAGTAAATAAACTCCTCCATCCTACTCTATCTCTTGCTAAGTTCACTAAGTTGGTAAAATCATCTTCATTTTTTAAATAAATTTGTCTCTTAAATAGGTCCTTTTTCACAATAATATCATACAAATTAGTCCTGTGTCTACCCACTCGTCCCTTTAGTGTTTGACATCCTAGTGTAGCAAATAACAGAGACTGGTAGGCAGGTGTGTCGTTGTCACTGCGTAGAACATGACCTAGCATTGCCCACCGTGCCTTTTCCACTCTCTCGTAAAGGGGCCTGGTCTGGGTACGAGCGTAGAGGGCCTTGTTAGATATTGAGCTAGGCCAATATATGTGTAGGATGCGCTTGAGGTGCTTCCTCTGAAGAACATCTACAGACTCTAAAACATGCTGAGGTACGGCCCAGCAGCAGCAGTTGTACAGGAGCACTGATACTACTAGTGAGTCGTAGAGTTTGATCTTTCTCTTCTCAGTTATCTGACTCCTCTCTGATCCCTGGCACCACAGCTTGTCAAATGACCAGAAGGCAGAGTTAGCTTTATTTATTCTATTAGTAACATCCTGCTCTGATCCAAGCTTAGTATCAAGAAGCGTCTCGTTTCTCCACTCCTCTTTTCCTCTTAGTTCATTATCCCACTCGTCACAGGCACCAACTTCTTCTAAATACACTCTGGTAAACTTTGTCTTTGTGTCATTGACAAAGAGACTCCATTCACTGAGAATATTCTTGGAGATCTGAAAGATATCCTGTAACTCCTCCATATCTTCACCAATCTCCTCTAAATCGTCTGAATAGCCGGACTCAAGAGGCATGTGGTTATCGGCTATCGGAGGGTTGGGTCTTGAGGGGAGGACTGCTCTTATGTGCACTACAGCTCCAGCTAGATTGAGGGTAAACAATTTACCAGCTGTGCTGTCTCCTTGGGAGGCTCCTATGTTGAAAGAGAACATCTCTGAGTCAGTAGAACACACTCTGACTACTAGAGTGGTGTTAGCCATGAGGTATTGTACAAGCCTCAGGTCGTCTCTGGAGCATCCTGCAGCTTCTAGTAGTCTGATTGTTGTACCTCTGCGGATGGTATTGAAGGCAGCTGACATGTCGATACTAACTTTGTTCCATTCAAACTCCTTCTTCATTACTACAGATATGAGCATGCTCTGTGCCCAAACTAGGTCGGCACTGCTCCTGCCAGCTTTGTAGGCAGCTTGGAACGGTCCAGTGAAGTTGTCCACAGCTCTCTCTATTCTGTTTAGCACTATCAGTGACAGGATCTTTCTAGAAACATTCAGCAGGGTCAATTGCAATGGTCGTATCGACTTAACTGGGCCACGAGTTTTACCAGGCTTAGCCAGTGGTGTGAGGATGCCTGCTCCTATTGCTTCAATGTGAATGTTTTTCTCGAAAGACTCGTTGAACACATTAGCCAGCTCTTCATGAAGGAGGGGGTTGTTCAGGGCTTTCATGACCTCGCCAGGAACTTTATCAATACCCACTGCTTTACCAGACTTGAGTTTACTGATGGCTCTCTCTATCTCTGCAACGGTGATGGGACTGTTAAGGCTAGATGGGGGGTCAAGGAAGGCAGGAAGGGTAGGCTCATCAGCGTCATTGAACTCAGCTTCAAAGTACTCCTTAATAATCCTCGCTTTCTCCTCATTAGTACCTGCGATATTCCCAGCAGGGTTGTGGACGGTTAGAGCTGGTCTAACATATCCTTTGGCGAGTATCTTAGAGGCTCCAAAGTATCTCCGGGCGTCGTCTGTGTTGTTTACCTCTTCGACGAGTGTGTCAGCACTGCGGTTGTTGATATCTCTGAGTCTCTTTGTAATCTTACGTCTCAGCTGGTTGATGTTGGTCTTGACATGCTTCCTGTTGGTCGGGAATTTGTTCTGCATATTAGCAATCATCAGCTGCTTGCGTTCAAGTGACAGTTCAGCGATCTCAGGATCAGTACTGAAGGATTTGTGCTTTTTTTAGCCAGTTGTTTGGCCATAAGAGGTAGCCTCCCTAGTCTTGGGACATCAGGAATGTCCGAGGAAGAGATTATTGAGGAACATCTATTTTCATTACTGAATAATGATGTATGTCGTGATATAATGAAGATTCCTCAACCGTATGATGTTAATCGTATTACAAGTGAAGTTCTAAAATATATGAACGACGATAAGGACTCGGCTGCACTATAGTGAAAATTATTTTAATGATAGACTTTTATATTCAAGTTAAATGATATAAGTAACTTCAAATTAGAACCTCAAGTTCTTTTATTTACGTTATTACAGTAACACCTGTAAAATTTTTACTTCATTGACACTGTTTTTTAATTTTGTAATATAATATATTGACAAATTGTTTGAGCGATAACTTTTACATTGAAACATCATTAGACGTGACTCTTTTTAACTTTGTAATATAATATCGTGACAAATTGACTCATTGTTTGAGCGATAACTTTTATGAAATATCATTAGACACTATTTTAAATTTTGTAATATAATATCGTGACACAGTGACTCTTTATTCAGTTATTAATTCATTACGATTAGTATCACTAGATTTAATGATATAGATTATCATAGCCCTATTTTCAGTGTTGACACTGTGAATGGAATCTGTTGTTTTTTAAAAATTATTTATGAATCAGCTGTTTATATTTCTATGAATTATAATTTTTTATTGTAATGATCAAATGTATCAATTATTTATCGGTTGTACCTATGTTATATGACTGTTTTACTCTTGTCATGGGCATTCCTATATTCCTACATGTAATGACTAATGAAGTAATGAACAAAAATACCAACGCATGACCTAAAAGTAAACTAGTCTAGAATATTCACTCCATTGCAATGTCAACCCAAATTTGAATTTATGTTAAAAAAGTTAAACTTTCTAAGCCTGAATTTTGAAATTTAACATTAATTAGTTTAACTTTTTTAACTTTTTTTAACGTGGACCCCCCCCTATATTATATCTTTTTAGCCGACACCAACGAAGTTTGCTAAGAATGAAGTGAGAAATACCAAATATAACCTGTTGACATTCATCCCCAAAGTTTTGTGGGAACAGTTCAAGGTAGGTTTTGATTTAATTTAGTTAAATAATTAATTTAAACTTTTTAATTTTTGTATTCTTTGTGCGCTGACAATCACTATTCAAGTACTTAATTTAATTTTCTAACGTATTTTGATGAATTTCTTGTCTTATCTTATCTTATCTTATGAGGATTCGTTGCGACGCAACAAGGCCATCGAATGAGTCGACCACATTTGTTATTTTATTTCGGCATTACCTGCATTACAATGTAAACCAGCACTTTCAAGGAAGAGCTTTACAAGAAGCCGAAGGATCGTTCCTAAGGCCAGCGACGGTTAAGGCACTATGCCACACTTTCTTCGCCCGTGGCTTCGCTGTGTTGATCAAGCACAGCTCCTCATTTAACCCTCACACCCGATTTCTCGAGCATTCGGCTGAGTGAACCGTGGGGCTACATAGACCACTCGGGATCCTTAGCAGAGCGTCAACGACGCTCACCCCACGACTAGGCAGGCAGTGGGATTCGAACTCGCAACCTCACGATTACAAGGCCGATGATTAACCAACTGATTAACCAACTGCGCTACCTGGCCGTTTTTTTCTCTCACCAAACTTACACATTATGATCATGCTATCATGTTGGAAATATTCAGTTTTACTAATTGGTTAATTAATCAAATAACTAATTAATTAACGAATTAACTAATTAACTAACTAACTAACTAACTAACTAATTAACTAACTAATTAATTAACTAATTAACTGATTAATTAACTAACTAATTAATTAACTAATTAACTAATTAACTGATTAATTAACTAACTAATTAATTAACTAATTAATTAACTTACTAATTAACTTACTAATTAACTAACTAATTAACTAATTCCCAGGTGTTTATCAATCTCTACTTCCTGGTAGTGGCAATCACTCAGCTGATCCCCTCACTGCGTGTAACGTATGTTTACACTTCGTGGCTCCCCCTTGGGTTTGTTATCTTTATAACCATGTGCAGAGAAGCGTTCGATGATATCAAGGTAGGTTTAACCTTAAAACACAAGAAAATATCTTGAGATATTTTTATTATCACTTCGAGATGGCCAGGCCTACTCTCATGTGACAGCATGTAGTAGGCCTGGCCATCTCGAAGTGATAATAATAATTAAATGTTTCGCAGATTGGCAATTGATCGGTGTAGTTGGTGTTGTACACACTGCACTGATAACGATATCACGTTGAACGTGTAATGTAAATATAGTGTGGATTCATGCGAATATATATTCTAAATAAGAGATATTTTTAGTTTGATAAATAGATCTTTAATACTAGCCTCACCACATTCCTCATATCCCTCTTCCTTGCAGAATGCAGCAACTATATTAAACCAAGTTGGCAACCATATTCGAAGTCACATTCTCAAAATGAGCTAAACAATAAACATGACTGTTTTTACCCCTAAAAAGCTTTATTTAGTATACGTATGATGATGAGCCAAAATTTGATAAAACTTATTATTATTAATTAACAGAGAAGGTTGAGAGATAATGAAGTAAACTAATTAACTAGTTCTAATTAACTAACTAATTAACTAATTAACTAATTAACTAACTAATTAACTAACTAATTAACTAACTAATTAACTAACTAATAAACTAACTAATTAACTAACTAATTAACTAACTAATTAACTAATTAACTAACTAATTAGCTAACTAATTAACTAACTAATTAACTAAATAATTAGCTGACTAATAAACAGAGAAGGTTGAGAGATAATGAAGTAAACTAATTAATTAACTAACTAACTAATTAACTAATCAATTAACTAATTAACAGAGAAGGTTGAGAGATAAAGAAGTAAACTAACTAATTAATTAACTAATTAACTTATTAACTAATTAACAGAGAAGGTTGAGAGATAACGAAGTAAACTAACTAATTAATCAACTAATTAACTAATTAACAGAGAAGATTGAGAGATAACGAAGTAAACTAATTAATTAATTAAATAACTAATTAATCAACTAATTAACTATTTAACAGAGAAGATTGAGAGATAACGAAGTAAACTAATTAATTAATTAACTAACTAATTAATCAACTAATTAACTAATTAACAGAGAAGATTGAGAGATAACGAAGTAAACAGTGCGGTTTACAAGAAACTAACTCCGGGAGGCGTTGTCAAGATTTCCTCTGATAAAATCAAAGTTGGAGACCTCATCTATATTGAGAAAGTAAGTTATTTTTTAGGTTTAGCTTTTCAGATTACTTTGATAAATGTCTCGTAATTGAAAAGTTTTAAAATTGGCATATACAACACATAGCAATATAATAGTATCATGCAGAAATAAAATGCCATTAAAAATTTTACAGCACACTTTGAAGCCAAAGAATTAATATTCTTGAGGAAGGAGTACTACGTTATATATAACAAGAATTGGGCCCGTTGTTTCGTTTTGGCGGACGCTAGATTTCCGTTCACTATAACTATAAATATAAGCTCCAATCAGCTCACTTCATAATAATAATATTGATACACATCAGTACACTATGCTACGCATGCCACGTACAAATTGGGCTTATAACCCAATACTATACATTGCATAGTATACATTAAAATACACTCCCGCCGCGCATTCATCGACAGGCTAGCTATATACATCACATCTCCACAAGCAATACTCGCGCGCTGCACTGCGCGCTAGTTGTCATGGTAACTAACGGAAGGAAGGAATGACACCATATTTAAACCCACCTACTGCTACCTCCAAAATCCACGTTTTTCTGCAAAAACGTCCATTCGTAACCTTTCACTATTGCCTTTTTACAAAAGGGTGAACGGAAAAAATAACACGTGACCAGCACTTGATGATGTACACAATGTGTACAATGTACACGTCATGTACATTGTACAGTGTACACATGTACAATGTATACAATGTAACCTCCTCTCAGGACGAGCGTGTTCCTGCAGATGTGATCCTGCTGAGCACGACAGAAAGGGCAGGTTCCTGTTTTATCAGGACTGACCAACTAGACGGGGAGACCGATTGGAAACTAAGGCTAGCCGTGGGAACCACTCAAAAACTACCGGTCAGTAAGTGGGAATGTTTCGTTTTTATATTGTAGTTTTATGGTCTGTATACGCTGTAACGCTGTAACTCTGTAACGCTGTAACGCTGATTGTTAACCAATGGATTATTTTATATTTTAAATTTATCTTTATTTTCTACAGTCTGATGCGGATGTGTTAAGGTGTGGTCCCTCAATATACGCTGAGAAACCCCAGAAGGACATCCATAACTTTATTGGAAACTTCTATTCGGTAAGACGTTCATTTCACTTGAATATTATTTAAGCTATCGAATAATTGCTGATATTATTCATGTTCTAGATGGGATATAAAGATATGAGCCTCTTCACATTTATCAGTTTATCGTATTTTATTTCTCAACTTTAAATTAATTGATTAAAAAATTAATTAGCTTTAAATTCACAGGCGCTGCCGGTAGATACAGAAGAGCCTTTAAACATAGAAAACACCATGTGGGCCAATACAGTGGTTGCTAACGGAACCGCACTTGGAGCTGTAATCTACACTGGTAGAGAGACCAGAAGCAGCATGAACACCAGTGATGCACCCAGCAAGGTACTGATCTACATTGTTATATTTTATAAATTTAGAGTGTTAAGTTTTCTGGCTTTAGTATTGACGATATGTTTTCAAGCATAAGTTAATTTTCTTAACTTAGTATTCATGTTATTTTCTGGGGTGACTAGTTTAAACACTGCTGAGTATAAGTTTATCTTAATAGCGGTGTTATTATATTATTAGTTAGCAATTAATGAGATCAGTGATAAGAAAGGTTAGGAATAGCAAAATTAATGATACTTCAGAAATCAGAATACATACAAAACAGCTACACAATTCACAAGTCATTTAATATGATTTAACGAATAAATTTACATGACGTAATAATGTGGTTGGTAACACATAAACCATTTTAGTTTAGTAGTGGATTTATCAGATCCTTGTACAGCGCCTAAATAAAGTTGACACACGTATCTGAAATAATTGATAAGGCTCCATATTATCAGGTCTTTATAATAACAGAGAGTAATCCTAGAACAGCGCAGGAAAGAGTTGCTCCTATCAGAGTCATCAGAATAATTTTCTTATCTCTTGAAGATGATGGTTGTAAGATCTTTTCGGCCCCTTCTTCCTCAAGGTTATCTGTACCTGTATTTGTCCCTTCGGTTTCTACAACCTCATCGTCCCCAGCTTTGTAAGCCAGATTAACCGTACCTGTCCGATCTTCAGAGTCTTGATTTCTATCGAATGTTGATTCTTTTATCCTGATACTTGCCTTGTGAACTTCACTTCTCAAATCAAGCTTCCAAATTCTGTAGCCCATCGTCAATGATTGGAGGATTCCAAAGGATAAATAGCTTATATAAAGTCCCGCAACCTCTAGGTCGGTTAAGAACACAGTTATTGCTACAATCGGCACGCAAACACCATAAGCAACTATACTGCTTGCCACCGCTATGTAACGTTGTTTCCCGAACGGAACAAGGATTCCTTTAGCTAGCACACATTGTAAATGGTCAAATGGTAGCTGTAGACACAACCACCACATGGTGTCGCATCCCATTATAATAACATCCTCGTCAGCAGTAAACAGCATCATAAATGGTTTCCGAACTAGATAGATGATAATGATGAGGACCAACGATTCTATTATTACGTTGAAAATGGCCAGCTTCATGTGCAGTTTAACTTCATTCAAATCACCTCTGCTTAAAGACTTTCCTATGAGAACCGCTGCTGAGTAAGCTATGCCCAAATTAGGAGTGAACGCAAAACTTATTAAACGGAACTGAATCAGAAAAGTTGAAAGAACAATTGTTCCATCAAATTTACTGAGAAATACTGCAAGTTGAAACAGTCCTATTTCTGCCATTATCGACACAACCCCAGAAAGTCCAAGTTTGATCATGGGCAGCCAATTTGTGTATAATCCTTCATGTATACCTCCCCATAACAAAGTTCCTTTCTTTATCATGACGAAGCAAATCATCAGCAATACTGCCAGAGTCGTAAGATTACTCCCCAATACCGCCAACGCAAGGCCACTAGTCTCCAAGGATAGTATCTCCACTAGTATGTAGTTGAAGAGCAAGTGAGATGAAAAGCTGATTACAGCGATTACATAGACAAATTTTGTCTGCTTTTGGATCGCTAAATAGTTTCCAAGTATTTTTATAAGATAGTATATGTAACCAAAGATGCATGTCATTCTAAGGTACTCTTTTGCCACGTCTTTAAAAGCTGAGGCATCACCCACGGAATTGTCATCGTTTGGAAGAGCATCTATTATGTAGACAGCAAAAAGATATGGTCCCAGAGTCAGTAAATACAAGATCAACCCTTGAAGTATACACTTTAATGTGACTGTGCTCAAATCCTTCTTGTGCTTTGATCCATAAACTTGTGGACCATAAGTGTCAAAAACGTTAGCATAACCCACAGCGAATGCAAACACTACAGTACTGGAAATAGTGCTTGCAAGACCTACACCATCAAGAACATGGCTGCCAATCCGTCCAGCATACAAAAGGGTAATAGAGGTAGCACCACTATTCAGAAGACAGAGGAAACTGATTGGTGTGATCAGTTTTAAAGCTTCCCATTCAGCCTGTAAGGTTGGATATGATGCCCGATTCTGCAGTGATGTCATGGCATTTGAGAACTGAAATTTATGGGATATTATTGAGTTGCCATGGACAGGCATTCAGACGTTTAATTAAACACGAATGATTTTATTGCGAACGTTTCGGATTTGTAGCATCACGCATTTTACCATTTGTACTTTGAAGGGTCGAATTATATATGTATAAGAGAAACTAAATCGTAGAACAAGAACCAAACTGATTAAGATAATCTCTATCGTAGAACAAGAACCAAATTGAAATATTTTGAACTGCTTGCCTTGCATTGCATATCAAATAACTGTTTTCTTATCTATTTTGAATTTCACTGGTTGAATCTCAAACAACATGTTTGTTATCTTTTTCGGAAGCATCTGATATACAACGTACGTTTTGCAGAAACGCCATCCATGTAGGCTAGTTGTATCTCGAGTTCAGGATTTATCCCTTTTTATTTGAACAAATTGGGGCATTCTGTACGTGATAACGAGTTGTGTGGGGGGGGGGGGGGGGCCGGGGTTGACAGCAAGCATTCTGTACGTGATAACGAGTTGTGTGGGAGGGGGCCGGGGGTGACAGCAAAGTCAGGTTGCCGCACACAGACCATTTTAGTTCATCATATTCATCAGATTCTTTCACAGCGCCCAAATAAAAAAATAAAGTTGATACTAGAATTTTAGATTAGGTAAGATTTATATTCTCAAAATGACATCGATGTGAACGGCAGTGTAGTGCACTGTAAACAAGGGCGGTCAAACTATTAGATGACCCTGTAGAGTAATCTACTAACTTTCCAAATTATCCAAATTATAATTATGTAATTGTTCTGAAATGGCTCCCCAGTAACTTCACAACATGATTATCCTCCCTCAGATAGGACACACTGACGCCGAGATTAACAACCTGACCAAGTTGCTGTTCCTACTAACGGTAGCTCTGTCCACTGCTCTAGTGCTGCTCAAGGGTGCCACCAAGGAGTGGTACAAATACTTCATTAGATTCATCGTCCTTTTCTCTTATATCATCCCCATCAAGTAAGTTTGGATCTTGTGTCGGTATCTTGAAATAAGATTAGAAAGGTTTTGTGTTTTAAATCGATCTTTAAAATATACAGTCTCAAGTTACCTAAAATCTGAACAATTCAGATCTCAAACATCTCAATAATGTGTAACACCTTAACGTATTTTTTTCAGTCTGCGAGTGAACCTGGACCTCTCTAAGATATGGTACAGTATATGTATCCACAAGGATGATCAGATACCGGATACGGTGGTAAGGAACACGACCATACCTGAGGAACTTGGCAGGATAAGTTATCTTCTCTCCGACAAGACCGGGACTCTCACCCAGAACGAGATGGTCAGTGACGTCATATTATGTCTTTATGTTCTGTGACGTCATGATATTTTCTGTGACGTCATAATATGTTCTGTGACGTCATAATAGGTTCTGTGACGTCATGATATTTGATAAGTCGTCATATTAATAAAACAAAAGTTAATAAAACAAAAGTTAAATTTATTACCAATTATTCAATCAATACATATCATAAATTCTAATATTGGAAACACAATGCAAAATGGATGTCTTAAACTATAATTTCATTGTGACTAATAATCTATTGACTTTCAAAGTTGAATTTTAGTTAAGTATGAAATGCCACCACATCATAGTTAGGGTAAAATGTTATTTTTAAATTTTAAAATTGAGAAGATTGCTCTATGGCTTAAAATTTAAAATTCTAGCAAAAGATATCTTATTTTTAAATAGTTGGTTACAGTTTATGACAGTACTGGCATGACTAGTTTTATTGTGGCTGGTAAAAGGACCCAGTTGCCTGTAAGGGCTTTACCGAACCCCAGGGGACCACAATGTGATAAGATCAGGCCAGATGTTTCTATGTAGAGCAATTTATTTATTTTGGAGCTATGGTTACGTGGTATAGCTGGTGGTCATGTTTAAAGGTCAGTTTATCCTTGTGTGCTAATTATCCATCCAGATGCTTAGTGATGTGGGTAAATCATGCCCTTCTACGATATATAATGTTTGACCATAAATTTGTTTTTACCACATAAACTGTGGCACTAATGTCAATTAACAATATTTACATTCATTGATATTTAAAGCGTGTTTTTTCCCCAGCACTACTACACAACAAAAACCTGTCGGCCCACCGAGGAAACACGATCGCAGAACAAAGAGCCCAATTGTGCTCTTCTATTCTGTGATCGTGTGTATCTACTATAAACTAGCTAAATATACTAAGAAAATTTAATGGAATCATTACAGTCGTTTGATAAGTTCACGTGTCAAAGTAATGTTCATGGTGATCATATTTTTCGATCCCCGGTGGGCAAACACTCGTCCGAAAGGTCAAGGCAAACCTGTCAATGTTTCACCATACGAAGTAAGGCGATTTGAACATATACTCAGCTTACAACTCAACCCATGGGACGAGACGTCGTGAGCCTCAAAATTCTTCAAAATATACAGCACATACCTAGTTAGCAAACACTAAACACAACATACATACGATACCAAATAATGTATAATGCCATTACTAATTCGAAAGAAAATATATCTGCTATCTAATTTTAAAAATTAAAGAATAAACCTGAAGAAAGGAGAAGGAGAGGGGTTTGGGAGAGGCAGAGAAGGAAAACAACAGGATCCTGTGCCGCAGGATTTTAAAATTTGTTGTATGATGATTCGTTTTGTTTCGTCTCTTAGATTAATATAGGTCTGATACCCTTGTCATGGTTCTTTGCAATAACACCGTGGTTTACTCATATGATTAAGTTTAGTTAATTAACCTATTTCAATGATAATTCATTTGCATCAAAGTTGTAACTGCACCATAGTTGTCTGTCATATTTAGATTGTAGTTCTAACAAAGCTTTCTTAAGATTATTCTTGAATATACTGATAGGAGTGGAGAAGTCTATTTCACTCGTTGACTTACGGCAGTGATTCCAAATACTGGTTGATTGGTAAATGAATAGTGAGGACGGAGTGGGTGGGATGAAGTAGTTGTCTCGTCTTGGTGACCTGTTGAATAAAGAGAACATTGAGACTGGTGATTGGAACTTATTAATTTTAAACATTTCCAGTAAACAGTGCAACTTATGAAGATTGTGGACAGTCAGGAAGTTATACTCGTTACAGATTGGTTTACTGTGTTCTAGTTCAAAGAAATCTTTGCCTAACATCTGCTTGATAACTTTACCGGTCTTATCCCTAGTGATAGGCCTTACTCTGGCACATGTTTTGAACTTATTGAAGTACGCATCATTATCACCAAAGAGAATTCTTATGCATTTCTTTTGTGTTTTAAATATGGCTTCTAGTTTATTATTTGATACACCTCGCCAAACAGATATTCCATAACATAGGTGTGATTCAAAAAGGGTGTGGTACAGGTCCTTATAGAGTGTTTTAGGTACACAGCGTCTGATTCCACATAGTCTACCAATCTCACATTTCAATTTACGATTTAACGCTCTCAAGTGAGCATCCCAGTTCAGTTTTTGGTCAATAATGACTCCAAGAAACTTAGTTTCCTCTGTTACAACCTATTCCTGATACACAATTAAAAGGAATGTTAATACAAAATAAAACTCGGAATTATAATAAATAAACTGAAATAGAAGGTGTTAATAAATTAACACTAGATATTATAATAATTCACTTACTCACTAACCTCCCTAGACCTGTACCCGATTCCCACTATAAACTAACTACTAACTAACTACTTACTAAAACTACTACACTAAAATATCACCAAATAATATCCGAACTAAAAGTCTTTACTTCCTACTAAAATATATTACTAAAACTATGTTTATACAAATTACACTTCTTCGTTACTATCTTCTTTCTTCTAGTTGACTACTACTTACACTCCTAGCTACTGTTTACTATATCTTCTTATCTTCGTTCCACACTCCACTACAATACTACACACACACTAAAAACACCTGAAATATGATTCATAAGTAATACAATAAATATGAATCATCTACAACATAAGAGATATATAAACCTACAACTATCATCAATCAATATAAAAGAATAAACCTAAACTATAACCTACACTAGAACCTACCGGTGTTCTACTACACTATCCACGAAGGACTTCGCAGGCTGGTACACCTTCTACACAGCACTGTTACTCTAACACACCTTCTGTTACTCCTTCCTCGTTGGATCTCTTCTTTACCTCTTCTTCACCGTGACACCTTCTCACATTAGCTATAATATATATTTATAATACAAAGAATAATCTTAGAACTCATATATTATAACACTCATCCCAATTTTAAAATTTTTTTTTTTAAAAATGCCCGAAAACCGATCCACCAAAATACAAAAAGAACTGTCGTGCACAACACGCCGCGCCGTTCTAAATCTCAAATTTTGCTAGTAATAAGTAAAATTTTCCTCTCACAAAGGAAAAAGGTCTACTTAAAAAATCGTTTAAAATCCACGTCATTTTAAAACTTCCGTCTCAATCATCTGAATCAAAAATTATCAGATTTACAAAATTCAAAGTACCCCATAATACTGCAGAATTCTGCAAAATCATAACTTACGATTAAAATTGGTGTTTTCACCGAAACTCCCTTTTAAAACATACCGTATTTCTTGAGAAATTGCTGTGTTAGAATTTTACTAGAAAACTGATTAAACTGGAGCTAGGTCAATATTCCGAAGAATAAGCCGACAGTTTAGCAAAACCTCTCTTAGTTGAACTGGAAAAAGGCTTCCACCAACTGTAACAATCAAAATATAGGTTATTGCTCAACTGTTTCTAAAACTCAGTTTTCCAGTAAGATACAAACTAATCAACAGCTTTAACAATATCTTAACATGCACACTCGATATTTATATTTTATATGAATTGATCTATTTGTTAGCAGTGTTAAAATTGATACTGACAGGTACTGACTAACTGACAAGAAATTAACTGCGAAAAAATAATAATAAAGTGATGTTAGGAGATAGGACTTTGGCACTGAAAATTTGTTGTTAATAGTTACCAGTTCGAGATCATATACTCGACCTGAAAGTTTAAAAAGTTTCCGTTCATGAAGATAGGGATCTGTAATTCGGGGTTAAAATTATAGGAAAATACGTAAATGAGGTTAACTTTACACAGTGAATGTATCCAATTTTCTTAGTTTAAAATACCCAACTTTCTAAAATTTTAAAATCTAACTGTTAGGAAACACTGCCACACTGCAGTTATCAACATCATAACAGGTGATGTTTGAAATATTACAAATTTCCCTGTCAAAACACTCGCTGTTAAACAGGTTACAAAATTGAAAATATACATGAATATTAAAATAAGCTTTTAAATATGCACGTAAAAAGTATATAAAATTCCCGTTAAAAGTTGTAGTTTTGAACTACAATACAAAACTATAAATAAATTCTTGTAAAACAAATCTGTTAAAGTAATTATTAATAAAATGACACAAATTGGTAAATTACATTACACGTGTTGGTAATTAAAATGACATGAATGGTGCTTTGACACTCCTGAGTATAAGCTCAGGTCTTTGGTTCTTTGACACTCCTGAGTATAAGCTCAGGTCTTTGGTTAAAACTGAGAGTTCTGGAACAGTCCGGTCTCTATAACTCTACAAAGATCCTCAGAGTTGGCACCTTTTTTAGTAAGGCAATCTGCTAGCATTTTCTGTGTGGGTACCCAGGTAATAGATTCAATATCCCCACGCTCGACACATTCCTGAATTTCCGACACATCCAATCGGAGCCTTTTCTCTTCACACTGCTTGGTAGACTGTATGCTTTGTAATAGTTGGTTTGAGTCTATAAAACCATGGATAGGAATGACCCTTAGCTTGGGGTCTCCATACAAAATCTCAGAGAGAATTTGTCTCACATAGATGGCTGCTCCCATACCGTCGTTACAGGCTAGTGTCTCTGCAGCAAAAGCTGAATGTACCACTCTTTTAATCTTCCTGCTTGACCAGTCCACAAGATTTGCTGTCTTGCCATTAGAGACAAACACCAAGTATCCACGTCCACTATCTGCCTGATTACCTGACTCTGTAAACAGGTTACCAACACTTGCATCTGAGTAGAAAATTATATGTATTTTTTCTTTGTCTAGATCCATAGCTCTGTACGATAAGCACTGCGGTCCTCCAGGTATCTTCTTTACAACTTTGTTAAGGACTTTAACGTGTTTTATACACGGCTTGTTGGCATATGTGGATAGCTCTAAAGTGTCGAAGCTCAGATCTGGTCTTGATTGACCGCTGAGCCATAAGAGTTTCCCTAGCTGTCCTTGGTAATTCTTTTTTTCTTCTTCATTAAGAATACTATCTACTTCTTTAATCCTCGTAGGCGAGATTTCTATAGGTTGAATCGTGTCGCCGTAGTTTCTCTGGTCTATCTTTATAGTTTCCAGTTCTTGGTGCACATTCCATCCCAGATAGGTGAAAATACCAGCGTTCATTCTGGATATCTTGAACTTTTTCCGAATACCTGCTATTATCTCTTTTTGGAATTTTGCTGTTCCGGCATACAAAAGATCATCCACATGGGTCACCACTACTCCTTGTAGTTTACCGTTCTCCATCTGCTTGAAGACACATTTGTCTAATTTTGACATAATGCAACGTTCTTTCAGGTATTCACTGAGAGTAAGATACCATTTTCTTGCTGAATCCCCGAGTCCATATACCGGTTTCCTCAGTTTCCAAATGATACCATTTTTTCTGATGTCTGCAGGTGGTTTGAGATAGACATCTCTGGATATCTCTTCCGATTGCAGGAATGCGGCTGTAATGTCCAGCGATTCTAACTGCCATCTCTTGCTAGTTGCGATAGTAAATAGCAAACGCAAACTGGTCTTGTTAATGGTAGGGGCATCAGATCTTGGGTAATTCTCTTCAAATCCACGTGCTACCAAACGTGCTTTAACTTTGCTATCCTTTTCTGTTATTATCCACCTGGACGACACCACACTTTGACCAGTGTCCTTGACTTCTTTGTAGACTTCAAACTCTCCAAATTTCTTTATCTCTAGTTCTTTTGCCTCTCGGATCTTTGTGTTACTTTCCTTTGACATTTCTACATTAAATGTTAGGTTGTCTTCTTCTATACAAAGTAACCTTTCTACCTCTTTATCAGTAAAATCGATAACTTGGGCTTCATCTTCTCCATCAATTTGCACATTATAGCTGTTCTTTAGTGTGCCTGTAGCCTTTCCTGCTCGACTATCTATTAGTCCATTTGTCCATTCTGCATTGTCACCGTCTTTGTATCTTATTACGTCGCTCTTTTTTAGTATTACTACATTTTTCTTTCTTTTAAGTTGTTCAAAATTAGTCAAATTCTGTTGATTCTCTTCATCTTCGACTGATGGAGTGGCTTCTTGTGGTAAAGGTTCAGTCTCCGCTTGATGTACTTCTATAGACGAAGTATCAATTTCGTCGTTAACTGCTGAAGTAGATGTTGAGACTCCGTCTTCTTCTGAGTCTGAATTATACACGCTCTCGTATAACTGTGTCTTCTTCTTTGAGGAATTTCTTTTCTCTCCCTCACTCTCATGAGAGTCATGAGCCTTTGTCTCTGGGTGAGGTCTTTGCTCTTTCTCTGGTTCTTCATCAGTAGGTGAGCTCTCTCCATTTATCATCTCGTCAGCTCTTTTCTTTAGCACTATCTTGCAGGGGTTAACACGGATTAGGGCTCCTCCGTGTTTAATCAGCACCGAATTGGCTAACTGACCAACTACATACCCAGGACCAAGGAAAGTTTTGTCTTTCTTGTAGTATACTTGATCTCCTGCAGTGTACTTAGCGTTATTGGACTCATATACTCGTTCACGAAGCACTCTTTTTAACTTTGCAGAATTCTCCAATTCTATAAATTTCTTCCGGGCTGTTTCCATAGCATACAGGTTCTCTGCCACTATTTTACTAGCTGTGGTCCCGTTTAGTACAGGTAGATTTTCATATTCTAGCACTGATGGTACTGAAGGGGTCCTCCCAAAAACCAGCTGATACGGTGAAAAACCGAATACGTTATTTAATGAGTTCTTCGCATTACATGCCCAGGCAATAGCAATCTCGATGTTACAGTTTTGTTCTTCAAGTATAGCATTAACCATCCCAGATAGCAGAGAGTGATGTCTTTCGATCATACCATTGCACCAAGGTGAAGATGCAGGTGAGGTTTTAAAGTTAATTGAGCACATTGAGCACATCTCAAGAAAGTCATCATTTACAAACTCTCCTCCATTATCACTCATCAAGGTGTTCATTCTCCCGAAGATTGAGATCCAGTGATTGAAGGTCTTTGTCATTATTTCTTTTCCAGTCTTTGTCTTTAACGGAGCTGCCACAGTAAATCTGGTCACAGTATCTATATAATGAACAATCCAAATTCCGTTATCTAGCTTCTTCAAGTCTACCGCTACAACATCGTTAAATGTGTTTCCGCTAGGGATAGCAACTTTACGGTGGGGCTTCTCACGTGACTTGTATTTCATGCACCAGTCGCAAGATTTTTCACATATTTCAAGTTCTTTAATTACCTCAGTAACATTGGGAATCTTTGTCGTCTTTATCCATTCTCCGATCTTTGTGGTAGAACCATGAGCAAAATATCTATGGAGATGATTAGCTGTTTTCTTTGAGTCGTTTATATCCACTAAAAAAGCAGTCTCTTCTTTTACTGAAGATACTGTGTCTTCACTCCTTCCAATAGACACTACTAGATGCCCTGATTGAGTATCTAAAATGTGTTCTTCTCCTCCCATTGCAAAGACTTTCTTCTGCCACATGTCTATAACGAAACGAAATTCATTCATCGTTTGTCTTGATAGTAACAACGGTATTTCACTATCTACTACGTAAGTTTTTAGAGTGATGTTTCTTCCGAACATTTTTACTGGTAGCGAAACCAGCTGAGTAGATTTGACTCTGTTTCCGTCTCCAAAACGGAACGTTGTTTCGCAATGTTCACTTTTTATCTTCATAGTCTCTTCTGGCGATAATGATTCTTCATAGATCCTCAACCATTGTTTTCCACAGACAGTAGAACTTGCCCCTGTATCCAGTAGGGCTTTATTCACCGTTTCTCCGATGAAAAATGTGTATCTTTCGTCTCTCTCTGGGAGAGCAACTTCAGATTCCAATTGTATTACATTTGTTAAGAACGTTAATCTTTTGTTATCTTCTTTCTTCTTGGCATTGAACGTGTTATAGGGACACCCAATTACTCTATGTTCTGGCGATCCACATATTAGACAGGTTGTTTTCTTGAAATTCTCTGCCTTATTCATAAAACCTTCTCTCTGATAGTAGTTTGGACTTTGTCTTTGGTAGGATTGTCCAGTAGGTCTTTGTCTTTGGAACGGCTCTGTAGAGTTGGGTCTTTGGTAGGATTTCTCTTCTGGTCTTTGTGTATTTCTTACCTTTTGGTACTTACCACCTTGGAAATACAGAACATTCTCTTCATCTTCTTGTTCTCCGTCACTTGTACTGCTATGCTGGTTTCTTTTGTCACTACCAGACGAACAATATCCACTTCTGTCACTTGCTGAGCTGCTGCTGTGGTAAGAATCTTTTGTATAAAATACTGGTTCTTGTTTGATTTTTAGACCACTAGAGCTAGCTTCAGAGAAGTAAGGATTTGTGCTCTTCCCCTGATCATTGCTTGAACTGGATATTATTCCAGAACCATCTCCAAACGTACGTTTTAGAGCTTTCACCATGCCATCATACGTCAGTGTTTCTGTTGTTGCTCGTATGAGTCTTTTCTGTTCTGATGTTAGGCTTGCTTGGTGAAGTAACTTGAAGGCCTTGATCCCGTCTTCATAAGCATCTTTGTCTTCTCGAAGAGACTTCAGTCGTTTGTATCTCTGTTCGAAGCCTCTGATGTAATCATCAATACTATCTTCTTTAGAGCGATTGTACTGCTCAAATTCTTCGATAGCTTGAAACAAGCTTTGTGTGTCATCTTTCAAGAAGAGTTTGTCCAACTCACTTGTCAGCTTCGCTACAGTTCCAAGTTCTGCAGGTAGAATCTGTATAGCTGCTTCATGAGCTTTTCCAGACATAAATCCAATCAATCTGGCCGCCTGTTGTGCTTCTTTAGCTTGAGTTCCAAGTACCCATATATTGACTTCTTTCTTCCATAGACCATAATCTGTCGCATCATTCAATACTGGTATTCTTTCACTACCCATCTTTACTTTACTTTAAACTTTACTTTTCTTTTACACTTTACTTTTCTTTGACTCCTGATGGTTTTCTTCCTGCTACCACTGTTACAACCTATTCCTGATACACAATTAAAAGGAATGTTAATACAAAATAAAACTCGGAATTATAATAAATAAACTGAAATAGAAGGTGTTAATAAATTAACACTAGATATTATAATAATTCACTTACTCACTAACCTCCCTAGACCTGTACCCGATTCCCACTATAAACTAACTACTAACTAACTACTTACTAAAACTACTACACTAAAATATCACCAAATAATATCCGAACTAAAAGTCTTTACTTCCTACTAAAATATATTACTAAAACTATGTTTATACAAATTACACTTCTTCGTTACTATCTTCTTTCTTCTAGTTGACTACTACTTACACTCCTAGCTACTGTTTACTATATCTTCTTATCTTCGTTCCACACTCCACTACAATACTACACACACACTAAAAACACCTGAAATATGATTCATAAGTAATACAATAAATATGAATCATCTACAACATAAGAGATATATAAACCTACAACTATCATCAATCAATATAAAAGAATAAACCTAAACTATAACCTACACTAGAACCTACCGGTGTTCTACTACACTATCCACGAAGGACTTCGCAGGCTGGTACACCTTCTACACAGCACTGTTACTCTAACACACCTTCTGTTACTCCTTCCTCGTTGGATCTCTTCTTTACCTCTTCTTCACCGTGACACCTTCTCACATTAGCTATAATATATATTTATAATACAAAGAATAATCTTAGAACTCATATATTATAACATCCTCTACCTTTTTAATTATTATATTATTCAATGTCAGTTCTAATTCATTGGTGTTTGAATCTGGTTCATTTCTACAGTTCGGCTTAAAGTGGATATAACAACATTTCTTTGTGTTGATATGCAGCAAGTTACTCTTCATATATTGATGAACAAGTTTAAGAATTTTGTTAGCTTTGCAGTAAAGTGTTTTTATACATTTATCTACAACAAATATGTTGGTGTCATCGGCAAAAAGTATAAACTTACCTAGGTCTGATACTCTATATATTTCATTGATGTAGATAATGAAAAGCAAGGGACCTAATACTGACCCCTGAGGCACACCAAATATTACAGACAGTTTTTCGGATTCTTCTCCAAGTACTGAAACATATTGCTGTCTATTAGAGAGGTAACTGGCTATTAATTTATTTGCAGTCCCTCGAATTCCATAATTATTCAGTTTTTTAAGCAGTTTATCATGACAGATTGTATCAAAAGCTTTACTTAAATCAATGAAGATGCCTAGTACATGATTTTTATCTCTTAGTGATTTTTCAATGTAGTCGACAGAGAAGTTAAGTGCATGGCTTGTCGAATGATTTTTTCTGAAGCCATATTGATTTCATATAATAATCCTTGCGACTGAAAGAAACTGTAAAGCCTGGAGAATATAATTTTCTCAAGTATTTTACCAAATATCGCTAAGGTTGAGATAGGCCTGTAATTTTCAAGAAGCTCAGCATTTTCTTTCTTATATATTGGACTTATTTTACCTACTTTTAGGTCGTCTGGAAAAACTCCCTGTTGCATACATTCGTTATACAATACCGATAGTAGTGGACTAATTTTGCCTGATACTGCCTTTACTATATGTACTGGTATATCACTAGCCTTGCCATTCTTAAGTTCCGATATGATCTTAGCCACCTCTTCAGGTGAGCAGTCATGTAGATATATATATTAGCTGTATTCGATTTAGGTAAGAGGTCACAGAAACTTGGAAGCTGATTAATTTGTATTTCTCCTAGTTCTGTGTAGGCTGCATTAAGGTTAGATGCTAGGGATACAAAATACTTATTGAATTCATTCGCTATAACTCTGCGATTAGTTATCTTTTCATTGTCTATGGTAAATATAGGTCTGATATCACGTTTCTGTTTGCCACGAATTTTATTTATAAGTTCCCAGGTTTTCTTGGAGTTTCCCTGAGTTTCAAGAAACTTGTCAGAATAATATTCAGATACAGCCTTTTTACGAACCTTTTTTAGAGTCTTTCTATATTCTTTGTAGTCATCATAACGGTTTCTTTTATTACAGCAGATAGAACACAGGCATGTGCCCCCTTTTGTGTCAGTTTCGCCTTGTTTACACTTAACTTTCCTGACTTTCGCCCAGGCATCATACAGTCCATGGCAGTGGTTTACTGAGGCTATAATCCCGCCAGTAATCCAGGGGTTGTTCTGCATAGTGCGCTTAGTGGTTTTGGGTACAGCTAGTTTGCAGGTTTCGTCAATGCTGTTTTTAAAGATATTATGAAAGTTGGTAAAATCTATAATTGGTTCATTATCTAGTTTATTACCCAAGACTTCAGCAAATTTATCAGTGTTTGACTTACAATAGTCATAATATTGAGTGTGCTTATGAATATTTTTGGTCTTGCTAATTTTCCAGTCAGATATATTAAATATAGGGAGGTGGTGAGATATGTGATCAGTTATGACTCCAGAGGCAGTAACAGAGTCTAGGTCATTTGTAATGATGTTGTCGATGCATGAGGCATTACATCCAGGCTTTTCATGAGTTGCTAATGATATCAATGGGAAGAAGCCTCTACTGAATAGGACGTCTTCATACTGTGCAATAATGTTACTGTGTTTACCATGGAGATTAATGTTAAAATCACCTGCAATGTGTGTATGTTTTGGTGCTTTATCAAGGATTGACGACAATTCTTGGAGAGCTTGCTCAGCATTGCCACTTGGAGGGCGGTATATTACTCCTATAGAAGTAGAATTTCCTATACTTCCTATGGTTACAAAGAGGGTTTCTAGATTTTCTGTTACTTGTGACAGGTTGTTATTTTTAACAGCATTAAAGGAGTTAAGGACATATAGAGCTACTCCTGAGCCTTTTACTTTCGAGTCAAAGGTATCTTGATAGAAGCTCTCATAGCCTGTGAGTTCGTACAAGTTTTTCAATTCAGGGCCAAGTGCCAACATTTGTTTCAGCAAGACCAATTACAGAGAATTTGTTAGTAAATCTAGCTATTTCAATTGCCAGCGAGTCAAAGTTTGATTTGTTGCCATCAAGATTTTGAAATATTAGTGAGTTTTGCACTTGTAATTCGTGAGCAAAGGTGTGGTTTATGCCTTTTACAGAATATGAGTCACAGCTTTCAAGTACCTCAGAGATTTTACGTGTAACATCATCTGCATCAGTGTTATCATCATTGTCATCATTCAGAAGCTTGAATGGGTTATAACGGATTACTGCTAGGTGGAGACAATTATTGCAGTACAAGTCAACTTTTTGATTTTGTTTGTCACTGGTGTTATAGCATCTAGAGTGAATGGGACAGTTACAGTTGTAGCATTCAAATATAGATTGACCTAGATAGATACTTTTTAAACAGTGGGCACAGACCTCTTTTTTAAGAACATTCATACTGGAGGCTGATAGCCTTCAACATGAGGCTGTCCTCCGGCGGCATGAGAATAAAGTGTTGAACCAACCTTACCGTCCCTCCTCCCCCTCTTCCTCCTATCAGTCCCTCCATGCATCCTAACAAGGACAGTATTACGGATTAAAGTAGCAAGTTTGGCCACTCCCTTCCAATTAAGGTGCAGGTAATCCGTCCGGCCATATTTGTCAAACTCCCTGGACAAGGTTGGGCAAAGTAAGCCAGTGTTATTATCCAGGAAGTCATCAAAGCCATCAACGAACTGGACACCAAAGTTTTTGGGAAGTAGCTCACGTCGAATAAGCTCTATAAAGTATAGAACTTTCCTATTTAAGTCAGTATTTCGAGTTGGTAAAAGTGGACAAAGAAATACTTGAGCAGTTGGATTGGCCTCTTGGATTTGCTCAATCTTGAATTCTAAAAGACTAAATATAGCAAAAATTTCACGTTGAGATTTAACAGATGGTCTTCTAACATCATTAATACCACACATAATAACAACGTTCTTGTATCCACATGCAAGATATGGGTTAATGTCATCTATTGTCGGAGTCCAAACATTCCGACCAGGCAGCCATTTACCAAAGCTCCTCTTGTGATCCTCTCCAAATTTCATACCTGATCCGTTTGAATCAGAGAAGATACAAGTACTAGCACGATTCTTTCCGTCTATTGATCTGAAAGTAAAACTATATCGTACTGCACCAGTGACTGACCCCTTCTGGATAGAGTGCTTGTAGTGAGCCTGACTCCTTCTGGTCATCCTGTAAACTGACCTGGGGGTACACTTGTGTGTGTGAACTGAGTTGTTCATTTCAGTGAAGAGGACTTCGCATTCACCTCCAATGGAAAGAGTCAATATGCTAGATTCTGGATGTATCACTGGTTCGTTGTCAGAATGTTCTGGCAGGTAACCCTCGCCTTCTTCGTAGCGGTTGATCAACACGCTATTCGTTACAGGATTTTCTTCTGCACAGAACTTCTCATTAATTTTCAGGATGAGCGCAGCCAGTTTCTCCGGTATTTCTGCATTTTTCTTGTTCTCATCCCTGGATCCACTGTATTTGTATTTCTCTCCAAACGAACACACTGAGTGCCCATTCTCCTTGCTGAACTGAAGAGATTCGCAGTACTGGAGAAGATCTGATTCAGCATCACTGTCTATGAATTCTTCCACTGTGTCTGCCACAGGTTTTTCTTCATTTTTAAAGATGGTCTTTGATAGAAGGTGCTTATCATTTAATGCAGAGCCAGATGATGGCTTATCGTGAGGAATTGTAGTCTGTTGGGTAGACAGTTGGTCTAGAGACTGCTTGATTCCCTTCAGTTCAAGAGAAATGTGCGGTTCCTGCCGAGTATGTTCATCAAGCTGGTCAATGATATCATGTATCAGTTTCTCAGTGTCAAGCTTGGGAGCAGTAGATGAGACAAGACCTTTGGTGGAAAGATCAGTGATTTGTTTCTGAAGGTCCTCAATAGCCGTTTTAACACCATTCACATCTTCACTTAGTTCTCCTTTACAGTGGTCTTCTATGCTTTTGACCCGGTTTTGATGGTCTTTCAAACCATGTTCATTGGTTAGTAGGTGTTGCAAGTGAAGGTCGAGGTTTTGGATCACCTGGATTGACTCTTTCATTTTATCAACATCAATTGTTGATAGTGATTTTGTCAAGGTTTCCATGTCTTTGAGGTTCTGACAGGCAGAGTGTACCTCATAATCACTATTGGACTGTTGTAGACTCAGGGTGTTCCGACATTTGTAGCAGAAGTTGTCGTGTGAGTTGGTTGGTACAGGTGCTACGTAGCAAAATGGACATAACCACTGTTCCAGCTTCAATATTGACGGCTTCGTGATACCCTTTAGTCCCAGACAATCTGCATGCCAGTTCTGTTTGCATCCTGTGCATACTAGCTTGAAGCTTCCAGTATTCGACTGGCTACATGGGCATCTATCAACATTATGATGCTCTTTTTTAGTGTTTTGCCCTGTTCCTGTCACAGAGCCACGTCTATTTCCGGTAGATGGTGTTTTTATACCTGTACCTGACATCACACAGCCAAGCAACACACAGCTAATAAAGACAGCACAGCAAACAAACAACGAATTACTCACGGCTCCCCTTTGGGGGTACTAGTACATGCTATTCCTGAACTAAAATTATTTGTTATATAGCAGCGCTGAAAGTATAAAAAAGTATTGTTATAAGTGTATCATGAAAATAGTCCATAAACTTCTGTATTTAAATATTCGTTCTTTAACGTCACGATTTCAGGTTTTGGAAAAATTGTCAACTAAATTAATGAATTTTGCTCAATGATATTGATTCCTCACTTCATCATCTCACTAACAGGTATTTAAGAAGTTACACTTGGGAACAGTCTCGTTTGGTACCGAATCCTTTCCTGAAGTAAAAGAACATCTTACCAATGAGTACGATAACGGGGCGAAACAGGGAACCAAGGTATTTAATCCTATGCTACTAGATACCATTATATTGTATTTATACTAGTATTTATATAGTATTCATACTAGATACCATTATAATTAGCCATTAGAGCATTAGATCCGATTTTAAATATTTGATGTAAATTGAGCAATCTTAGTCATGTAAATAAATATTTTTATCAAGGTCCACATTTTAAACCTTTTCGATTTTACAAAACCAACATTTTGTCTTGTTCTGTAATAAACCGCCCCAACAGGTTCGTAAAACCCTGGCGTACCGAGTAAAGGAGTCAGTGCGAGCACTAGCTGTGTGCCATAATGTTACACCCAGTGGTACTGACGAGTCTGCTGAGGAGGAGGGGAAGGAGGGCGAGATCAACCAGAGTGAGTATTGTCGTCAATCTGTCGTCAAACTGTCCAGTACTGTCGTCGTAACAAACCACCCAGTACAGTCGTCAATCTGTCGTCGTAACAAACTGTCCAGTTCTGTCGTCGTAGCAAACCACCCAGTACAGTCGTCATCCTGCCGCCGTAACAAACCGTCCAGGCATTCTTGATATTTTCTTTTAGCCTTTATTAAAGATTTTCTCGTGATGATTTTAAGTTATGTACATGTAGATTTAAAGAGAGCGGACAGAGTGGTGAATAAGATCCGCCAGTTCAGAAACTCAACTTTAACTTACAACAGTCTCAACACTGACACCGGTTCTGACTGTAAGTCACACGTGCTACTCGTCACTATTGTCTGTTAGACACGTGATGTGCTGTGTCACGTGATGTGCTGTGTCACGTGGTGCTACTCGTCACTATTGTCTGTTAGACACGTGATGTGCTAGTCACACGTGGTGCTACTCGTCACTATTGTCTGTTAGACACGTGATGAGCTGTGTCACGTGGTGCTACTCGTCACTATTGTCTGTTAGACACGTGATGTGCTAGTCACACGTGTTAGACACGTGATGTGCTGTGTCACGTGGTCACGACGTGATGTAATACTGTGGAAATGTGCCCGTGATAGTGTTATATTATAGTTAGAGGGAGCTACTGAATATTGTTTGTCAAATATACAGACGTGCTTCCAGCTACATGTTTCAAATGTCGCATTATTTCTTTTTATTTTTTGTGCAATTATAGTGGACTAGGAAACACATCGTACGCATCGTAGTAGAAAGGCAAGGCCTTACTAATCTTACATATTCAGCTAAAGAGACGCAATATCACAGCTCTAAGATGACCTACACAAAATTTTGTACCCCAGGGTCCTACTCCCAGACCCACGTGATGATTTCACTCAAAAATTCAACCGGAAATTATTTGCATTTTAAAATCTTGGCTAGTTACTTTGAATATGAATGAGTGGATGCGGTGGGAAGTTAATATGGTAGTTTTAATATTAATTGAAGCATATTTTATACTCGATACCAAAATGTTGGTTGGTTATTAATGAAGTCGACGATTAATTTACTTAATTAAACTATGTAAACGTTTTCAGCGTTCGATCACTCTGTGACGGAGAAGATGCAATATCAGGCTGCCTCCCCAGACGAAGTAGCTCTTGTAGAGTGGACAGAGGAGGTGAGAATAATATTAATTAATAATTAATATAATAATTTAAAACACAAATTATTAATAATCTAATTAATCATTTTTGTTTAATCATAATTGTCTTAGTGAAGCCTACAATCATTGTCCATACGACCATGTTTTTATTTCCCACTCACCGCTTTTGCAGTACCTAAATAATCACGTGACTTCCCTCCAATAATCACGTGACTTTCCTCCAATAATCACGTGACTTCCCTCCAATAATCACGTGACTTCCCTCCAATAATCACGTGACTTCCCTCCAATAATCACATGACTTCCCTCCAATAATCACGTGACTTCCCTCCAATAATCACGTGACTTCGCTCCAATAATCACGTGACTTCCCTCCAATAATCACGTGACTTCCCTCCAATAATCACGTGACTTCCCTCCAATAATCACGTGACTTCCCTCCAATAATCACGTGACTTCCCTCCCAAGGTAAACCTAACACTGGTCTACAGAGACCGTCAGATAATGAGACTGCGAACACCAAATGGTGAGATAGAAGAGTTTGAGATCCTCCTTATATTCCCCTTCACGAGCGAGAGCAAGAGGATGGGCATTATTGTCAAGGATACCGCTACTGGGGAGATCACTTTCGTTATGAAGGGGGCTGATGTGGTTATGGCTAATATTGGTAATGATTTGATAATTATATGTAACGTTTTGTATCATTAATTTATCATGATTTTATACAATATAGATACAAAATCGTTAGTGTTGACTGTGTTGCACAGCGTTTGATATCCAAGCTCTACTATAAAGTTTTTTATCAAACCTCAGTTCAGTACAATGACTGGCTGGAGGAGGAATGTGATAACATGGCAAGAGAAGGACTCAGGACCCTGGTAGTTGCCAAGAAGATGCTCTCTCAGGAACAGTATGATGACTTTGAGAGACGGTACACGGAGGCTAAACTCAGTATTAATGATAGGGCCAGACAGGTTAGTGGTAGATTATTTTGTTAAATTACTATTTTAAATAATTACTACTTTTAAAGTATTACTACTAAAATAAATTACTACAATGTTAGACTGCTATTCCTATTTCCTAGCTGTAGTGACAATGTATCAGACTTCAAAAATATAATCCTGAACCAGTAAATATAATTAGCAAACGGAATGGGGGTCCGAAAATTAGGGGATCATTGAGAAAACCCCCAAAATATGCTGGACCTAAGCCCTAAGGTGTTCGAAAATATTAATTAACCAACTAAATGTAGATGAGACAAGTACAGCTGACAATGGAAGGAGACATGCAGTTGCTGTGTGTAACCGGTGTGGAAGATAAGCTGCAACCTGATGTCAGAACAAGTCTTGAACTACTTGCTAATGCTGGCATCAAGGTAATTAATTAAATATTTAATTAAAATATCAATTAGCGTAATTAGATTCGCCAGGATAATTGGCTAATACCATGCATTGTTTGCCAGGTGTGGATGTTAACGGGAGATAAGTTGGAGACTGCTACTAACATAGCCATCTCATCACGACTGGTGTCTCGCATGACTCCAATATACCAGTTTAAACCTGTCAAGACCAGAACTGAGGCTCATAACGAGCTCAACAACTTTAGAAAACACAAGTTAGTATTTTGCTTAAATAATCATTATGTAATCTAAGTTTTTACTTTTGACGTGAAAAATGTTGGTTGGATTTTTCATGGGTAAAATAGCTGGGCTTGGCCGGGAATTGAACCCGGGACCTCTCGCACCCTAAGCGAGAATCATACCCCTAGACCACCAAGCCGCTGTCTATATGTCAATTTGAAAGAAATTATTTTCAATAATATTTCCTTAGTGAAAATGCTCTTATAATCTTGGGAGATTCACTGATGACCTGTTTGGAGCACTACGAACAAGAATTTGTTGGTAAGTTGTAGCAATTACTTATATAACTGTTTACTGTTGTAGCAATGTGTTCCATGCTTTTCAAGCATCTTCTGCCGTAAAATTACTTTAAGGCCAGAACTTTGTTTTTGGCCGCAAAACCCTCTGGCCTCTTGAATAGTGAATACAGCTTTTTCCCAGCTAATTTCTCAATACATGGTTGAACAATTTCTATACTGCTAACTTCTAGAAAACATACAAACGTCCACCTATCAGACCTGTATTTCAGAGTTAGCCATGATGTCGCCAGCAGTTGTTGTATGCAGATGTAGTCCTACTCAGAAGGCTAACATTGTATACCTTATCAAGAAACACAGCAACAAACCTGTCGCTGCTATTGGTAAGTTTATTATTCACTTACGATAGATTGGTGAGGATATTTTCAGGTTTTAGTATTTCCTCTGTTACCATTACCTAGTCTAATGCCTGCCTTGTAAATGTATTGCTATATTGTATACCGAGGGGCGAGGTTTATTATATCTGATGTACAGATCAAATATAACCAGGCTATTGCCATACTCGGTAACCGCTACACAGAAAGACATACCAACATTCAATGTGGCACATTCAACCACTTGGAGGGTATGCTGCACGCCATTGACAAGCGCATAATATCTGTGAAAAGCTTTGTCGCGCTAAATTACCTCATTCCAATCATATCGTCCTCTGACATGATAATATGGAAGAGCTCAAAAGTGTCTCGAAATTAAGATATTATCATTATGTTGTAACTTATCGTTGGTGACTACAGACTTGGAGATCGCATGCTGTATGATAACTCACTTCCAATTTCGCCCGGCCCTTGACAGTCCTGGTGTGACCCAGATCATGATTCATGGTACATAATGATAACACACTTCAAATGCCTGTAAAATGTAAGTCCTAACATGTGTAAGTCATAACGTGTTTAAGTCCTAACATGTGTAAGTCATAACCCCTTGTGATTCCAGGAGATGGAGGTAACGATGTGAGCATGATACAAGCAGCAGATGCGGGTATTGGTATCGTGGGAAAAGAGGGCAAACAGGCCTCGCTAGCTGCTGATTTCTCAATCACGCAGTTTAGTTATGTGGGGAGATTATTGCTGTGGCACGGCAGAAACAGGTGGGTTTAAATTTTAGATTTGTTTAAGATTGTGTTTGATATCCAAACTTAGGACGAATCTTTTATTTTATAAGGTAGACCAATGAGAGCCCCCACTCGCAGTAGAAAATGCATCAAATTTTTAGACGTTTTGGCCCAATGGGCAATGCCTTCGTCATAGGAGACGAGTCGAAATGATAGCGCGGACTATAGGGCCAACTTCAGATCAAACGTAAATCCTCTCGCCAAACTTCATGTTTTAACATCTTTTTCAATTTCAGTTATAACCGATGTGCGTCTCTGTCTCAATTCATCATTCACCGTGGTCTTATAATCTCAGTAATGCAGGCTATCTTTTCTGCAGTCTTCTTCTTTGTCTCTATTTCGCTCTACCAAGGAGTTTTACTGATCGGGTACGTTATTGTAATTGTAATTTTGTTTCCTCTGGAATCTTATTTTGTAAAGACTTACCAATAATAATTATCTTTTATATATATTTTGTAAATTCCAGAAATTTGTGTCATCATTTGACAATGTTCTTGAAAAACCTCTATGCCCATAAACTGTCACCTTCCTACCTCACTGTTTCCAGTTACTCCTCCTTCTTTACTATGGGCCCCGTGTTCCTGCTGGTCCTGGACGTGGACGTGGAAGCTAAGATTGCCATGATGTATCCAGAGTTGTACAAAGAAATGCAGAAAGGTACATTCCTCGCAAATCACTTTTTAATGTTCCTTTTTAATGTTCATTGATTTTACTTTATAGATAACAATTCCAACTGTGGATTTATCTCAGTGCAGATTATCATTAACAGGATCCTGTATTTAACAACAAACCTTGCACACGATTCTTAATTCTCCCTCGCCCTCTAGGTCGGGTGTTGTCGTACAAAACATTCTTCATGTGGATTCTTGTGTCAGTCTACCAGGGAGCTGCTATCATGTACCTTGGTATCCTTCTCTTTAAAGAGGGTAAATAATACCATTACGGAATTTTTATCGGATATGGGCGATGGGTTTTCACATTTCTTTCAAGATTGTAACTTCTAAGTACATTTGTTTTATTTCATACGCGTAGGTTTTGGACTTGTCATCCAATATACTCGATACATTTTAACCACTAATTAATAATTAATCAACACAAATCCGCTCAGATTTTATCCACGTGATAGCGATCACGTTTACTGTACTGATAGTTACGGAACTGTTGATGGTGGTGGTTACTGTGCGCACGTGGCATTGGCTCATGGCTGTAGCTCAGGTATACCCATGGTAGTTTTTAAATGTTCATAATTTCGAGAAATTCTCAGTTGTTGGTGGTGATAACGCACAACCCTTCGTTTTGACGAAACTATTCAATTAACTGACTTAATCTTTAATTATCCATGTCAATGTATGCTCTGGTAAATTTCACTAACTCCTTCAGATATTCTCCCTGGGATGCTACTTCCTAGCGCTAGTTTTCCTGCCGGAATACTTTGACCCAGAGTTTCTCACCTCTACCAACTTTCTGCTAAAGTTTGTAGCACTCACTGCTGCTAGTTGTTTACCCCTCTTCATTATGAAGTACCTCCGTACACGATTCGCTCCTCCCATTTACGCCAAGTTACAGCAGTCCGGATAGAATTGACGCCACACACGACGAAGTCCGTCTTATGTGACGTCACAACTACTCACGTGACGTCACTACCCTTTACGTGACGTCACAACTACTTACGTGACGTCACTACCCTTCACGTGATCTGTCCGGCCCTAGTTTGCCAACAAACTGAATTTTCGTAGAAGAATAACGGGGTTTTTAAAAAGTTTTTGGGATTGATCAGCTCATAATTATGGCCACTTAAGCTGCATTTCACCAGATTAGATTTAGGGCTAATAAGGTAATCTAGAACTGCATGTAAAATAGGCATGGAAATTCATGAAGTGTTCATGGTTCATTCTAGCATCAAGTCACAAGATTGGGTAAGCTGATAGTTCATAGTTGGTATACTGTATTATAGTTTTACGTTAATCAGCGATAAGAGAAGTGACAATAATCATCGTATTAGTAAAACCTTACTATCTTACCAAAATTGTATTTTCGTTGTGAATATTGAAATCTAAATTCATTTTGTAATTGAAGTAGGGATTGTATTTGATTTGAGTTGTGTAATTTTGCGAAGTGGCATTCGATATTTCATATAAACGAATTGATTTCTGTTTTAAAACTTTAAAAGTATAAATGCAGTGCATTTCAAGCTATACTAAAACCATGTCTTAGAAAATTAAGTGACTACCACAAAAGTTATAAATCGTTAGTCATTAAGATAATTTTCCTAGCCACGGTATTCGCCTTTTTTTCAAAGTGTGCAACGTTTTGAAGTTGAAACCAGGTTTAATTTGAAGTTTAATCTTGATGTGTAATTTAACTTTTTGAATTGGTTTGACACCACTTATTTCAATTGTGTTTGTTTTATTTTGTAACGCAGACTGGTTTAAAGTCTGAGTTGGCATTAACTTTTATTATCGACCGAGATTCTTAATGGTCGGAAATTACAAGACTACTAGAAATCCTGGTAAGGCTACGCGAAACTGAGGATTTCTCAAAAACCTGAATATTGCAAAGTTGAAAATACATCTTATCTTAACACACGTACGCCCACCAAAGCAAGCCCACACTCACTTCACACTTTGAGATTGTTTACCGGAATATATTGACCAAAACATTCTTGCCTTACCACATTCCTAGTTTCCAGTGTAGATTTGTGTGTTACAACCCCACACCTCACACTTTAGGATGTACTATTCGCATACTCACCATGTTTTATGTACTCAAGTTCATTTCTAGTATAGTAGTATCTTACTCATTTATTGTAGTTTCGTACTCATTTATTGTAGTCTCCTGATCGCACTCATTTAGCTAGCATGCGTTTTGTAAGTATGACTAGGTTTTCGACTTTCGTATGATCACTGTACAGACGTATATATTTGACCAAAACCCATAATACCGTATTTCGGGATAAGGGTGGTAGTTAGTGTCCAATTAGCTGATGTTCATTGAATGTTTATTGCCCAAAAGTAAAACAGCTGCCTTCGGGTAGTTCTTCTTAATCTATTACAATTGTATATGAATGGGAAAAGGGAGCGACCGATTTTTATTCTCGGTATCATTTTGCATTTGCGGACGGTTATTCAAATTATAATATCATTTCCTTTTGTTTGGGAAAGAGAGACACTGGCAGCGATCCACTCTACCCTTGATTATGGGTTTTGGTCAAATGAACAATAACAATAATGAATTTTTAAAAATCTCGTCACAACTATTTCTCCCAAAACCCTGCACACTGATTGTGAACAGTACCGTTCCCGGTCACAGTACCGTTTACCTGGGGACCCCAGGCTATTATGTTCATTAACATAAAATAGAGATTAGGCGGAATGACAGGCTGAGCGCGGCCCATGCCAGTAAAGTACCGTTCGAGTGCGAGTGGACGCAACAGTGAATTAGCTTAAACCGCGTTATTTTTGAAGTGCTGTTCAATTCTTAGTCCAAAACGCTAACAACCATTTTAATTTTGAAAAAATATTTAAGTATTGAAACTGCATCATCATCAACAATAAATATTCAAGACAAAGTGAAACAATGGAATACCGGGTCCCGAAATTCAAAAGTGTAGCCAGTGTTTGGTATTGTTCTCTTTTTTTGTTTTTTTGAAGAATATGAACAATAACATGAATAATGAATTTTAAAAATCTCGTCACAACTAATACTATTTCTTCCAAAACCCTGCACACTGTGAACAGTACCGTTCACAGTACCGTTCACAGAACCGTTCACAGTACTAGTCGCAGTACTGGTCACAGTACTGGTCACAGTACTGGTCACAGTACCGTTCACAGTACCGTTCACAGTACTGGTCACAGTACCGTTCACAGTAATGATCACAGTACTTTTCACAGTACCGTTCACAGTACTGGTCACAGTACCGTTCACAGTACTGGTCACAGTACTGGTCACAGTACCGTTCACAGTACCGTTCACAGTACTGGTCACAGTACCGTTCACAGTACCGTTCACAGTACTGGTCACAGTACCGTTCACAGTACTGGTCACAGTACTGGTCACAGTACCGTTCACAGTACCGTTCACAGTACCGTTCACAGTACTGGTCACAGTACCGTTCACAGTACTGGTCACAGTACCGTTCACAGTACTGGTCACAGTACCGTTCACAGTACCGTTCACAGTACTGGTCACAGTACCGTTCACAGTACTGTTCACAGTACCGTTCACAGTACTGGTCACAGTACTGGTCACAGTACAGGTCACAGTACTGGTCACAGTACCGTTCACGGTACCGTTCATAGTACTGTTCACAGTACCGTTCACAGTACCGTTCACAGTGCTCTTCACGGTACTGGTCACAGTGGTCTTCACAGTACTGCTAACATAGTACAGAGCTCCGGGAGAAGTAGAGGAAGTTAAAATATAAAACAAAAAAGATCAGCTGCAAAAGAATAAAGTGTGTTTTGTGATTTTGAGAGACCTTCCTTTTTTTTGGCCATTCTGTGAGGCATATACCCGTACTGCCAGTCGTAAAAGTTGAAGCATCTTGGAATTCAGCTTGGACTTGAAGGGCACATTCCACATTTTTTACCTCCTTGTTTATAGATGACGCTTTCATCTCAAAATCCTGTAATAAGTTGAATCATTTAAGTTATTGTTAGTGTAAATTAACGTAAAAGTCATAACTACCTTTATTAGTTTAAACTTATTGGACATTATTTGAACGGACATTAAAATGAGATCCTTCAGCGTCCAATTAATCTCCGTTCAAATTAAGTCCGAGCTTCCGAGAAAGGTAAAAGTTAAGCATTTATGATTTACTGATTTAAAATTACAATTGTCTGTTTCGAAGCCATTATACAGAACTAGACCAATTTTCCAACCAACCAATCATTCTTGTAGATTCCGAGATTAAAATTTAATTGACTTTTACATTAATTCAGCTCACCTTTTTGAGATTTTCAATCTCATCCTTGTAAGCTGCTAAATCTTCTTTAGCCCTCGTCATAGCTAGGTCTAACTCCCGCGCTAAAGCATCTGCTCTTTTAGTAGCGGCTGTTAGGTCCTCTTGTCTATTCAGTCGTGATTGTAATATTAGTGATCTCGATGTTTCAAAGGATTGCTCCTCTTTAGCCAGCTGGCGTCTTAGACCAAAAATTATGTCTTTTTGGCTCCACTTTTCCTGAGGAATAAATTAGTTATTGCATTGCAATGAAATTGTATTTGTACTAATCACTATATTTATATATTTGATATTATATTTTCAGAAATAATAAGGTTCGACAGCAAATTGATTTAGATTAACCTTTATCGGTTGACGGTTATCCTATAATTGTTTATACTTATGTCGTGAACACTATAACAAGTTGAGCAATATATTTTAATTTAGTATGGTGACTGGTGGTTTGATATAAAAATAACCCTCTCTGTCTCACCTTTTCGAGAAGCTCTACTTTTTCTTTGAGCAGGTCGTTCTCGGTTGTTAAGATTTCAATCTCGTCTTTAAGGACACCTTTTTCGTTCGTTTCAAACCAAATTTGGCATTTGTATGCGTCCTTTTCCTCGATCAGCTGCCCCAGTTGTTGAAGAGCTATTTCTCTTCTTTGCTCTGAGTAAGAATTTTTGTCAGTCTCAGTAATTCAGTATGAGCATCAAGTGCTAAACAAAATAAAAATATATGCAGCATGACCAATGACTGGTGACTGATAAAAGACTAAATTAATTTTCAAGTCGAAAATTGTCAACACAGTTTGAATATAGGTACCTATTCCTAAAGAGTTGAGCGGGGCTGGTCGTCTTGCTCGAGAACATCTTCGAATAATAGCAGTTTGGATTGCTTTTTGGAATCCCATTGAAAATATTATATTTTCAAGATTTAGGATTATAGTGGTTAGATAACTGTGTTTGATAGCAGAAAACAAAGCAAATTAACTATAGTGTGGGAGTAAATATGACCCGCGTGCATTCCAGGGGGTTTCAGCACATTTGTCGCGCGCGATTTTGTTCGCCATGACAACACGACCAACACGTGCTAACGCGTATAAAACAAATCATATATTAATGGGATTAAAGATGGTCATACAAATTACAAGGTAGCTCAGAAATACATGCCCACACGCGACCCCTTCTTAGAATTGCACAGAAATTTCGGAGGATAGATAGATATGGGTCAAACCTAGCATAGATTGTAGATTTCCTGAAAGTCTCGTCAAACTTAATTAATTACAGTGGGTGTGGCACGCCACTCCCTCTTTTTCACTATTGTAACCATAAAGTGAGAACACTTTCACCTAGGAACTTTTAAGTTTCTAGACACATTTGGTTTGATAATTGAAGTGCTTTCCCAAAATTTCAAGTTGGTTGTTCACAATTTAACCGAGTTATGACCCTTTTAAGATCTTGCAGATACGTGATCCAGCACTTAATCAGTGATATCTTCACTCAATCAGTAATCTCATCAGGAGCTATTTGCTAGCCAACAACAATGAGCCTCATTAGGCAGTAACGAGCATGTTGGTGGATGACGATCTGATCACTTCGAGTGAATACTTATAGAGTTATAGTGGTGTTAAGCCGAAGAAATTTGCGTTATAGCGCTTCGGTTGCTGTCCTATGGCTATAAGCATTAAGCAGTCTCCAATGAGACTTTTAACTTGCCCTTACACAATTTAAATAAATGCGCTCAAAACGTACTCCACTAATTAAGCCTATGAATTTGAACTAAGCGTGAGAAATTCCTGAAATACCATCAGTTTCAAATTTAAGAACAAATTGAAATATACTGCCATAGACTGTACCCCTCATAGCCAGTTAGCGTTTCTTGATCATTATATGAATTGTTTATAATGTTGTCAATTTGAGGCAGGTGCAACTTTTCACAGTTTAGAATTCATATTCTCTTCAAGAATTATGCAAGAAAGGTTGACAGGCATTGCGAATGAAGTTGGAGGGTTTTTAGATATTCAACTATTGACGTGTTTGCAGACTTACTCCGTAGTCTGAGCTAAAGCGATCAGTTTTGTTAGGCTATAAAAAGTTTTAATACTTTAATACTTTCAACACTACTATATAACAAATAAACTTTGAGCATAAATACGAAATTGTTACTTTGAAACGTCGTTTATCCTAACAGTGCAGTATGATTTGTCGCAAAAAATCAGAATAATTAGAAATTATTTTGAACTCCCAAAGACTGGCTATAAAAAGGTGTGGTTATAAGGATCTGAAAGAAATTTTCAGTTTATTTTGGTTTTTATTTTTGTATACTTATTACTTAAATTAGTTAAAGTTTTTCCAGTTCAGCTCTGGCAACAGAGCCATAGGACAAACTGAATTTATGGATTCCGATATCGATTCAAAGGTAGCAATACGAATCCACTTCTTTGAAATGGACGACTTCTGATATTGCAGTTGCGTGATGGTTGACGGTGTCAAATTTCGAGTTAAACTTGATGAGTTTAGTTTTGTCCAGTTTAATTGAGAGGTAACTGAATCTAACTCCACAAGAATTAAGTTATCTGCCCAAAGTAAGTGGCTAACTATTTGGTCAGTAAGTTTGGAGCAATTTTTGTTCTCTAGTAGATCTGAAAGGTCCCTTACGTAAAATATTTTCAATAGGCCCGCAGTAACAGGATGTGTCTGTTCTGTGCTATATGAATAGCGTATTTGTCGCTGAGATCCTCCGACATTGGACATTGGACATTTTGATTTGGGTCCTATCGTTTTGTTTTTGATGAGAGAGAGCAACATATACACTATACAGGGTGTACCATAGAAAGTGTGACTTTTTTGAGAAAATATTATGAAGGAGCATGTGTGCTCAAAGCGAACTTCACGACAGCTTATGAAGAAACAATGAGCTGGTAAATTCCTGAAATACCACAGTTGTCAACTTCAATTATAAGAACGATAAAATTCCAAAGACAGTACCCTCTTAAAGATCATTCCCCTAACTGAATTCCCCTAATTTAGCATTTCTTGATCGTAGACGTAATGTTCACGTTGTCGATGCCGTCAATTTTATATGGGACAAGTTAAGGTATGAGCTTTTCTTGATGCCTATAATTTTAATATAGCTAATTGTTTGTAATTGTAATGATTAGTAATACATAACCATCGTGTGTTTAATAGTTTAATTGCTTAGACCGAAACTACCTCAAATTAAATCACAATTCACAGATCATCGGTTGATTTTTACGCTGATGTGAGCCACGTAGATGAAAACCGCTGAATTGACATGATATATAGCAGAATATCTCTTAAAGTAGGCATTAAATACATGTTAATTCATTTAACTTGAACCAAGCTAGTGCTACGATTACAGACACTTGTGTGAATTGGCATTGTAAAAACGTCACCTCACAGTAACTTTAACTCTATCAGCTTCCCGCCAATCAGCCTACAAATAATTCGATAACCCGACTTAAACTATCCTAATATGCATTCTTGGCTCTCATCCCCATTCAAATACCAGACCGTAGTCCGTACGCGTCACACTAGCATGACGTAATTAACCACAATGTAAATATTTGAGATCCTAAGAGTGTGCACTGTGCACCGAATCTATTTTTATTGTTTATAACTCGTGTGTGTTTGTTCACTGGGGCTTCTGTGTGTATCTTGGAAGAGTGTCTCGCTGTACTTTTAAGTGGAGGAACTGTATCTGTTTAATTATTGTATGTTTAACGGTAAGTACATCCTTAATTATTACTTATAGACTAGTTATTATTTAGACTATTTAGACTCTTCCTATTGTTGTTTATAGTTTTGGGCTCTAGTATTGTGTCCTCTAGTTGTGTCCTCTAGTTGTGTCCTCTAGTTGTGTCCTCTAGTTGTGTCCTCTAGTTGTCCTCTAGTTGTCCTCTAGTTGTCCTCTAGTTGTCCTCTAGTTGTGTCCTCTAGTTGTGTCCTCTAGTTGTCCTCTAGTTGTCCTCTAGTTGTGTCCTCTAGTTGTGTCCTCTAGTTGTCCTCTAGTTGTGTTCTCTAGTTGTCCTCTAGTTGTGTCCTCTAGTTGTGTCCTCTAGTTGTGTCCTCTAGTTGTCCTCTAGTTGTGTCCTCTAGTTGTCCTCTAGTTGTGTCCTCTAGTTGTCCTCTAATTGTGTCCTCTAGTTGTCCTCTGTTGTGTCCTCTAGTTGTCCTCTAGTTGTGTCCTCTAGTTGTCCTCTAATTGTGTCCTCTAGTTGTCCTCTAGTTGTGTCCTCTAGTTGTCCTCTAGTTGTAACTTGTATCACATTTGTGGTTTCTTACCAAAAACCCGTTAGTAAATACGAATCTGTGTTCGAGAAATTTTAAAATAATTATGTTCTGATTTATTTTCGTAATACGCCACATTACATGTAAACCGTATATAACAGTTGTATTAATCGAACTCTTATGTCGCGCCAAGCTATAAATCATGGTTTTGTAGCATTTAAAAGGTGAATTCAGTATTGGTTCCATTAGAGATCAAATTTATAATTGCAGGTAACGGGTCACTTTAATATCTCTATATCAGCTAACTTAACTCTCGAGTGAAAAGATCATGGGCCCACAAAATTAGTAAATTCTGATTCTATTTGTCAAAATTCAACACACATTTTATGATCATTTGTGATCCAAATGCGTGGGAGTAAAATAAAATATCGAAATAAAATGTATATTTGGCCGGAGCTATCATCCTCAAGATGATTGTGTAATGTGTATTGTTTGTATATTTAACTACTTTCTCGGATCACCTTATTTGGGCGGGTATATAAAGTGGCCGAGCATAATTATAGGCGCAACTTCGAACAATCATTAATTATTCTTCGAACAATCATTAATTATTATAATCAATTCTTATTCTATTAGTCATACTGACACTTTGAGAATATACAACCTTTTGACTAAGAGTATACTTTGTATACTCTCATACATCAAAACATTTTACCGAACTTTTAACGGACTAATGAACGGAGAAACTATAATTTAGAATCGTCCTAAATTTGTCCTAAAATCCAGTTTCTCGTTTGACAGTGTTTTTATTCTTGCGCTAGCTTATTTCCCCAGATGTTGGCACGGAATGCTTATAGAAGATGATCAGTTCCTGAACCCGAAACTATTATTGACACAATCTTCATCGTAATTTCAAGTATGTACGGTATTTATACCCTCCATGTGGTAGGATGCATGTTGGTGGGATCAGTCTGAAGTGTGGTGATTAATGGTCTTACTGACTTGGCATGCTTTGTAATGATCAGCTATTGTGTTATGATATTTGAGTGTCTTGTTTGTTGGGCCGCTCTCTCCAAAAGTTGGATCGAAACTTTTTGAATCTGTCTCAGCTATACTTCCTCTCTCAACTATGAAATGGTACGAACTTATTGTGTTGTAATTTTATTGTTATTCAGCAATATTGACGGCATTTTAGGTTACAGTTTCTCGTTCGAATAAAACCTAAAAAATCAGCTTATACATCGCGTGGATGATTATACGGTTTAACGTCGAAGCACACAACCTTTTAAAATTCATAGTAGATACATTAGAGACATTAGATACATTAGAGACATTAGATACATTAGAGACATTAGAGACATTATAGACATTAGAGACATTAGAGACATTAGAGACATTAGAGACATTAGAGACATTAGAGACATTAGAGACATTAGAGACATTAGAGACATTAGAGACATTAGAGACATTAGAGACATTAGAGACATTAGAGACATTAGAGACATTAGAGAAAGCAGTGGTATATATAATTGAGAAATATAAAACATCATATAATGAGTTTGCGATCGCTGCATGACTGCATGGGTATTGGGTATGTCTCTATAATTGTCAATTGATACAGGAGAAAGGCAATTTTAGGACGCGAGGAGGATTAGGACTCCTCGAACTATCATATTCTTAACATATATAATTATAAATTATACGTTCCCTCTGCATCATCCTTAATAACTGTAATAGATGTGAGTAATAAGTTTGTTTTATTTGTACCATTATAATATGGTGTAGTGGTGCCTCATGTCCTGTTTATGTTAAATAGTTTCATATTAACAAGTTAACAGGAAGCGATGTGACAGAGCCAATATATTTAATGATGCCATGAGGTGGCCAGTCCCCATTCATCGCAATTCGCAGCCCGCTATAGTTCTACTGCCTCTACTCCTACTATATTAAACTCAAACTGTATTCATAACCTATCATAGTAACCTCTTATTACTTATACCTGCCTAAATATGTCTAACGCAAGCTTATTGTAAGCGAATACATGCAATACAAGCCAGTAACTAGTTATACCTGTCCCTAACCGCTAGACTTAATCACAGCCTTCCTTCTGCTTTTAACTCGTCCTTTTGCCAAAATTACTTAATCCTATTAATTAATGACCATTCTGTTATCTTCCATACCTAGTCTCCCCGACCTGCTTCAAACGGTTCGTCTACAATAAAGGGTTTATCTGGTCTAGGCAGATTGGAAGCATATAGTATATGACATGCAGATAATTCGCTGACGATGAAATCATCAGTTAAAGTCGCTCTAACGTTTGATTTCAGAACGTTAACCTATACTAATATTAATATTATAATATTAATTAAATACTATTGAATAAAGGAAACTCTAACCCATAAAAAGCATAACACTGCTGTCACACCTACTGAATCTTAATTGCCCCACAGAGCATCCCGGTCATAATCAAGCAGATCTAGTTTCTTAAATCTATTTTCATAATCACCACTATATTATGTGTCCTGTGAAGAAACTCATGATACCGACCTTAGTCTATTATAGACTGCATACATATCTCAGTCTCTTTGAGTCTTTGAGCATGACGGCTCATATTCAAGAAATATGCTAGACGCTAATAACCGAATTAATGCAAGTTATATTTGGAGATTTTATCCGGCCTGGGAATGTTGATAATATTAAATTACCAGCGCTGTACCAGGCTATTTCCGGTAGAAATCGAATGTTATCAACATACGGGATTTAGATTTTAGGTGTCCCAGTTGTACATAGGTCTGGGCACTTGTCAGCAATAGCAAGGGTAGCAATAACAAGGGTATAACACGTACCGGGAACGTACCCGTAACCCGGTACGTGCCTTCAATAAAACTGATAATTCTCCGGCATGCAGGTTTTGACTTTGATTCCGACCAAGTTCAAACTAGAGTTCCTGCCACAGTGTAAATCAGGGTAAATGTTATGTTCACACCGGTGACAAGTCAGCGTATTGAGTCGACCAATCATGATTGAGCGTGCAGTCATGTGCATAGTCACGTGCATAGTCAGGTGTCACGTGTGCTTGAGCGCGCGTTACATTGTTTCACGTTCCTCATTCTACCACTGTGATGATGATTCCTGTATCCATAATTCCACTTCCTACACGCGTACAATTCCCTTGTCGGCTGTCACTGCACCTTCACCTTGTCGACGTAGCCAAGTTTGCAAGTTCTCACTGTGATATTATATACATCTTGTTCCTAAATTGGTGATGTCTAATTCTTTAATTCTCGTGTGATGGATGATCACATTGTTAACATTGTTAAAACTGTCTTCGCGCCAGGAAAGGTAAGGTACCTGCGCAACAATTCATTTTTCTTGCCCACGGCCTTCTTCCTGTCGCAAATATTTACACATCCATAATTCCATTTATTATGTTGCATTTATTTTGTTTGTTTGGAGTTTATTGGGTTTTATAGAAACATTAATCACGATCGAATATTTCTTGGGGTATTCGTCCTAGTCATGAGTTATGTTGTATCAACAAAGGAATTATAGGCCATTAAATTCCTTTGTTGATACACTTTGTAAACGTCCCATATTCTTTAATTCGATGTGATTATAGTATACTCTAGGGCCATTGTTTTCTGCATACCACACAGTTTGTACTCAGTTGAGTGATCAAGGCACATGGGTATCAAGGCCTCTGGCCAAGATCGTAAATGAGGGCAGATTTTAGAAACTCAGTTTCTAAGAAACTGAGTTCCCTTTTTATTATGTTCCAATGCTTAGTTCTCAGATATAACTTGTACCCGGTATAATTTATCTCATCGAGTTAAGTCCAATCGAATGTTTGCTTTTTCCCTCTATAACAATTAATTTGAGTTAAAGCCTGATTCGGTAACTCATATTAGTTGTTCGCCATGTATGCATTTGCTCATCCTGGTTCAATAGTCCAGTAAAGATATGATAATCTTTGTTTCGGCAGTATTCTGACTTAGTAGGTTTTGCGTGTTCTCCCTCGTTCCCATGATAGTTTGAACTTCATTAGTTAATGGAGTGGGGGATGTGCATAAAGTACATGTACATAATTGGTACGTGTGTAACTGCAGTAGTCCCAACACTTGTTTGAATATATTATCAGCTGAACCTTTTGTTCTTCAAGTTGACACGTTCCTCATTTAAGTGTGCCTATATTGAGTTTAAAGCGTAGTGAAGTGCACTGTGTAGAACTGGCTTGAAATATAAAATATCATATTCATTGTGTAATTAATAATAATAACAAAAGGTGTTTAAAACACTACTAAAATAACTAATATATAACGGAGGCCTAAATACTAAGATTCAAATACAATTTAAAACCAAGAATACCAGTTTAAACTCTCAAAACTGCACACCGCACTGATACTCTATATCAGTAAATACTAAATATCCTACCCATTAAACTGATATAACGTCCTAGGAACAGAGCTTCTCTAAATCATATTGTGACCTTTGAATTAGCAAGTCTTTAAACCATTTAAAAAATATAAATGTGTGGATTTTAACTGAGGTGGTAGACTGTAGTAAAACATGGGTCCAACAACACTGAAAGATCTTAGCCCAGCACGGGATACTGTGTAAATTTGATTTTCAGTATAATTCCAAACGCTAATTATGTGCTGACGAGGCGTGAGGTAACACTGACTACGTATCTCAGACCCGAGATTGTTAGTTTGTACTTTGCTGAGAATGTTAGAATGTAGTCCCCTATAGCTAGTCCCCTAGCATAGCAAACCAGTGTTTCATTTGTTAATGTTCTAAGAACTTCAGTAAGGATCTTCAGGTTAATTTTCACTCAGGGCTAGGAAGTAGGAAGGTCTGGCAAGCAGTATTGTTCTGGATCGTGGTTGTCAGTCACCAGTCACCGTCTTGTTTGTTTGTTGCTTGCTTATATTTTCTTTATTTAGGTGATAGCGTGGTCCACTGATCTTGTGGTTTAATGGTTACTAATTAGTTGCTTGCCTGTATATTATGGAGTGATTCCAGGCTTGTAATACTGTCGATTATTCTTTTGATTGACAGCTTTACTGTGTTATTCTCAAGACTAGATGTTGATATTTTCTTCTCGATATACAGCACTATCATAACAGCACTATCATAACAGAAACGGTACGTTTAATTGATGCGGTATGGATGGTGGACTCTACAAAACACGTACACTATCGTTTCTCAGTCTAACAAGGAGCGAGATGAGATCGGGGGGACCGCATTCCTTGTTGGTCTAACTCGGCAGCGTGCCATTGTCCTTGCTCTTGCCCTACTAATACCATGATACTGACAAATGTTCAGTAGAATTAGACAGGTTATAAGACAGCGATTTTATCACTATGAGAATTCAGGAACCTTTCGAGGTGTGATGTGAAATTTGATATCAGTTTCAGATCTTTTGGGTTTTTAATCTTAGTTCGGCGTTGCTTTGTGCTCCTTGATGATTTGATCTCAGTTTCAGATCTTTTATTTTGGTTTTTAATCTTTGTTCGGCATTGCTTTGATATGTGCTTCTTGGATAATTTCATTGCTACACCTGTAATTGTACTTAATATCTACTTCATAATACATATTCAATAGAGCTATAAGAGAGGGAGTTTGGAACCGGGAAAATGTTATCAAGTGTGTAAACAATATCTATAACTCCAGTTCCATGACACAAGCAGATTTTTTGTTGCAAGATCTGTAATGTGAAACACGATCCCTGTTTGAAACTCTACCATCTCAAGTTTTAATAAGCTACCTAGATAATTGAAATTTTAGCTCGAAAACAACTTTGTCTCTTTATATCAGTGCCTGGTGTAAGCTTTAGTCACAGTACATACTAATGATCATCGTTAACAATCATTCGCGCGTTACTCGACATTCGACATTCGACTGATTTCCAACTGCTTCATCTTCAGAACGGTGCGGCATACCAGGCTCCATATATTCATTTGCACCTCAAAATGTTCCAATATTTTCGATTCCTAGGGACTTTTTGTCACCGGCTGTTTTATCTTAGCGGTACGGTTCCAGTTAAACGTTTACATTGCGTCTAGCTGTAAATAGCCCCTTGACTGCAGTAAAAACCCGTCCCCGTAATCACACGTTTTCTAAACGCACGACACGCATAACTCCTCATTCGTCGATCGTTAAATTTTTCGAATACCTTAGTAATCAGTATTTACGAGTTGCTGATTTTTTCAAATAGAGTTAACACCAAATCCTGATTGCACACAACGCAAGCATTCCATAGCGATTCTGTCATTGTAGGGGAGTGTGAAGAACAAACTGAAATTATCACACCATATCACCGGCCCTAGCCATGTAAACTCTACTTCATGCATGCTTTTCTCTCATATTCCTACTCTTTCCCAGATTTACTCGGTGCATAAATTAATATCTGGGCAAAATTGATATCTGGCTGTTTGCCAGGAATCCCAAGTTATGTGTTGCAAGCATGATTGTAGAACTATTTATGTGTGTCTGTTTGCTGCTGTTATTATACTAGATAATGTTAATGTGCGCCGCCTCACCATGTTTCAGTGGAGCAGGTCTTTGTCCAGTTAGATTGGTGTAACGGTTGCCTCACCACTGGTGTCCTTGACGTTTGTGGATGTAAATTCCTTACTGTTGTTGAGCTTGTTGGTATATAGTTTACGTCGTCACACGGATCTACATTCTACATATTCTATCAATAGAGCAACGTTAATAGAGATAATATTAAAGTTCAGCGACAGAACCGTGTTGTTAAGTTCAGATCATTCTATGTGGACGGTCAGGGGATTAGTCTATAATTGTCTGTAATTAATTAACCCGATTACAGATGAAGCAGGAAATTAAAGCTCGAGCTCGAGTCCTTTTCACTTTTCTTATATTTTCTATAAAATCTGTATTTATTTGAATGAATAAGCATGGCTTTCTAGGATAAATTATTGCTATAACAACCTCAGCTTCCTATTTTTCATTACAGTTTATCAGATCAGAGGACCACGCTAGTTGAAATTTTGTGAGCCCTGATACAGTGATAGTTACAGTGATAGTTACAGTGGTAGTTACAGTGATAGTTAATCGCTGATAACTTTTCAATCTATATCCAGTGATCTCCAGCTCCTACATCTGATCGCCAGAAAGCTCATCAGTGATGAGCGAGCTTTTTGCGCTTTTTGCCGGCAAGTACTTCATGTTGTAATTTTGTATCTTTTATTTTTATGGCTGAAAACTAATTGCATGTTAGCTAATTAATTAACAATTAATTACGATAGTTAAATTATTTCTTTGCTTTAGTGTCAAGTGAAGGAGCAAAAAGAACCTACTAGAATGATTTCTTTTGCTTTCGTAACCTGTAATAGATAATTTGTTCGTTATACGTATTGATTCGATTATGACGTTGTTATCGAAGAATTAGACTTATGTTACGAATACTGGCTGGGCGGTGAGCCAAATGTTTTTCTGAAACGCGCCACCAATCGATCAGCTTTCAGCATTGACCAGTAAAAATCCAGAATCGATGTCACGTGTCACCTCCTCCTTACAAATCACGTATCACCTCCTCCTTACAAGTCTCTTTTATTTATATATTTTACTTGCGTTTTTGTCTTATAGTTGCTGTGCTCGACCTACAAGTATTACTTAGCATTGTTAATATAGGTAGTGTGGTTAGTGTAGTTATTGTAGGTTATATAATATAAATGTTATATAGCCAATAATCGATGACAAAAGATAGCATAAGATGGTGATCATTGCCTATATTTTATTTCGTTGCAGCTGCCCCCGGCCCCGATCATCTACACTCATAAATGAGACAGATGTTAGGTATATAGCTCTCGCCCTATAAACAGAATCAGAACTGAACTCATAGTTTTAAGGATTTAGATAAGAGAACTTATTTGCTGAACGTAATTTTCTGAAATTCTTTATGCTTCCATGACAATGATCAGTCCAATATCATCATTCCAATACTATATTTTGCTTATTTAGCACTTGCGGACTTTTGCTACAAACTTGCGTAACTCTTATTGCTTTGCTCCCACAAAAACATACGAAAATATTAAATAATGATCCCGCACACGGCTCCTTTTCAGGAACCCCCCGAAAATAATCCCCCATTTGCTATCAAATTAACAAGTTATTTACAAGTTATTTATCTCCCGTTTGCCAGTAATTCAATACACTAACAAAACTTCCCCGCGAATTACCTGTATTATATATTGTGTATGCTGCTGCGTTCCTGCCATTCCAGCTCCAGGTTGTAACGCTGATCATTGTCTGATCATTACCATTTACACTCCTGTACCGCCTCCCTCCTTGTGTAGTACAGGTCCTGTCCCCCTCCCTCCCTTGTGTAGTACAGACTACAGGTCCTGTCCCGCCTCCCTCCTTGTGCAGTACAGTTTTATAAACATTCCCTCTTGTTTTGTTTGGAGTTAGTCTGTCGGGGCATGAGTCGATTTTAGCAGTTGTGGAGTATAACCAATTATGAGACCATGTTTTTATTGCTGCTTCTAACTTCTAAGTGATAACTTCTTTCAGTGATATAGCGGGGTCTTCCATATTCCATAACTGCCCTACGACTGCATGTACACTCTCGTAATCTATCAAACTGCTCACCTGCATCTTTATTTATTGGAAAAAACACATTTCTGTGAGAGAAATTTATTCCGTAATCCGAATGTTCCATCATAATTATACTCAGTAATTCAGGAGACGTGAATATTAGAATGATTAGGGCCATGCTTTTGTCCTAGCGATAAGATAATGGCTGTGTTATTACTTACTTACTAATGAGCGTGTTGCTGTTACCTACCATTATTATTACGGTTCAGAGTTTCGGCTTTGAGGGTGGCCCTGTGCCAGGAGTCACTACCATATTTGGGAATCACGTGCAAGGAGTCCGACGATTTGCGTAAGTAGGCTTGGCCGTGGCGATATCCTGATTATTTTATTGGATTTCGCTGTTCAGATTTTTGTGACTTCTTACTACTCGAAGTTTAATCTCACACCATAACGTTAGTTCCTCCAATTCTGAACCTCAAACTCACCTTAGTTGTTACCACAAACATATTATCTCAAAAGGTTCAAAACTTACCTCAAAATTTATTGAAAGTTTTGCATGATAAGTCAAAAGACAATAACCTTTATCCTAAAAACAAGATTTAAAAAAAACAAAACGGCGGGGTGTCAAGGAAAGAACATGATCCCCAAGTACGCACTACTTATAGAAATAGATACTTGTTTGTGCCGATCTTGATGGATAAAAGAAACGATGGAAATTTGTATATCTAAAACGAATTACCCTTCAGTCAGAATATTGACAGTATGTGTTAATGCATTGCTCCCAGCTCCCCCTCCCTTTCCGTGTAGAAATCACATTTTCCAAACCCCTACCCCAGGATGTATTACGTGATATGTGAATGATTCCTTAGTAAATAATTTTGGATGTTTTCTCGTAGACCTGGTAAGTTACGTTTATTGAATTAAAATTACCCAGATGTAGTGGTAGTGTTTACTCAACATCGCGCCCCGTAATTCAATCATTATTTTAACACTCACTGAACGGACCCTTATCTTAACACGCCACCAGAGTCGAAACTCGAAATCTTTCTAGTTCATTTTCAATTTTTGTTGTCGTTCCCTTGGAAACCATTCTTACCTTTGTGCCCTACTTATTGTTTGTGACTCGTTGCCAGCTGGTCTTGCCTCGGTCGTCGTCCAAACATATGAAAGTGTGTCAGCTAAATCTATGTTCTGATAATATTATGGTAATCCTCTCTGGAGCGTTAGTGACAAACAAATTTAGACTCGAATATTTCTGAATACTGATACATGTTCATATAATTAAAGTTGATGGATCTGTATTGTTAAATAAGAGCTCATTTTACAAATATATTTTACATGCTGTTCATATATACATGAATTTATTGGCACAACATACATATATATATTATATAGTATATTCATGTGTCAATAAATTTTATATACTTGCTCATGTGCCATATATATTTTATAAGGATTTAAATTTTTAGTCATTACACTATTGTATTTGCTTGTTTTAGTGGCTGTGAAATCAGTTATTCATCTTGCAAAGTTTCAGAGTCGTGGTTAACAGCAGCTGATTTGTTTATTTTTATTATTTTATTTGCTATTTTTAATTAATCTTTTCATTCGACCACCACTTGAATCGAGTATTAATTGTCATTTCTTTTATTCAAACTGTTCGTTGTGTAGCAACACTACCTTATATTTATTTTATATGGTAATATCACAATAACTATAGGAACACTACCTTATATAGTAATGTCACTATAGCAACACTACCTTATATGGTAACGTTGCTGTAGCAACACTACCTTATTATATAGCAACGTCACTATAGCAACACTACCTTATTATATGGTAACGTTGCTATAGCAACACTACCTTATTATATAGCAACGTCACTATAGCAACACTACCTTATTATATGGTAACGTTGCTATAGCAACACTACCTTATTATATAGCAACGTCACTATAGCAACACTACCTTATATGGTAGCGTTGCTATAGCAACACTACCTTATTATATGGTAATGTCACTATAATAGCAAGACCACCTTAATCCTTATATGGTCACATCACTAACTTTATCGTTGTGTAGCAAAGAAACAGGTTCGAAGACATGTGGCTACAAGAACAGCAAGGATGAATGCAGACGAAGTTAAGGTCAAATGGCTGAACATACAGAAGCGGAGTTACACAAACTGGATCAATGAGGTGAAATATTTGAGATATTTGAGATATTTGAGATATTTGAGATATTTGAGATATTTGAGATATTTGGCATATTTAACATATTTGACATATTTCAAAGATATTTCATTTTAGTGGACTGTGGAACCATTTAGAATTATCGGTTGGGATCCATGATTAAAATAATAGAGGGGCTCACGGTATTTCACAGTATTTCCACTTGAAACGCTGGCTGGCACTTTGAACATACTTTGACCGTAGTACGTACTCTGACTGTAGAATCGATTAAAAGTGGTCCGGACTCACTCCGGCCGTAATGATTAGATTGATTTTTATAAGTTATGGGTGAACTTATTGAAAATTTCTAAAAACCCGCCAATTATAAATCAGTGCACTATAAGTTTTTGATCACACATTTTGATAATTAGAGATTGAAAGTTCACACTCTTTAAGTCGTGTCAGACCCCTGGACCGTGAGGCTTGTTCCCCTTTTTCACAGAGCTGTAAATGTGAAACTCATTATTCACAATTCGTGGTCTGATATTTGATAACTCGATAAAATAATTTAGAGATAGACCGGGATAGACTAGTTTCTTTTCACGTTCCTTCCCTTTGTTATGCGAAAATTTTGGTTTAAAATTCATAGTCTGTAGCAGATTCCTGACACTCAAGTTAGAAATGTTTGTGAGCATTGCACGGCCAGACATGATAGTCACGACCGGATATTGATATCACATATCACGAAAATTTGATCCTGCTATGAAGTCAGTAGCATCTATAGATCGGAGTGCCCGGCTGACAGTAATTCTAATTTTAGCTATCCTTAAATTTATCCATCACGTTTAGCCTTAGGGTTATCACAATGCGAATGTGGATTAACGGTATATTTTTGGAGCCTTAGCATAATTCTGGGAATAATTTTATAATTTCTCATAATTTTATATTTTCTTGCGATGCATTTCTAAAACTGAAAATCCAAAACGATCTCTCGCTATCTGCTATTCAGCTTTCACCGAATTTTGGAATTGTAAAAAAACCTAAACCGGATTCAAAACCAAAAAGAATTCTTTAAAGATCATGATAAAATGATCGTTAACACACTTGATCTGCGACAGTAATCGCATCGGACCGTTATTTAACTCCAACAGCAATTAGTCTAGCTGTAATTAGCCTGTAATTGATTTATTGCATCAGGTGCTCCGTCCCACGGGTGTGGTGGTTAACGACATAGTGGATGACATCGGGTCTGGGGTCCTGCTATGTAAACTAGCCATGTTACTCACCATGAAGAAGATAAGGTACCAGAAGAACCCCAAACTAGTATTCCAGGTTAGCGAATTTAATTTTGATTGGCTTGTAATCTAAGGTTTCCAATAAATTCATTAAGATAAATTCCGGTTCGTTAACGGATATGTCATAGATTTTGTAGATATTTATAACTTTGTAGATATTTATAACTTTGTAGATATTTATAACTTATAAGAGCGAATTTCACGTATTATATGTTTAAAATCACCGTTTTCTTTCAGCGTCAAGAAAATATCCAGAAAGCTTTAAACCTTATAGAGCAGTCCGGATGTAAACTTATCAATATAGGTTGGTTTTAGTAAACTTAATTTTGCCAAATTGTTGACTTTTTCCGGGTACATAGACATTAAAACTATTTTTAGAAATCAAATTATTTGACGTGGTAAATAGTATAGACCGTGAGAAAGTTTGTAATATCTGCTCAGTTGGATATTTCATGATAGCATACTGTATATCGTCACAATTCAGCTGAGCACGTGCTGCCGAGATCACAAGCAGTGCTACCCACGTGCTACCCACGTGCTACCCACGTGCTGTCGAGATCACAAGTAGTGCTACCCACGTGCTACCCACGTGCTACCCACGTGCTGTCGAGATCACAAGTAGTGCTACTGCTACCCACGTGCTCGATAGGGCAGATATCGCCTGTGTGACTGGATATGCCGTCATTATATAATATTATATAACTGAATATATCATGTAAAACTATATTATATAACTTAATAATATTATATAATACTCATCTGGTGTGATCTTTATTTCCTGACCACTAACATTACATTCGCTATACTACACTACTATACTTTACTACTATACTATACTACAGGAGCATCAGACATACTTACCAAGAACGAGAAACTCATCCTGGGTCTGATGTGGCAGCTAGTTCAACACTTCCATGTCTTCCAGGTTACCTCTCTTTTTCAACAGCATTTAATTCATGCATTAAACTTTAGCTCCTTTTGATCTTTGAAATCTAGTACATTTTAGGATTTCTACAACCGCGAATTTTACATTTTCACTTAATATTTACTTTAAATCGATTTGAGATAAAATGGGTTTATATATCTAGAGAGATAATCCTGCTATTGATGCATCCGTTGTAAGTATTGTGAGTATAGCTAATTAGCTGAAATTAGCTGGCAGAAACTTTGCTAATTAAAGCAATTAATAGCAATTCATGCTGAATGATTTAAATAATCATTATTCAACTAATTTCAAACTCACCATAATGAAATTAATTATTATATAAAGTCATTATTTTAAGAGCAATTATAATTTCATTGGAAAAAATTAACGAAATATTAAACATTAATTTGAGGACTAGCTTGATAGCAAAGCTAGAAAATTCCCCAAAATGTTGTGCCTATTAAAATGATGGATAGTTTGATAGTTTGGTAATTTGATAGTTTGATAGTTTGATAGTTTGATAGTTTGATAGTTTGATAGTTTGATAGTTTGATAGTTTGATAGTTTGATAGTTTGATAGTTTGATAGTTTGATAGGTTGATAGGTTGATAGTTTGATAGTTTGATAGTTTGATAGTTTGATAGTTTGATAGTTTGATAGTTTGATAGTTTGATAGTTTGATAGTTGGATAGTCTGATAGTTTGATAGTTTGATAGTTTGATAGCATCCTCCTAAATCTAAACAACAGACAATATCTCTGCAGTTTTAATGTGCTGATGAGGGCCTTTCACCCCGCTATAACATTCGCTGTACCAGCTTCATGACCCTGTAATACCACGTAATATACCCCCCACCTGCTAACCCAAACCCCGTAATACCCCTACCACCCCCCCCCCCCCCCCCCCCCTATAATACCCCCACCTGCTACCCTTCCTAGCTGATGTAACATATACATTTATGAGTTATGACTAATGATTATACCCACACATTTTTAAAATCACTTACATCTTTATATAAATAGCAATCAAATATACCGGAAAACTAAATCTAGATGATGATGATTGCAGATCATGAAACCCAAAACTTGTGCACAATCATGAGTTTCAACTTTCAAACATTAGTTTTGAAAGAGTTTGAAATAGTTGTGCTATATAAGCGATTTAAAGTGCATCTGTGTATGTGGGTACTGGGTATGTGTTCCTAATGTGGTATTCATTCATAATGAACGTGTATTGAATCTCAGGAGCTAGAACAATGACAATGCACACTTATAAATGTGCGATACAAGTTCCAGCTTGAAACTAGAGAGAGAGAGAGAGAGAGAGAGTGTGTGAGAGAGAAACTAAGCCTCATCACCCTCAGCTAATACAATCAATTCCTCATTATTATATTATAATGCCGTCGTTCACTTTAATCAGCTTCTTTCAATCGAGAATTGCTGTGCAAAATTGCTAATTTTATTTATGTCATCGCTGTTGCTTTGTTAACATATGACCAAATTTGTTTTTACATAAGCTTAGCTGTTGATTTGAAAAAAAAACAAATTCATTTGATCAACATGAAGTCTGGCCAGTACTACTGAAGGTTAAACTGTTATATTGCTGCAATAAAATCACTTTCATATTGTTTATTTGATAAGTTTGAATCACTTAATTTATAAAAATCAATTTTGTTATCAATACAGTAATCAATCACCATCATCATAATATTCACTGCAAAATCTTATCAAAAATTCTAACATGAAGGCCTCGTTTTAATTTTATTTAAAAGCACTAACACAATAATATCCTCACAGTTAGTTAGTTTAAAATATACTTTTCTCTTCAGTCGATAAAAAATGTAAAGAGTTTGAATCAAACTATGAAGGATGAAAATCTGATGGGAAATGCTGGGGATGAAACTGATGAGATCTACGACGAGTTGACACCCGCCGAAAAGTTAGATTTCTTTTATCTAACTTCATGATAGCTTTAGCTGCATTTCAAATCCTTTTTGTTCAACATTTTGTCGCAGTAGTGGCATTGCAGAGGCGTTCAAGTGCCGTTCTGGTGACATCATTATTTTAGCTACACCGTTGTTAAATTTATGATATTGTTGCTGGGTAGCAATTTATTATAGTTCCTTTCAGGAAACATAAATCCTCTGAGATCAAGAAACAGATTATAGGTGAGTCTAGATCTTTCGTACAAGCGCATTGTCTCAAAGTGCTAGAAACTTTGAGATAAGTTTCAAATTCTATGGTTAATTAACAGCTTAAACGTCACATTTGTCCTTTTTTTAATGATCATGTAAACTCAAATAAAAGGAGATTCATTCTTTCTTCATCGGACTAATCAACATCAAAGAGCTTAGAAATCTCCTCAGAAAAGTCAGATTTAGCTAAATTCCTCTGCCTATATAACAGCGTTCATATTAAAGTTTGAGTTATACGCTCCCCCTTTAAAAACCTATCCATAATCTCGAGAACGGGTTTAAATACTCTTTCCGGAGCGTCCATACCGAGCAAGTAATCATCGTGGTTATACTTGTCTATAAACATGACTTTCACTATGCTGGGGTAAATCGTCTTTATCAACCACATCACGTCTCTTGTGTCGCCTGATGATAACTTAATAAGAGTCACGAATTAGGTACATATTTAATTTTATGATAATAATAAGAGTTACGAAGTATAGGTTATTATTGTAAGGTACAATAACATATTGAATTTTGCGCGACCTTTGTCTCAAACATGTAAGTGAAGCTTTGGTTATGCACCTTAGAATTATACAGTTAAACCTCGATTGAACTCAGTAACTGCATAATTCCAATTTTACGAGAGTTAAACTCGGTTACACATTTAATGTTAATGTCCGACAACCATGAAAACATTCTCGTAGCACCCCGCTGGTATTCGGAGAGAGGGTGACCTAAATATTTTAAACTGGGCCACTTTCCACTGACCTAGCCAGACGTTACCGCCTGCTACCAGTACAGTAGGGATAATAAGAGTCACGTGATAATAAGAGTCACGTGATAATAAGAGTCACGTGATAAGAGTATAGGACACGTGACACTTTCCACTGACCTAACCAGTCGTTACCGCCTGCCACCAGCACAGTTGGGATAATAAGAGTCACGTGATAATAAGAGTCACATGATAGTAAGAGTCACGTGATAATAAGATTCACGTGATAATAAGAGTGTAGGACACGTGACACTTTCCACTAACCTAGCCAGTCGTTACCGCCTGCCACCAGCACAGTAGGGACCCTCATGTTAGTGATGTTGTACAGTGGGGGAGTGGTCTGGTTGTACCGGTCCATGTTGGCTTTCTCTGAGCCGTAGTCAAACTTCTGGACACGTTTGTAGCGGAGAAGTTGGGCCCAGTGGATTATGTCTTTTGTTGAGGTTGATTGGTCACCATGGGCTTGGTAGATGGGATACCTGAGTGGACAGGTTACAGCAGGTCAAAAACAGACAAACAAACAAACAAGCAGGTTATAGCTTTACAAATTCTAATATATAACGAAGAAGGGGAGTATTTTCTGTAAATGGTTATCCTCTATTATCTACAGAATAACCCAGAGATTTGGATCGACCCTCAAAGTTAACATGTTAAAGTTAACATTAAACATGTTAAAGTTAACAAAGTTAACATGATTAAACCGTGTTTTGTTGTAGTTAGAGATGTCGAAGCCACTAACAAGAGAGTCCAGTGTCTCACATAGACCCATGGTTATAGCGTCCTCGGGACAGATCTTAGTAGCGAAGTATAGTGCAACCTGGGGTGATGGTTTGTTAAGAACCACTGTAGCTGTGTTAGTTTCCCATGGAAAATTTCCCTTTTTAGTAAGAATGTGAACTGTTGTGTCAAGTGGTAAGTCAAAGTGTCACTGCAGTTTAGCCTTAAATCTTAAATCTACAAATAGTGAGGTTCGTAAGAAACTGTGTCTCAATTTCAGTTGTGTAAGTACTAAGTGGGCTGGGTTTGATGGAATGATTATAGAGGACAGTGCCTAGGGTAGAGGGTGGAGAGTTAGTGGGGTCCAGTTTCGTATTTTAACACGCCTAGATTAGTTTATGTAATTTAAAGTATCACGCTTTGATTTTATTCATCACTTAACAATACGCACGAATAACAACGCCACATTATAATAAAAACATCACAACTTTAAGAAAACTACCGCTGAAGGGGGATCAAATTGCCTGTTGCCCAGCAACCAGTAGAGCACGCCCTCTAAATCCACCAGATCTTTAAGTGCAGCTATGAGTCCTTTAGCGTAGCTGATTCTAGCGATGGGGGCTAGGGCAGTGAACAGTGAGATTTTAGATGCTAAGTCAGGATTACTGGAGAAACCCATGAAACCCATTTCAGTTCCTTGGGAATGTCCGACGTAGAAGACCTTCTTTCGTCCTGTTACCTGAGTTAAATAGGTGTAATAAATTAATAATTAGGATTCATACATGGAATACAATTTCACTATCACGAATAAAAATTCAGGAATAAAAGTTAGGGGTTAGGAAGACAATTTAGTATCAGCTTCAAGACCTGTGTCACGTGTCATAGAGATATGTCACGTGTCAGTGAGACCTGTTAATCAGAATCTCACCTTAAGAACATGTTCCACCATGGCGGGCAGGTCTATTTCTGCCATCTCCTGAAATGAGAAGTCCCAGAACTCCTTGTCGTTGGTGGTAAGGGTGGTGTGGTTTAGAGAGTAGATGTTACCCCTCGCGTGATTGTAGGACTGAATCCCTACCGGACGGAATCACTACCACCCAAATATCACTACTGGTAGTGATTTAGTCCGGTAGAGATTCAGTCCGAAAATATACCTCAATCCCTACCAGATGATCTTAGTTCACTAGTTCTAATATCATGACGTGATCTGAGCCGGGGCTCTCATGGAGTGCTTGCTATGGGGCCTGGCAGACATGTGATCCACAGACTTACGTACGCAACGAGGAGCCCTAACGAGAACTGGTTCGGATCAAGTCATCCATAATGACCTGCTATACGACAATACAGTGATGTGAACCTTCACATGCTCGGTATCTCAATCAGCTAGCGGGAATAATATATAACACACATAACCCCGGCATGCGCAGGGATTATATTTCAATTTTTCCCGCGACGCGCGGGAAAAATTTATAATAATTTCGAGTGCGAAGCACGAGGGATTATTATGAAAATAACCCCGACGTGCTTTAGCACGAGGGGTTATTTTAATATAACTTAAGCGTGCCGGTGTTATGTGTTATAAACCCCTCCGGGTTAGTGCTAGGATCAACAAATTTGACATTTTACTCTTAATTCTAGCCATATGAGATCAGTATGGAAAATATGAAATGGAATTGGGCACTACCAAATTGAAATAAATACAACTAAGGTACAATGACATTTGAAATTGGCGTTATATCTAAACATTATTCCTCAGTCAGAAGTACGTTGAATGAATATGAATATCGATATAAAGGGGCGTCGAGTTAAGCCTGGCAAGCGATAAAAGGTGGAGCTAATAATGATATCGTGTCATGAAGTTCATCAAAGTAGACGACTATAATACATGGCTTATATCAAACACGACAAAATTAACCGGACGAAATCAAATGTAACCGTCGAGACAAGTTCTGGAACTGGTCCTATTAATGTAAGAGTTTAAGTAATGTAAGCAGTGTGCTGGAGTTTTGCCAGCGCCTGCAATTAGACCGATACGTAGATCAAGTGTATTTATAGTTCTTACGTTAAGCCATAGGTCACGTGACATTTTTTACCAATGCGCGTCGTAGTAGTTAGTCACGTGATACACGTCATCAAAACACGTGACAGTGCGCAGTTGAAATTCTCATGGAATATCAAAACAAAACAAATCTTGTTGAGCCAAATTAGCGGGGCGGGATTATAGAAGTTGTGCCGGGGTTATTTATTCAGCGGGAAAAAACTAACAGCGGGAGGCGGGATTATCAGAATCTATTAAGCGGGAGCCGGGATTATCATAATCTTATTCTATCCCGGAGGGGTTTATAAACCCGCAACGCCTGTGTTTATCTTATACCACTATGTCTTCCTCATCCATCGAGTTTATTCCTGGCAGAAAGAAAGGCAGCCACAACGTCCTCTACGATGGTCACCTCTACCACCTTAACAGAAAGAGGGAAGACAAGACCTACTGGAAGTGCAACAAGTGCAAGTCCCGCCTGATCCTTGTCCTCAACGAACTGGACTCCTACGGACCCTTCTACCCTCAGTCGGTGCTGGTGGACTATGAAATCGCTATCAGAAACGCAGTCTCCAACGTCTGGCCTGGTACTACCTTGAGAGGATGCTGGTTCCACTTCAAACAGTCCTTGTGGAGACACCTGCAGAGCGAGGGACTTGCTGCTGACTACTACGCGTGGCGGCTTCTCAAACCTTCTCTTCCTGCTGAGATGAGTGCCTTCGCAAGATACTTTGAGTCGACATGGATCGGAACCACCTCCACCCCTCCTCTCTTCAGACACGACTCCTGGAATCACCACGAAGCGGCCCAGATGTTACTACCTCGCTCCAGCAACATCGCAGAGGGTTGGAACAGCGGCTTCGCCTCCTTGGTCAACTGTCACAACCCTTCTATCTGGAAGTTCTTAGAGTGCATCAAGAGGGAGCAGGCTTTGACAGACGTGAAGATCACCAACATCCTCACCAGAAAAGCCTTCAAGAGAGCAGCAAAGTGGGAGAAGTTTGACCTGGAGATGCAACGTATGGTTGATGATTATGATAACTTTGGGGATGTTACCGAGTTTCTGAAAGCTGTTGGATCTAAGATTTTGGGTTAATGCTTTAATGTTTACTTATTATTGTGTGATTTAAATTACTGTATCAGTATATTATCTATTATTCTTTGACCAAATTTCTGCTTAGTCAATTATCACGAAAAATGTAATAATAATTAACAAAATAAAATAATTAACTAATGAAATACGAATAATTATGCCTTTATTGCAAAGTTCAGTAGGGATCACATCAAAGTGGTTAGGTCTAGATATTAGCGGTAGTGATTTAGTCTGGTAGTGATTCAGTCCGAAAGTATACCTCAATCCCTACCAATAGTGATTGGTAGTGATTCAGTCCGTTAGGGATTCAGTCATGTAGTGATTCGGTCCGTTCACCGATCGGGTCAGTGAACCTAACGATATAGAGCATAGCACCAATAAAGCATTAAAATAAGATGTGTAATTCTATACCAGGATTTTAATTCGGTCGCCTGTGAAAGTTCGCCATTTACTCGAGCAATTCTGAAAATTCGGCTGACAAATATGTGAACAATAGCATTAGCCATCTCCTCGATTTAACTTTGTGGCAAATATATTACATTTTTAATACAAAAACACTAGCATAGCAAAAAATGTGAGTTATGGTGGTGTAAGAGCCAAGAAGTTTTTATAAAGGAGCATCTTCCCCAACATGATTAGCAGTGGTGTGTGGTTTTATTTTAGTAAAAAACAGACAGTTCAGGCGATAGGTAATGTTCTTGCCGATGTGGAACACAAATGGCAAAACACTGGAGGGGTACTCCACATATGGGGTACTCCTTCGCTGTTTAAGGGTTAATGAAGGTGGCATCTGTCCCCAACATGATAAGCACCGGTGTGTGGTTTTGTTTGTGGTTTTTATTTACACTTTACATGCTAAACGCTTTTAATATCACATCTTGAAGCTTCAAACTTAAGCACACGTCTGAGCCCCTTTGATCCGCGTGTATAGTGTAAGCAGGACACAGCTGAATGTATAACATGCTAAAACACGTACTGACTGCCGCTTTGAATGTAAATATCACCCTCCTCGGTCCTCCCCTGGAATGTCAACATCAAAATATCTCATGATATGTACTCTGTCTGACTCTGCGGTACGCTTTTATCAATTATCAGGGAAGTGTGCTCACTATCGCTACCGGACCTTTAGAGAAAAAATCACGAACATTGAACGGTACACGCCCACTGTAGTTCGACACGCACTGTAGTTCGAAAAACCCAGAAATTAGACTCTGTCGAACTAGAGTGCGCTAACTGGACTTACGTTCGACACGTTCTGAAGTTCGACAAGAAAGGGATATTCATAAAGATACCTACATTTTGTAATTTAGATTAGCTTTGAACAACTATGGGTACGAGCCGTAAACAGGTACGATCTACAAATTTCGCTCCATGCTCAATAATTCAGACCGAATCGATCATTTGGGTTCGTTCACATTACCAGATTGAATGTTACACGGAATGTTCAATCTTACAAAGAATGTTACACTCTCAGTCTTTGAGCTTATTACGTTACTAGTGTAACCCGTGCCTTCGGCCGCGGGACTTTACTGTCACAGTTGCGATGTAAAAGTATACAACCGCATTATATATTTGATATCACGCATAACGCTGTCTTATGAAAGTATGAAATCTCCCTACAGTTGCTTATAGTATTACGTGGGGCTAAACTAATTACGGTACATGTTATCCTCCTCGTTCTCTCTCCCATCCATTTATGTCACATTTCTGGAACAAAATCATCAATTACCTTACAAGACATATTTATAACGTACGAAATGTGGCGGTTTTCCGAAAATTTCGCCATATTTTCGGACCGCCAAAATTTCGGTCGTCGCAAATTAGGCCGCCATAAATATGTCTTGTAAGGTAAACCACTTACCACCGGCCGATTTTTATAAAATTTGCTTATGGGCTTCGTCAGAGTTTTGTCAGCACTATACCGAAAAAACCAGTCCTAGTAACTATTACCGTTTTTTTTGTATAACCGTTCGGAAATTACACACACATAGACACACAGACACACACACATTCTGGTGTTATTAAGTTGATGTTAATGACCCAGTGAACCCAAGTACAGGGAACACTGTTTACCTGTTCGTTTAATATAAACGGTAAGCTCCCGTATCTTCTGTTCAATAGGAATATGTCACTACTTGAGGTGAGACCGTGTTGGAGGAACACTACGGGGCGGTTATCTGAAAATATTTAGTTTTGAAATGGAGAAATTCTGTAGAAATTTTATGTGAAAATGGAGTGCTTCTTAGGAAATATATCTTCATAAGGAATAAAAATGGAGGAACTAAAAGTTCAGGGCTGAAAATGAGTCGTTACTGAACATGGGGGATCGCTACTGGAAATTTTGGCCATTGATAGATACTAAATCCTATTCATAGAAAGTTGGACAAATTTGGTATTGTTCAAAAAGTCGGCAGTCCCCTTTCTAATTTGTCGCGTATAATAGTCCCATCACTCTAGTCAGGTATTTCCCCATTATTCGTCAGCCAGCCAGAACAACACTTTACATCGTAATAGATATTGATATCGTTACATTCTGTGGATTTTTAGTGACATATTGATACGAATAAAAGAATAGAATTGAGATCGGTGCAAATTAAGATATCAAGATGAACCAATGATCAAAATTAAGCAAATCTTGGAAGAGTAGTATAGTAGTAGGAATAGTATAGTGGTAGGAATAGTTTTATATGTTTTCTATCCACATTAGCTGACTGCTGGGTATTATGGGAAATTGGAATCTCGACCACTTGAGATCTGGGGTCCCACGGTGATCGGACCACGTCAACCGGCTTCTCTCTCGAATTTTTTGAACTAAAAGCCGGAACAGTACTGTCACTTACTGCAAACTAGTATTCAGCTAAGTGCTACACTGAAAAACTGCGGGGGAAATCCAAAGAGTCACGCCCATGACAGGTGACAGATGACAGGATGGTGCAGTATTACGACTGATCAGTGGCTAGAGGTCGCCGTGAAATGACGGAAAGTTATGGCTGTCAGTTCCATGCGGAGACTGGATCAGTGTATGACTGTATAGACTCTACAGTGTAGAGTATAGCAGTCATAACGAGCTTCAAGAGTAATGAGCTATCTCGTTGTGAGACTGAGTAACTGCACTACACTATAACTGCACTGTAAATGCACTGTAACTGCACTGTAACTGCACTGTAACTGCATTATATTACGAACAATCGGTTAGTGTTGAAGACTTAACTATCTCAGTATCTCTTCTGCTGGAACCTACCTGTGTTGGGCTTCACTCTGAATATCTGCAGAATATAACCATCCTTAGTCGTCACCAAATGAGTCTCCGAAACAAAACCATTATCAGCTATAAGCTGAGGACTGTCCATGTAACATTCTGGATCCACATGACGGCTCCTCGATTGTGAGCTTACTTTCTTAAAGCTGCCCCAACCTTGAACATCAACAAAACATAGTACACTGAGAAAACAGAGCAAGCGATACATTTTGCAGATATATGGAGTACAGTTCACATTATCTGGTATTAGGGTCAGGGCTAAGCAAGCTAATCAGGAGACCTTATTGAGACAATACTACCCGGGTACTGTTACAAATCTCATTATACACAGAGTTCTTAGCAACTGCTCCTTCATACAAACTTTCATTATTTTTCTAAAAAATCACACTTTAAATAATCTGCCTTACTTTACATACCTTGGGATATCAGGGGGACAAAAACATCGGTGACTTATTTCTTATCGTGTTATTTAAGTATTTAGGTTATGGTCACAATCTGCCCTCACTGTCTGGTGACTTTCTGTTGGAAACTTGCCAACAAAATGGAGCAGTATTATTCAAAACTGACACATTTAAGATTTTTTTAAAAGCGTAAGAAGTTACGATTTCCACATCCAAAAAAGCTCAAGTATAGTAGCACCAATTCAGAGATTGGGCATCAGAGAGGGCATGGGCTATTTAGCCGATAGTTGGTAGCTACAGATAGCTGCAAAATATAACATTTCAGCGGACATGAACAGAAGAATGGCTCCGAGAGGAGTGGAGGTCCATAATTTCAAATCTGATTGGAAGGACGGTGAGGCACTATGTGCTCTCGTGGACTACAATGTCAAAGGGATATACGACCTCTATACAGGTTACAATTTCACCTCACCAGTCAAATCATCTCAATTTTTAACACAATATAGCAGCATTGCCCATAATTACAGATTAGCTCTTCTCATTCAGTTTATTTGTAACATTCCCCCTAAAATTCCCACACCTCCTGCCCAGACTCAGACCCGGTTCAGAAAGTAGCTCAGAGTATGATAGCCGCATACAAGTTCCTGGGTATACCTCAACTCATTGAACCAGAGGATTTCATCAGTAACCTTATCGGTACGTTTACTTCAGAACGCTCTTGACTTATCAGTTATCACTATAAAACGCAACAGAAATAATCCATGAAATTAATCTTCGCTTTATATGATCATTGATAATCTAACTAGGCAATTTGTTTTAAATTAAAACCACAATATCCTTTGCAGACGAGCAAACAATGTCAATGTACCTGTCCTGCTTTGTGCACGATGGAATTGAACAGATATCAGTGGATCTGTTTGAAGGAATGGAGAAAGTGGAAAAGAATGATGAGTTGGTGGAGAAAGTAGCAAGAGCGAAACCAAAGTTGGTGAAAACCAAGTCAATGATGGCGGTTGATAGCGGTACTGAGAAAGCGGCAGATATTCTTGGTCATATTCAGGTTAGTAGAGTATGGGGTTGTCTCCATTACTTTCAGATAAAGATTTCGAAGAGAGCGTATTTTCGTTAAGTGATCTACAATAAGGTCAATTTTATTTAACTGCTCACTATTGAAAAATTGACCTGAGCCAACAAAATAGACGCCTTTATGCTTGATTTGAAACCAGAATTATAGCGGCCCTTTTAAAATAAAATGGTGTTTCTCCCGGAGCCAAAGTCAACAATAGTTTTTAACTCAGGTCTCTATTTCAAATTTGACAGGCATAATGACTCGGAATTATATAAAATTAACACAGAACCCATGTAACACCTCTGTAACACCTCTGTAACACCCCTGTAACACCCCTTTAACCCTGTAACAGATACCTGTAAGTATGTGTCTCATCTGAACAGTACGTTTATATGGAAACAGAAAATATCCAAACTAAATCTGCATGATTCGTCCTGATGAGGACGTTACCGCATGATCGCTTTTAAATGTATAGCTGAAATGTGTGACATAAATGTATAACATAAATGTTCAATGTCTCGATTTTTTCCAACATCCTTTAAAGTTAAACGTGTAATTCTGTAAACGTGTAATTCTGTAAACGTGTAATTCTGTAAACTTGTAATTAATAATTAAATTATCATGATTAATTAGAGAAGTGTTCAGTGTTCACCTATGTAATGATCAAGACCACAAATGTGTGCACTGAACATGCAGAAACCTTGATCAAGAAACTTGCTAAATTTCTTATTGTCTACTTTCAAGTATATTGCAGTATATGCTTATATAATGCGTACTTTAAAACCTAATGTAAAATAATAGTCCAATAACGTTGTTGACAATTTAATTGACAATCACCGTTTTATAATTGCTATGGATATTCAATACAAATTTTGCTTCAATTTTGACTTTTCGTTATGATTTTAGAGCTTTGTAAAATTTAATACAATTTAACTATTCATCATTAAATCAACAATCAAGCATTCTCTTGATAAAAAGTTGTCGATTTACTCGTGAAATTTAGTTAGCTGTTCATAATCATATGGGTATTGAGCATGTCGTAAATAATATTGTGGATCGCATGATTTTTATGTTAAAAAAAGCAAATTCTGAAACCAGAAATAAAGGTATTACAGGAAGAAGAGGAAAAAGTGCAAAAGGAAAACATGTCAGCGCTCACGGCAACACAACAGCACGTGCAGAAGCTATTGCATCATTTACCGCCCAAACCCGAACAACATTCTCTCAGTGAGATCCTATCTCCCCAGGCCAGGTGAGGGAATTTCATACAGCTGATTTTAGTTAAGTTAGTTTAGTTTTAGTTTAGTTATAATGTATATTAGATTTCATTGGAGTCTGTGGTCGAGTATGTTAATAAAAATACGCATTTAAATGACAAGCTCGAGTAGTCAGTAGATACTTATTTGATCGGGCAATGACTCGAATCAGGTTCGTAGTTGGTGTGCGCGCCTTCAATTCGTTTAGCTACCCATGCATCAAGTAATCAAGTGATCACCCCAAGTACACCGTATCATATGTTTAATTCCTGTTTAATTCCTGTTTATGCATCCCAATTTAGGGCTGTGTCTACCTCACATACGGCCATTGAACATTAAACATCAGTATAGAAACACTGTCGTACATTGTAATACCTCACAATATTATACATGCTGATGGAACACCTTAAATGAGCCCGAAATAGGATGAACTAATTCCATGAGGCTTTTTTGACATTGTTAAGTATTTAATTGGGATTTAGGTGAGTATGTTTGTAGGTATACTGAGTGGAAGCTCGTATAGCAATGTGTGCATCGCCTTATCATTGGGCGAAACGTTGACGTAACCGGTTAGTTTTTGTCAATCAAGTCTAAAAACGGTAGAGCCTCTCAACTCATAGCAACAGTGTATTTTCAGTAAATCCAGGTGTGTACACAAACTAATGAAGAGGGCTGAATCTCTCCTAAATGAGCTGCTGCCGTATGTAACAGGTTGAATCCCATGTGATTATGAGACGGTAAAGTGTCTGCAATCACCGCTCAATCGCTCCAAACCGTACTGATTCCGATCTGTGTGGTGTCGCTTGTCTGAATTACTAGAATTAGAGTCAGTTGTCTCGTTATTTGAGGTAGAGTTGGTGTGTTTTGTTTTGAGATTGAGGGCTTTGTCTTTTCGTTTTACAGTAAAACTTTGTTTTACCGCGGAGTTTGGGGAGAAAAAACGACCGCAGTAAATCTTGGTTTTGCTGTAAAAGGAATAATTAATAAAGGGAAAGGAATCCGGGATAATGAATGACCCAACAGGAAACTTTTTGCTTTTGAAATAATTTTCAAAACTCAATTCGTTTACATTTGAGCAAATTTTTACGTGTTTTATGCACTACTCTGTGAGCCCATAATTTTTGTACATACATATATAGAACAAAATAACGATAAAACTCTGAGAAAAGTTGTATTTTTATTTCTATTAATAACTAGCATAATACATCATGAGGTCTCAGATTGTAAGACAGTAGACTGACAATCGAATGTTGAGGTAATATTGAGGTGCCCAGCTAGAGAACGCTCCAACAATGGTTTCTAACTTAACATTATCTTTAATTTGTTATAGGTTTACTTTGTTAAATAACGATAAAACTCTTAGAAAAGTTTTATTTTTATTTCTATTAATAACTAGCATAATACATCATGAGGTCTCAGATCGTAAGACAGTAAGACTGACAATCGAATGTTGAGGTAATATTGAGGTGCCCAGCTAGAGAACGCTCCAACAATGGTTTCTAACTTAATATTATCTTTACTTTGTTATAGGCGTGACTTGTTTGTGAGTGTTGTAGTAGTGGTTAATAAGGTTATTAGTATATGGAGTTTTTTTTTCATAATTTAGTCTGCTTCCTCACTAACCAAGGATAGTAGGTATGTATAAACAATTATAAAGGAGCAGTGTTCTCAGCTAATTTTACTGTATTCGAGAGTAAATCGCCTCAGTAGAACCATGAGGGAAGATTTGTGATCTCAATCTCTTTGTGTGGTTTTATGTGTTAAAATGAGGACCAAGAGAGTAGTTATAATGAACAACTCTCAAAATTTTAGAGAACTTGCAGTCTTTTGAGAACACTCATAGCAATCTACATCAACCGTGGGTAGGGATTGTAAGCTATTTTGTGCGATTCCTTGAAGTTGTACAATCAGGCCATTTTCTATGTACAGTACCATTGTGACATGCTCTCCCTCAATTCACAGTTATCCTTTGGATTTTACTTCCTAAATTTGGTTATTGAGTTAAAAATCGAGATTCTCCGAATCAGTATACACATTTAGTCGGGAACCTCGGTTTACAGTTCCTACCATCATTAAAGTTATGTGTAGAAAATATTCTCAGAATGGACATGTATAGTGTAAAAAAGAGCTCAAATTTAGTTTACTGTTGGTCTGTGTGCATTCTCCGTCTCGGTACACTGCTTTTATCTTTATAGGGGTTCTATAAAAATACTCAAAATTCAACGTTAACAGTCAAGTCGTATTAACCTTGCCCTCTTTCAATATACTACTGCTACTACTCTTTCAATATGCAAACCACTGTCTAGTTAAACCACTAATAAGAGTTGTATAGTGTGACAGTTTAGATTTGGGTTCATATCGCCTGTGTAGATTACTCAATCGAAACAAGTTTTCCTTTTATTTTCATTCCCTTTTCTGGAACTGGACAAATGACGAGTTTCCTAAGTATGCAGTGTCTAGTTCCACACCACGTCCATGTATCTGCAGTATTTGAAGAGGTTGCAAACTGCCAAGGGTTCCGACCGCCAAGTTCCAATCATTTGTATATTGTGTTCTTAATAAATCTAGCAATAAGCTATTAACTATAATACAGTGGTGTAACGTTGCCTGTTGGCGCCAGCCCCCCCCCCCCCCCCCCCCCCCCCCCCGCTGAAAAAGCACCCCCCTGTTGGCGCCCCCTCGACTTTTGGTAACCGCTCGCCATTCGGCGCAGTGGCGTAACGTTGCCTGTTGGCGCCCCCTGCCGAAAAGGCGCCCCCCTGTTGGCGCCCCCTCTCCTTTTGGTGCCCCTCCCTAAAATTGAACAAATTAGGCGATTTAAGAGGATACGCCGGTAAAATCTCTAAAAAAGTGTGTATCTAGAGCAAAACGCGCAGTTTTGCTAGTACTTTAGTTAAGTTTTGGAAATTGTCCCACATTCAAACGACGATTTGGCGCCCCCCTAAGACGGCGCCCCCCTGCACAGCGGGGTCAGCAGGGCCCTTCGTTACGCCACTGATTCGGCGCCCCTCTCTAAAATTGAACAAATTAGATGATTTTAGAGGATTCGCCGTTAATATCTCTAAAAAAGTGTGTTTCTAGAGCAAAACGCGTAGGTTTGCTAGTACTGTAGTTAAGTTTCTCAAAATTGTCCCACATTCAAACGACGTTATGGCGTTCCCCCCCCCCCCCTCCCCCCCCTAAGATGGCGCCACTGCAACTTTATTGTACACTGTACAGATGTGCTTTTAAGCAACTATGTGTTACTATTATACGTAGTTTAACTTGGCTACCTCGGTACACAGTAAATAGTCGTGATTATAAGTAATTATTTTGTATCTATCTTTCTAAATTTCGTATCGAGTAACTTGTAATTATATCGACTGGAGAGTGCCCTAACACCACGTAACACCCTAACACCACGTGACCACGTGACCACGTGACCACGTGACCACATGACAAAATACTCTGTCTTCTTTATCTGTGAACTTTTTAGTATATAATTCTATATTCCTGTTGTTGCCCATTACATATCACATTAATTAGGCCACAAAATTTAGACGAAAGAAAAGTTCTTAATATAAATGGAGTGCCGTTTCACATTTTTAATTGTTCGTAATAATAATAACGCTGACAATTTGTTTGTCCTAATTATTGCGCAATCTCTCGTTATGATGACTATCTTATGACGCATAATATTTTATATACCATACCACGTCCTCTGCTGGCAACCCTCCAATAAAGCTAAACTACCAAGTGTTTTCAGTTCTATGTGACCGTTGTGACTGTACTGTGTCTACGAAATATTTAATTCCATCCATAATCCCCCTTCGTTTTAACATAAGAAAAGCATTTTCTTGCTGGGCGGCTGTTTACTATTATAAACTTAAAAACTTGTCCCTGTTAAATAATATCGATACATATTCACTGAATATTATTCAATCAGTAACAACCTCCCACAAGCTGTTTCCCAAAACATAAAGACTAAAGTTGTAGGCCCACCCTCTTTGGCTCTTTTGTTCCCCTTTCTTAACAATACACAGTACAAGCTGTCCGCCATCTAGTTAACCAGCAAATATGTGGGGCGGGTGTTATCACTATTACAGAGAGAGAGAGTTATCACTATTATCAGTTATTGTTCTCTCTATTTCGTGTTGATTGAGAGCTCCCTTAGTCTAAATGATATAGTGCACCGGTACTCCGTGATGGAATGAAGCTATGTGGAGTGATGTGATGAGGATTAAACGAGGATGAGTAATGCTGGATTACTCGCGCTACTTTGCGGCTGCTTTCCTTTAAACCGCAAGCTTGGCAGGTTCGTAGTATTCGATCTTTGAGGGATTATAAGAGTTATTTTATGGAGTGTAAAAAATATTCAAGTTTCTTCAGAGCGTCTTCAGATTATTAATGCAATGGGGAGGTATGTGGGGAGGTATGTCTTTCGATTATGCGGATATGGAATATTTACCGCGAAAATCAAGCATGTCTTAAAAGACTTATGTATTTTATTTAGGCAAAGAATTCTGTGAAACAATTTTAGTTACATTTTCAACGAATACTTGGTATTGGTGAATAACACGAGATGAGGGGATTTAGAATTTTAAGCTTGATATTTGCGTCTCTTGTGTAATATTGGGATTTGGGGTTCAACTGTACAGATATTCGTTATAAAATAACATACAATATATTCCAAGAGATAGTATGGAGTGGATATAATATAGTGTAGTGACGAGACCCTATTGTGTTCTCCACCTTTGTCGATTGTAAAAGTGTGTTACGTTTCTGAGGGGTTATCCAACCAGTTGTGTCTCTGCCAGCATGTAATGTTTGATGTATTGATCACACTTTACAGTCCATCAATAGTGCCTGGTCAGTTAATTACCACAGTTAATAAAGCTAACAATAAGGATCCCTACGTGTTATTACGTCACGTACCACGTGTTATGACGTCACACACCACGTGTTATGACGTCACGTACCACGTGTCATACTGCTAAGCTAACAATAAGGGTAACAATAAGGATTAAGGGTCACTACGCCAGTCAGTAACACCTATATTTCCATGTTGCACACTGTATTTCGTACTTATTAACTGTGTGTACTGCGTTTATAAGAAACACTTAGTCTTACTCTGTAATGATATAAACACTTACTGTTCCATTTCGATTTGTACAATTTTCCTCGGTATTTTATATTATTATGACATGTACAGTTCATTGTACAGCAGCTTAGTTCAAAAGTATGAAATCTGAATAATGGATGATATTGTATGACGACAATTTAAGAGACAGTCATAGGGTTTTTAGTGCATTAAGTTGATTAATTAGATAATTAAGACAGTATTGGTTGGAAATGACTGTCATGAAGAAATCGTCCTGCTCCTTGTAGTTGATGTAATCAAACCAAGTTTGGAAGAGGTAACCCTGGCGAGCAGAATATCTTGTTTTGCTTGTTTCCCGGCGAAACTCAGTCGAATAAGCAGGTCGGTGTAAACTTATAAGGCAATAGTAACCATAGTAACCATAGTAACCATCAAGGCAGTGTTCTTTACAAGTGTCATGCAATTGTAGAAATATAGAAATATTTCATGTCAAAAGTGAGAACAAGTTTGTTGAGAGTGACTAAGGTTTAATACCGCGGTTCAGTTACTCTATTAGCAGAGTGTAGTTCAGTGTTATGACGTCACGTACCACGTGTTATGACGTCACGTACCGCGGTTCAGTTATAACTCTAGTAGCAGAGTGTAGTTCAGTGGGTTGATCTAGAGAATACAGAGAAGATAAGCGAGCGTGCGAATGACATTATAAACGTGAGCTGTTAAATTTCATCAACCGGCTATAAGTAGCTAAGTTTCGTTGCCGTGCTAAAGTTGCAAAAAGTTGATTTTGAACAACCTTTCAACAAATTAAACTACAGCAATCTTACACGCACCTCATGGCATTCTTGCTAAGAGTTACACCACATCACGTCACCTCAGTCCTCACATCACGTCACCTCACGTCACCTCACGTCACCTCACGTCACCTCACATCACCTCACGTCACCTCACGTCATCTCACATCACCTCACATCACCTCACGTCATCTCACATCACCTCACATCACCTCACGTCACCTCACATAACCTCACATCACCTCACGTCATCTCACATCACCTCACATCACCTCACGTCACCTCACATCACCTCACATCATCTCACATCACCTCACATCACCTCACGTCACCTCACATCACCTCACGTCACCTCACGTCACCTCACATCACCTCACGTCATCTCACATCACCTCACATCACGTCACCACAATAATACCTTCTCAGTTCTCGCCCCTTGCTTGTACACATTAGCCATGGTATCATTGATAATTATACTCTGTAGACAAAGAACTCATCACATAGACAACTTCAGCAATAACGCTGACTAAGCTGTCTGAGTCCATCACATTCTACCCAATATTTATTAAAGGCGCGATTGTGGTGACTGTTAAATCATCACATAAAATCCAACCTTCAACAATGTTAGATATCTTAGTTTATGATATCCTTTCTTCTTAATCTTATTGGGTTTGTCATAATATTGATTATTTTGGTGACGTCATTAAAACAGTCGCATGAATCGTGTCATTGCAGATCAAACAGCACAGACTCTTCGATCGATGAAGGGATTGGAGCTGAGTTGACGGATGCCTCTTTACAATCCACCCCGAGCAAACTCTCTCCCGGTAAGAATGCCATCTTGTTAAAGCTGACGTTTTTGTTCGAATGTAGTCTAGACTTGTGTGTGTATCAATAGATCCTAGACTTATATCTTATCATATCTAAATAGGTCGCACTGTTATTTTGACTGGTCATAAATTCCTCCGTTTCTTTATTATTTACATTCAACATTGGCGTTTTCCTGAGTTGACGACCCCATCAAACCATGTACTCATAAGACCTGTTATAAGTTACACAATGTGTGCACCTAACGTTTAATATCATCTCCTAATTTGTAAAACAAATTCTAATGTCAGGGTACAAACCATCAACAATGTTTTCATTTCAGAGCCGGAATCTGTAGAACTAAGCGAGGATGTAATAGGAAAAGTGAGTTTGGAGGCGTCTTTGCCATCGCCAGACCTTGATGACACGATCCAAGCTCCTGAAACAGAGACTCCGACAAGTACATATAATATTATTAGATAATATCGTTAAGTAATGCTTTCGAATAATATTATCAATGAAATACCTCTGTACTCCGGTTCTTGATGGAGTATTGATAAGGCAGTCATAATAAGATCTAACACACTTTGATTCTAGCTCGCTGTTAAATCCTTTAATCGTATGTAATGTTTCAGCCAATGTGGCGGATATCATCGAAGACGAAATCCAGCTCGAAATCGAAGCAGAAATCGAAGCAGAAATCGAAGCAGAAAATCAGGCAACAGTTGAATCGTCTCCTCCGGACTTACCGGAGCCGGAATGTCCCTCACCTGGGGAAATAGAAAGTGAAGTTGGTATAGAGTTGCTTTCTCCCGACAATCAAGAAGAACTTCGACTAAAGCTTGGCGCAAGTCTCAATGCTACCATATCTGATGAGATCACTTCTATTCTTGGAGACAATGATCAAGAGGATGTTTCTGCTCTAGAAGCTACTTTAGGTAATGATGTGGACATCAAAGCAGGGCATGAGTGGGAAGCAGCTGATCCCATTCGAAGTACTTCACTTGAGGCAACCATTCCAGACATTGAAACACCAGCTGTTGAAGTAGAGGTTGAAGCACCAGTTGTTGAAATCGAAACACCAGCTGTTGAAATCGAAGCACCAGTTGTTGAAATCGAAACACCAGCAGTCGAATTAGAGGTTGAAGCACCAGCTGTTGAAATCGAAACACCAGCTGTTGAAATCGAAGCACCTGCAGTCGAATTAGAGGTTGAAGCACCAGTTGTTGAAATCGAAACACCAGCTGTTGAAATCGAAGCACCTGCAGCTGTTGAAATTGAAACACCCGTTGTCGAAACACCAACTTTGGAAGTGGAAACACCAGCAGTCGAATTAGAGGTTGAAGCACCAGTTGTTGAAATCGAAATACCAGCTGTTGAAATCGAAGCACCTGCAGCTGTTGAAATTGAAACACCCGTTGTCGAAGTGGAAACACCAACTTTGGAAGTGGAAACACCAGCAGTCGAATTAGAGGTTGAAGCACCAGTTGTTGAAATCGAAACACCAGTTGTTGAAATCGAAGCACCAGCAGTAGAATTAGAGGTTGAAACACCAGTTGTTGAAATCGAAACACCAGTTGTTGAAATCGAAGCACCAGCAGTCGAATTAGAGGTTGAAACACCAGTTGTTGAAATCGAAGCACCAGCTGTTGAAGTAGAGGTTGAAACACCAGCGGTCGAATTAGAGGTGGAATCACCAGCTGTCGAGATAGAGACACCAGCCCTCGAAGTTGAAGTACCAACCGCAGAAGTCGAAGTAGAAACACTTAAAGTGGACCTTGATGAAACATCAGCTGAGTTAGCAGCGGGTGCGATAGGAATTGCAGCTTCAGGTGCAATTGTTGCTGCTGCTTTGGAGGCTGCATCGACCTCAGATATCGAAGTTGAAGTTGAAACACCTGCCTTACAAATAGAAGCGCCAGCTGTCGAATTGGAAGCACCATCAGTCGAGATTGAAACTCCAGATGTCGAAGTGGAAACACCATCTGTCGAATTGGAAGCACCATCAGTCGAGATTGAAACTCCACATGTCGAATTAGAAACAACTGTGGAGATTGAAACACCGTCTAAAGAAGTTGCCATTGGACTCACTGCAACTGCTGTCGTCAGTGATGCATTGAATAACGTCTTATCTGAGTCAATGGAGGCAGATATTACGATACCAGCTGTCCAAGTCGATACATCAGCTCCTGAAATCGAAACACCATCTGTCGAAGTTGAAGTAGAAACACCTAAAGTGGACCTTGATGATACCTCTGCTGAATTAGCAGCCGGTGCGATAGGAATTGCAGCTTCAGGTGTAATTGTTGCTGCTGCTTTGGAGGCTGCATCGACCTCAGATATTGAAATCGAAGTTGAAACACCAGCTGTCGAAGTAGAAACACCTGTCGTCGAAATCGAAGCACCTGCTGTTGAAGTAGAGATTGAAACACCAGCTGTCGAAATAGAAACACCAGCTGTTGAAATCGAAACACCAGCTGTTGAAATTGAAACACCTGCTTTTGAAGTCAAAACACCAGTTGTTGAAATCGAAACACCAGTTGTTGAAATCGAAACACCAGCTGTTGAAGTTGAAGCACCTGCTGTTGAGGTAGAGATTGAAACACCAGCTGTCGAAATAGAAACACCAGCTGTTGAAATCGAAACACCAGCTGTTGAAATTGAAACACCTGCTTTTGAAGTCGAAACACCAGTTGTTGAAATCGAAACACCAGTTGTTGAAATCAAAACACCAGCTGTTGAAGTTGAAGCACCTGCTGTTGAGGTAGAGATTGAAACACCAGCTGTCGAAATAGAAACACCAGCTGTCGAAATCGAAACACCAGCTGTTGAAATCGAAGCACCAGCAGTCGAATTAGAGGTTGAAGCACCAGTTGTTGAAATCGAAACACCAGCTGTTGAAATCGAAGCACCAGCAGTCGACTTAGAGGTTGAAGCACCAGTGGTTGAATTAGAGGTCGAAACACCTGCTTTCGAAGTGGAAACACCAGCGTTTGAAATTGAAACACCAGCTTTTGAAATTGAAACACCAGAATTGACGTCTTATCCTGCAGCTGCTACTGATATTGTTGTGGACACTCCAGAAGCAGTTATAGAACTGCCAGATATGGAAGTGGAGGTTGAAACGCCGGAAGTCAGCTTAGAGATTAAAACACCAGTTGTTGAAATCGAAACACCAGCTGTTGAAATTGAAACACCAGCTGTTAAAATTGAGACACCAACACTCGTCGTGGACACTCCAGAAGCAGTTATAGAACTGCCAGAAATCGAGCCAGAAGTCGAACTTGAGGTACCGGAAGTCGAAGTTAAAGTCGCAGCAGATGTCGACGTTCCAGAGGTTGAGATCCCTGTTGCTGCAGCGGTTAATGTCACAACCGAAGTTGAAGTTCCTTCAGCTTCAGATGTTAGTTTATCAGGAGGAGAAGGCGATGTAGAATCTTTACCTCCAATCGATGTTACTTTCGCCCTTGAAGGTGAATACAAATCAGACGGCGAGATGGTTATCCCGGCAATCAAAAATGATCCTATATATAGTGTGTCAACTAAACAGAGGAAATTATCTGTGAGCAGTTCCGGAGGATCCAGTTCCAAAAAGAGAGTTTCTGTAGCGGCAAGTTCAGGTACCGGCACTGGTAAGTCTATGAAGTCAATAGGAAGCAGCTTCATATCCGGTGGTGACGAAATCAGCTCCCTGGCAGATGTAAGGATCAGTCACTACTTCCCCTCTATTGATTCTAGATTGGTACTACTCTTGGCGAATATGGATTCTACAAGCCAAGATTTCGAAACTTCGAAAGAGCAATTTAGAAAGTTCATTGCTAAGAGCGATATCGACTACAGGTGATGATGTTTTTCTTGTTCTTTAGATCTGATTTTAAGAATTAGTGTTAATAAATTTGACTGATCAAATATTGATTCATTCATTAAACATTTGAATTTGCATCAGATGCACATTTTTACCTGGAATATATTATTTGCATCACTTAATTTTACATTTATGTTCCAGGTCTGTGAGTTTCCTGAAATGTTGTCAGCTAATGCGCGTGTCTCTTACTGCTGCCAATTTTAAGATTATTGGAGCCGGCGAGCACGTTATGTTCGACGACTTACCTTATAAGCTAAAACGAGGCATCTCCAAACTTACCTTGAAAAAGAAGAAGTCAAGCAAGAAAATAGAAACTATAGATCCTCTCCTGGCTCAGCTTTCAGCAAAAAGTGCCAGCTTGAAAAAAGCAAATACTGCTGATCAACCTCTGTCTAAAAAGCAGATGCAACGTCAGAAAGAATTGGGTAACGCCGCCATCAACCTTTACACAGAAGTGATCCAATGTTACCAGAACTACAAAACCATGATGCAGACTGCACAGAGCTGGGAAGGTGCAAAGTTGGAGCCCAGGTATGGAGACAGTATGGATTATATGCAGGAGGAGGTCATGATGGCTACAATGATTCTCACCGGACAGTGCTCACCGGATTAGATAGTATTTTGCTGATATTTTAGTTTACTGGAGGTTTCTTTATAGTGCATTCTTCTGTTGTTAGACATACACTGACCAGTGACCTTGATGAAAATTATGCAGAACGTCTAGTATTTAAGTAAGATTAGGTTGTAGGTACTTTTTTCAGTGTGAGAAAAATACAAATGCATTGTCATTAAGAACTGACCGCATTGCTAGTGCCGCCTATAACCCTGTGTTATACCATATTGATAAAAGATTAGGATATTTTTAGATAATTTTTAACCTTCTTAACGAACTTTTTAAGATTGAATACGTTAAAATGGAAGTAACGGTTCTTGATCAGATTTCTTTTTGACGATTTCAGACATTCTTATAATCATTGTAACTACTTAAACTCTTATGTAATTTTCAGATAAAGCTTACTTTGCTTAAGTAAGGAGATTTAATTTTAAGGATATTGATTGAATCATTTCACATGTGATTCTTTCATCAAACTGTAACAAGCATGAGGTTATTGTAACTTTAAATAAACTTGTGCGTGTGTTAAATGAGATAAGAGGAAAATATTTGCAGAAATCTAAATTGAACAAGCAGGTTCCATTTCCGATGGTCTTTGATTCTTCGACACTCTACATAAAACCAGATAGTGATTAATCTTTAAAAGATATAGGACTAGAATTTCTGTCTTTTAACGGTGATAGTTTGGACTACACATTTTTGGATGCTATTTTCTTTGGTGAATTTAGTCGCCAGACTGCGTAAAAAAGAGTGAAACAATTTTCATTGTAATCATAATGTTAAGGGTTAATGTTTGGATTTGAACACATTTTTTGATCGAAAAATCTAAATTTTATTTTAAGAATATAGTACGGATTGAGTTTGACAATTGACATCAAATACAGAATGATTTTTAATCATGCATTGCATTAAACATTATCAATAAGAGTTAACAAAGAAGCTTTTTGTTTGTTCTATTTGAATTTCACCCATGAGTGAGTTGGAATGAAATGAACCTAATACATAATAAAAAGTGCTATACTACTAATTCGCTCGCCCAATTACATTTTAAAGTATTGTGAAATGAGGGCCCTAAGGGTATAAAAGTTGTGTAATTCGATGTATTTTACGCTGGTTCCGAATCAAATCCATAACATAGCTGGTTTAATTAAAAACAACGCTTGGCCCCGATACGTCTATGAGGAGTAATCATGGGCAAAAACTGTCTTGGTCACCAGTCACGCGACATGTTAATAAAATTAAAACACAAGCTCGATCGTTTAGATAGAGTTAGGGTTATGATTTAATTAGCTTAGGGTTATGATTTAATTAGCTTCGGGGTTGTGGTTAAGACATTAGTTCCGTTCCGCTGCAAAACAGTTATATTTATAACCCAGGTAACGTAATAGTTTTTGGGCGAGCGGAATTATACGAGGCATTACATTACGGATAAAAATCAAATGCTGATCTCGAGTAATACCAAAATAATATCGTAGTCCATATATATTATATATAATAATATTAATAAGAGAACACCTTTGTTATATGTCCGATCTTCTTATAATTATATTGTAATTGAGCAACCCTTGAGCTCTCTGTGCATCAACAACCATCCCGGTTCCACTTAAAATAGATAGATTTTTAAAATTTTAACGCAGGGCCGGCCCTGGGCCTGAGTTCCCTATCCGCATCCTGTATGTTAACGGGTGATACTCGTAAAATATCTGTTCCATATATTGGACCGTCGACGAGTCCAACTCGGCGCGCGTCCTGGTAGGTTGTAAACCTACAACCTGTATGGGGACCCCATTGTAAGTATCCCAGGCCCGGAGCTATGCTAAGTTAAAGTCCATATTAAATCATGGAACTTTCCAGTATTAGCCACAATAATCCAGACAGGACTTACAGTTATTTTCCAGCCCTGCTTTTAGTCGGCTTTCTCTTTGGTAATGGATGTTTCGGCAACCCCGTACGGTGAATTGTAATACTAATGTTACACATTGCACCAGTCCAGCGGAGCGCCACGAAGCTCATTAAAACATCCCCAGTGCAAACCCCAATTACCAGCAGTATTAAGAAAGCCGGCTTGAGCCTGATGCTAATTCACCTTAGCCAATCAGATCACGCTAACAGCCCTCCTAGAACTGGTCCCAGAAACTCGTTGACAGAAATTTCGATTTGAAAAGTTTTGACAAACAAATTTCCTGGGAACAGGGCAAGCCACTGTTGCCACTTCAAGGCACAAATCTGCTAAAAGATTTCAACACAAATTATAAGGCCTGTGAAGTCTAGAATCCAAAATTCCGGTCCTCCCCGGAATCAGAGAGTTTTGACTCAGTAGCCGACGGACAGTTTTAATTCGGAGGATTTTATTCACCTTCTCATCACGATTTGGACGTTTCCCCGTCACAGTTATGGTAACTCAGCGTCCTAAGCTGGAACCATAACTTATAACTTTTAAAAATCATCCCCTTATTATATCCCCTTATTATATCCATTTTATGGTTTATCTACCTAGATCTTCCAATTGCTAGGTAATAAACCCCAAAAGTCTAAGCCTCATCATCCTCATCCTTTACTCACCAGTATGTCGTAAATTATTACTTGTTTAGTGATTTTATCCACCTCACAATTCCTTCCGGACGTTTCCCCGTCACAGTTATGGTAACTCAGCGTCCCAAGCTGGAACCATAACTTATAACTTTTAAAAATCATCCCCTTATCACCAGTTCAGTAATAGCACATTCACATTTGCTGCTGATTTGTTGCTCTCTTATCGCAAGGCTTATCTCTACTGTTATCACGACACCGCTCAGCCTGTCGCTCGTCTTGTATTGTGTAACTTAAACTGTAATCATGGAAAAGATGGACTTGGAAAGTATTAACTACAGGTGGGATGAGATTTATTCTTGGAGCAAAGAGCAGTTGCGGAACTTTGGCAAACCGTACGGAAAGATGACGGACATAGCAGATCCGAAGTTTGCGAAATCAGTGAATAAGCCAGAACTTGTTGGCATTTGTAGTCGGTCTTATGAGTACATTGGCTATTTAATGGAAACTGTGGAGTCGTACCGAAATTGCTGCACAACTCTTCAGGCAAAGTTGATTCAGAACCAGGAAACTCTCATCAGCGTTCAGCAGGAGCTCTCTCAGTGTCAGTCCGAGAAACTGGAATCTATGAAGAAAATCGTGGAAACCTCAGTCGCTGATTCAGTTAAAGAGGAGATTAAGACTTACAGCGCAATTGTCAGCAATTCACAGACGGTAACTGCCCCAGTTATCTGCCCAGAAGCCCTAAAAAATGTTGTGAAGACCGTAGTCGCAGAAGAGGACCGTAGTCGAAATCTTCTTGTTTTCGGTTTGCCGGAGGAGGAGCAGGAAGAGTTAGAGGTAAGAATCGGCGAGGTTTTAGAGGAAATAGGGCAGAAACCGAAGGTGGAAGTAGAGCGACTCGGCAAGAAGAAAACTTCTACCTGTACTCGCCCAGTGAAAGTCTGCCTGACCAGCTCCTTGATCGTACATCAAATCTTAGCAAACGCTCGGAAATTGCGACAATCAGCCAAGTTTAAGACTGTGTTTTTGAGCCCTGACAGATCACTGGAGCAGCGGGAAGCCCGAAAGGAGCTGATTGCCAGCATGAGAGCTAAAGCTTTAGCGGAGCCGGACAAAAAGTTTTACATTAAGGAGGGACAGATATTCAGCTGTAGTCGCAATTGAGTGTATTTATCAGTACATGTGTGATAATGCTTGTTTTTCAGTGTGAGTGAAATTTTTAGTTAGTGCTAAGCGGGTGCCTACTAGGCTTTTAACTTTCTATACAGGACTGGATAGTCTTCAGACTGTTTTAAAGCTTATTTTTAGTGCAAGAGTTGGTTGCTAGGCATTGCATTTATCTAAGCAGCGCCTGTATTCAATAATTAATGAAATCTTATTAGCGGATTTAGGTATATAATTATTGTATATATTATTGTATGTATAAATTCTTGAGTAAACATTAACCAGTAAACAAAGCTGGTTCCCAATCATCCATTTTATGGTTTATCTACCTAGACCTTCCAATTGCTAGGTAATAAACCCCAAAAGTCTAAGCCTCATCATCCTCATCCTTTACTCACCAGTATGTTGTAAATTATTACTTGTTTAGTGATTTTATCCACCTCACAATTCCTTCCGGACGTTGCCCCGTCACAGTTATGGTAACTCAGCGTCCCAAGCTGGAACCATAACTTATAACTTTTAAAAGTCATCCCCTTATCCATTTTATGGTTTATCTACCTAGATCTTCCAATTGCTAGGTAATAAACCCCAAAAGTCTAAGCCTCACCATCTCCATCCTTAATCACAAGCATGTTATAATGCATCGTCATTACCGTTTTAGTTTTATCTTCTATCGGGTGATCAACCTTATTATTATTTATTTTGTTTGTCGATGTTTATATAAATATTTGAATTCTTGCCATTTGACGTTAGTGTCATCTTTATCCAAGCTTTTTACTAGTACCCAAAAGGTCAACTTGAAATTAAGGCCAAATCAATACTTGCTATGAGCAACTAGTAAATATTCAGCACTTCCTAAGCCATACGGACGGCCTTACTATGTTTGCATTAAGACTATAACCCTGGCAGGACATTGAACTCCGTGACCTAGCTAACTGCACGAGCTTAAGATAGGCCATATAAATCATGCGCTAACCAGGCACCCTATTGGTTTATTGGCGGTCCTCCTGGCATAAGGACCTGGAGCCATAATATAAATTCTATCCGCCGCAAGCTCGTGCCTTGTATCGGTCTGCTCTTTATTCGTCTTGGTGCCGATTGATCATGATCCAATCCGGACCTCTCCCTCCTCTTGGACTCAACTTCTCATCAGGTTATGTACCTACCCTTTCTTTGTTTCATAAATGTCTAAATGAGTCCTAAGATAATGCTTTCAAGCAAACTAGATATCCCAATCAATGATTATCACGTTACCTAGTATTCCTCTAACTAATATAGCCCAAGGCTTAAAAGGCGGCCCTTACACCCATGAGCCATGACTAGGCTATATTTATAATTGATAATGTTCATAAAAATGCGGCCGGGCGGAATGGCAGGCCCAGTAAAGCCTTACCTGGGGACCCCAGGCTATTATGTTCATAAACATCCGCCGAATAGAGATTCGGCGGAATGACACTGACAGGCTGAGCGCCGCCCAGTAAGTCTTGCTAGGGTATTCACCTATAAACATCACACTCACAGGTACGTATTAATATTAATATTATGATCGTAAACGATCACCGCGAACGACGAGACTCAACTTCCAATTTAAACTTTGCGCGCAGGTTTGTACACTGTATCATGATCCGGGCCGTGTTTAAGTTTTAAAGCCTCGGGTAGCAGGTTTTAAAAACACAATCGAAGATTATATAGTAAAGTGAAAGGCTGAGCTGTCCTTGTTACCTTTTTTTTTGTCAAAGCTGTCCAGTTCAGAAATTTCCCAAATTCAAAATTGGTTTAACTCGCTTCAGATTTAAACCAACAATTGCTAACAAAATTAAATATTATACTCCCATTAATTTGCATTGTACTATACTATTACTGACTCAGACATGTTTACCAATTTGTCTCGAATAGATTCCTTTCAGCTTTCACGTCATTTGCAATTCGATCATTCATAATCATATATAACCCAAAACGTAGATATATTAAATTTTAATAATACATGATAATTGTGAACATATATATAATACATGATAATTGTGAACATTCTTTATTTCTTTAATTTAAAGAAATAAAGAATGTTCACAATTATCATGTACAAGTAGTCTTAATGCATTATAAACGGAGACCTGCTATTCTCACATCATAGAACGACTTAAGTATTTTTCAATGTCGGATCGTGTAATGTGTTCAACTTCATAGATATAGTGTATTAATTTGTGTTTATAATGTTCAAGTCGTATTATAAACAGTAGTAAGTTATTTGTGTAATTTTGTACCGTATTTATGTAAATGTTGTTGCATATTGCATAAGATTGTGTGAAATTTAAATTGTTTTATTGGTACTAAGCAATCAATTATTCGAAAGCATGTTGCTACAGCTAAGTTTGACATTCTTGTTATACTTATATGTTATAGTATTACTATTAGTTACAGTTGATGTTCAAAAATTAATTAGTTTTGTCAATGCAAGCTGGTTCTCACGACCTTTCTAAAAGTTAAACTCTGTAGACGGTCTTACTGAAACGGTTGAAACTGTGGCGAACAGACTGTCTTGTTTTGCTTGTTTTCCGGTCAAATTCAGAAAAATCAGTGGGTACGTATTTCAGACTGCAACATTAAAACTTACAGTTACATTTACAAAACCTAACTATTTAGATGTCGTGTTGGGAAATTGGGAGATTAGGTTTGGCATCTACACAGCCACTACACAGCCACGTATAGAGGCTGTTTATAGGCCGCATAGTGGCCGTATCGTGGCCGTATCGTAGCCGCATAGTGGCCGTATCGTAGCCATGTAGAGGCCGTATCGTAGCTGTATAGAGGCCGTATCGTGACCGTATCAAGACCGTATCGCGGCTAAGCCTAAACCTAATCTCTCAATTTCCCGTCGTGTTTGGCCTTCAGCTGAGTACTGCACTACTGTTCTCAGATATTATGCTGAGTAGTAAACCCAACTTAGTATACTCAGTTATCTGAATCACATTCTACCTTAGCTTTTCATAATATCACGACGATGTTGTCACTCTCAGTTATGATTCTCCAATAACAGTACCACGACTTTTTAAATTATAATTATTGGTTATGAACAAATCCTTGTTCCTATTCGAGTTATACTTATATCTTTATATATTTTAATTTTTCAACAAACAGTCGTACTTTTACTACTTCATTCCAGATCAGACAGTGATTCATCGGTTGAAAATGGACTTGGAGTGGGTATTGTGAGGGGCAACTCAGCTTTTTTACAATCAAAACCGAGCAAAAGTTTTCCAGGTAAGAATTTTATATTTTTTTGTATTGTTGTGTAATTATATACCTATATACAATTTAAAGGGCGGCTTGACAACAAAGCCGTTGTGATGATTGGAATGTAGATTAAGTATTAACCTGATGAGTTTGTTTACACGGTGTTCAAAGTCTTGAATAGTTTATAAATTTCGAGACGAACGTGAAACAATGTGTATCGTGAGACAATGTGTTCTAGACTAGACCCCAAACATTACATTCCTTCTAGAACTAAAACTCACAACAACGAATATTTTAATCTTTTGTTTGATCTTACGACTGTTATACTTATTGAACCACTTTTTCATGACAATAAAGTCAGTTTGTTTCATAGTATTATCAGTAAATTTAAACAAAGCTATTAATATTCATCAGACATTGTTACTTTGTTGAGTCTGATGTTTTACTTTTTTAATATCAGTTGATCACATTTGAAATTTTGGCTTTGCCAACAACCTTGTTAGCCAAACCACGGACGGTAAAATTAGTGAAAACGTGAAATGTTGAGAGGCTACAAATTGTTTTGTTGTCATTACGTAAATGTGTTTTCATATTTTATGTCTTTTGACGATGCAGTCACTACACTCTACGTACAATATCCCCATTTTTGATAAACTTACAAAATAAATAATTGTATTTCACTTACAAGAATGAAACTATAATTAGTCACACATGGGGCAAAGTAACAGTGCAGACGTCAGTGCGCCGTCGCCAATAGTTGGAGACATTCCTGATGATGGTTCGTTAATTTTCCATAGATGGGATCATCAATTAAGTCATCCCGACATGAAATAGGTTCACAAATCACATGTTTACTTACCAAGTATAATGTGCAGACTTAAGAGTCTAGATATATATCATAAGTCACAATTTAACCGAAACATTATATTTTCAGAGCGTGATTCTGTAGACCTAAGCAACGATGAGATAGAACAAGGGATTTTGGAGGCGTCTTTGCCATTGCCAGACCTTGATGACACGATCCAAGCTCCTGAAACAGAGACTCCGACAGGTACGTATTATTAATCGGGTGGGAACTGCTTTTATTGCCTGAAGGATGTTCCGGGACCGGAATTAAGACCGGGAATATAATCGGGACTGATATTTTTGAGTTACCAGTAATTGATCGGGGTTCAGCTAAAATTTGATACAAACATTAGCTTGATTTCAATTTTGCATGAAATGATTTGAATGCATAACATTTCAGCTGATGTGTCAGATATCCACAAGGAACAACTCCAGACAACCGAAGAGAATACCACTGAAGTAATCGAGAAGGAAACACCAGTCATGGAAATTGAAGCACCAGCTGTCGAAGTGGAAACACCAAATGTAGAAGTGAAAAAAACAGCTGTAATTGAAGTTAAAACACCAGCTGTCGAACTCGAAACACCAGCTGTCGAACTCGAAACACCAGCTGTCGAACTCGAAACACCAGCTGTTGAAATCGAAACACCATCTGTTGAAATCGAAACACCATCTGTTGAAATCGAAACACCAGCTGTTGAAATCGAAGCACCAGCTGTTGAACTCGAAGCACCAGCTGTTGAACTCGAAGCACCAGCTGTTGAAATCGAAGCACCAGCTGTCGAACTCGAAGCACCAGCTGTTGAAATCGAAGCACCAGCTGTCGTACTCGAAGCACCAGCTGTCAAACTCGAAGCACCAGCTGTTGAAATCGAAGCACCAGCTGTCGAACTCGAAGCACCAGCTGTCGAACTCGAAGCACCAGCCGTCGAACTCGAAGCACCAGCTGTCGAACTCGAAGCACCAGTTCAAGTTGAAACACCAGCATTCGAATTAGAGGTTGAAACACCAGCTTTTGAAGTTGAGATACCTGCTCTTGAAGTCGAAAGACCAGTTGATGAAATAGAAACGCCAGCTGTTGAAGTTGAAACACCAGCCGTCGAATTAGAGGTTGAAAAACCAGCTTTTGAAATAGAAACACCAGCTGTTGAAATAGAGGTTGAAGCACCAGTTGTCGAATTAGAGGTTGAAACACCAGCCGTTGAAATCGAAACACCATCCGTTGAAATAGAAACACCAGCTGTTGAAATCGAAACAGCAGCTGTCGAAATCGAAGCACCGGCAACTGTTGAAATTGAAACACCAGCTGTCAACGTAGAAACACCAGCTGTTGAAATTGAAGCACCAACTATTGAAGTTGAAACAGCAGCACTCAAATTAGAGATTGAAGCACCAGCTGTCGAAATCGAAACACCAGCTGTTGAAATCGAAGCACCAGCAACTGTTGAAGTTAAAACATCAGCTGTTGAAATCGATACACCATCCATTGAAATAGAAACACCAGCTGTCGAACTCGAAGCACCAGCAACTGTCGAAGTTGAAACTCCAGCTGTTGAAGTAGACGTTAAAACTCCGGTATTCAGCGTGGAGGTAGAAACACTAGCTGTCAACGTAGAAACACCAGCTGTTGAAATCGAAGCACCAATTATTGAAATCGAAGCACCAAATGTAGAAGTGAAAATACCTGCTCTTGAAGTAAACATTGAAACACCAGCTGTCGAATTAGAGGTTGAAACACCAGCTTTTGAAGTTGAGACACCTGCTCTTGAAGTCGAAAGACCAGTTGTTGAAATAGAAACGCCAGCTGTTGAAGTTGTAACAACAGCAGTCGAAGTAGAAGTTGAAGCACCAGTTGTTGAAATCGAAACAACATCCGTTAAAATAGAAACACCAGCTGTCGAAATCGAAACACCTGCTGTCGAATTAGAGGTTGAAACACCTGCTCTTGAAGTGGAAACATCGGTTGTAGAAGTTGAAACACCAGCCGTCGAATTAGAGGTTGAAACACCAGCTTTAGAAATCGTTGCTCCAGCTATCGAAGTGGAGACACCAGCCGTCGAATTAGAGGTTGAAACACCTGCTCTTGAAGTGGAAACATCAGCTGTCGAAGTTAAAACACCTGCTGTCGAATTAGAGGTTGATACACCAGCTTTCGAAATCGAAACACCAGTTCTCGAAGTGGAAACACCAGCCGTCGAATTAGAGGTTGAAACACCAGCTTTCGAAATCGTTGCTCCAGCTATCGAAGTGGAGACACCAGCCGTCGAATTAGAGGTTGAAACACCAGCTTTCGAAATCGTTGCTCCAGCTATCGAAGTGGAGACACCAGCCGTCGAATTAGAGGTTGAAACACCTGCTCTTGAAGTGGAAACATCGGTTGTCAAAGTTGAAACACCAGCCGTCGAATTAGAGGTTGAAACACCAGCTTTCGAAATCGTTGCTCCAGCTATCGAAGTGGAGACACCAGCCGTCGAATTAGAGGTTGAAACACCTGCTCTTGAAGTGGAAACATCGGTTGTCGAAGTTGAAACACCTGCTGTCAAATTAGAGGTTGAAACACCAGCTTTCGAAATCGCTGCTCCAGCTATCGAAGTGGAGACACCAGCCGTCGAATTAGATGTTGAAACACCTGCTCTTAAAGTGGAAACATCAACTGTCGAAGTTGAAACACCTGCTGTCGAATTAGAGGTTGAAACACCAGCTTTCGAAATCGTTTCTCCAGCTATCGAAGTGGAGACACCAGCCGTCAAATTAGATGTTGAAACACCTGCTCTTGAAGTGGAAACATCGGCTGTCGAAGTTGAAACACCTGCTATCGAATTAGAGGTTGAAACACCAGCTTTCGAAATCGTTGCTTCAGCTATCGAAGTGGAGACACCAGCCGTCGAATTAGAGGTTGAAACACCTGCTCTTGAAGTGGAAACATCATCTGTCAAAGTTGAAACACCTGCTGTCAAATCAGAGGTTGAAACACCAGCTTTCAAAATCGAAACACCAGCAATTCCCGAAGTAGAAACACCAGCCGTCGAATTAGAGGTTGAAACACCTGCTCTTGAAGTGGAAACATCAGCTGTCGAAGTGGAGACACCAGCCGTCGAATTAGAGGTTGAAACACCTGCTCTTGAAGTGGAAACATCATCTGTCAAAGTTGAAACACCTGCTGTCAAATTAGAGGTTGAAACACCAGCTTTCAAAATCGAAACACCAGTTATTCTCGAAGTGGAAACACCAGCCGTCGAATTAGAGGTTGAAACTCCAGTTTTCGAAATCGCTGCTCCAGCTATCGAAGTGAAGACACCAGCCGTCGAATTAGAGGTTGAAACACCTGCTTTTGAAATGGAAACATCAGCTGTCGAAGTTGAAACACCTGCTGTCGAATTAGAGGTTGAAACACCAGCTTTCGAAATCGTTTCTCCAGCTATCGAAGTGGAGACACCAGCCGTCAAATTAGATGTTGAAACACCTGCTCTTGAAGTGGAAACATCGGCTGTCGAAGTTGAAACACCTGCTATCGAATTAGAGGTTGAAACACCAGCTTTCGAAATCGTTGCTCCAGCTATCGAAGTGGAGACACCAGCCGTCGAATTAGAGGTTGAAACACCTGCTCTTGAAGTGGAAACATCATCTGTCAAAGTTGAAACACCTGCTGTCAAATCAGAGGTTGAAACACCAGCTTTCAAAATCGAAACACCAGCAATTCCCGAAGTAGAAACACCAGCCGTCGAATTAGAGGTTGAAACACCTGCTCTTGAAGTGGAAACATCAGCTGTCGAAGTGGAGACACCAGCCGTCGAATTAGAGGTTGAAACACCTGCTCTTGAAGTGGAAACATCATCTGTCAAAGTTGAAACACCTGCTGTCAAATTAGAGGTTGAAACACCAGCTTTCAAAATCGAAACACCAGTTATTCTCGAAGTGGAAACACCAGCCGTCGAATTAGAGGTTGAAACTCCAGTTTTCGAAATCGCTGCTCCAGCTATCGAAGTGAAGACACCAGCCGTCGAATTAGAGGTTGAAACACCTGCTCTTGAAGTGGAAACATCGGTTGTCGAAGTTGAAACACCTGCTGTCGAATTAGAGGTTAAAACACCCGCTCTTGAAGTGGAAACATCGGTTGTCGAAGTTGAAACACCTGCTGTCGAATCACTATTAGAGGTTGAAACACCAGCTTTCGAAATCGTTGCTCCAGCTATCGAAGTGGAGACACCAGCCGTCGAGTTAGATGTTGAAACACCTGCTCTTGAAGTGGAAACATCAGCTGTCGAAGTTGAAACACCTGCTGTCGAATTAGAGGTTGGAACACCTGCTTTTGAAATCGTTGTTCCAGCTATCGAATTTGAAATACCAGCTGTCGAAGTTGAAATCGAAAGACCAGCGGCTGAAGTTTTAACACCAGCAATCGAATTAGTGGTGGAAACACCAACTGTTGATATAGCAACACCAGCTGTTGAAGTTGAGGTTGAAACACCAACTGTTGATATAACAACACCAGCTGTTGAAGTTGAGGTTGAAACACCAACTGTTGATATAACAAGACCAGCTGTTGAAGTTGAGGTTGAAGCACCAACTGTTGATATAGCAACACCAGCTGTTGAAGTTGAGGTTGAAATACCAACTGTTGATATAACAAAACCAGCTGAGGCTGACGTACCAGAAGTTGAAGTTAATGTCACAGCAGAAGTGCCGGAAGTTGAGGTAAAAGTTAAATCACCTGCTGTCGAAATAGAGACACCAGCCCTGGAAATTGAAAAACCAGCTGTTCAAATCGAGGATGGAACGTCAGCTGTTGAAATCAAAACATCAATCGAAACAGCAGCCATCAAATTTGAATCACCAGCAGTCGAAATGGAAGCACTAAAAAGAAAAGTTGAAATCGAAACACCAGCTGCTGAAGTTTTAACACCAGCAATCGAATTAGTGGTGGAAACACCAACTGTTGATATAACAACACCGGCTGTTGAAGTTGAGGTTGAAATACCGGCAGTCACAAACGCAACACCGACAGTCGACGAACCCTCTGTTGAGATTGAACTGTCAGGATTAACGTCTTATCTTGAAGCAGGTACTGATCTCGCTGCAGACACTCCAAAAGCAGTTATAGAACTGCCAGAGATTGAACCAGATGATAAAATGCCAGCACTCGAAGTCAAAGCCCCAAATGTTGAATTCCTTGAATCAGTAATTGTGGATACTGAAGAAAAAACGCCAAGTCGCCGTCTCTTTAAACGATTTTCACGAGCTGCAAAAGTTAAAAGTAAAACCACAGCTGTTGAAGTTGAAACACCTGCTGTCGAACTCGAAATACCAGCTGTCGAAGTAGAAACACCAGTTGTCGAAGTTGAAACACCTGCTGTCGAACTCGAAATACCAGCTGTCGAAGTAGAAACACCAGTTGTTGAAATCAAAACACCAGTTGTTAAAATCGAAGCACCAGCTGTTGAAGTTGAAACACCTGCTGTCGAACTCGAAATACGGATACCAGCTGTCGAAGTAGAATACACAGTTGTCGAAGTAGACACACCTGCTGTTGAAGTCAAAACACCAGCTTTTGAAATCGAAGCACCAGCTTTTGAAATCGAAGCTCCAGGTATTGAAATCGAAGCACCAGCTGTCGAAGTAGAAACATCCGCTTTTGAAATCGAAGCTACAGGTGTTGAAATTGAAGCACCAGCTGTCGAAGTAGAAACATCCGCTGTTGAAATCCAAACACCAGCTGTTGAAATCGAAACACCAGCTTTTGAAGTTGAAACACTTGCCCTAGAACTCAAAGTGGAAACACCAGCTGTCAAAGTAGAAACACCAGTTGTTGAAATCAAAACACCAGTTGTTGAAATCGAAGCACCAGCTGTTGAAGTTGTGACGCCATCAGTCGAATTAGAGGTTGAAACACTTGCTGACGAAGTTGAAGTTTCATCAATCGACGTGGCAGCTTCAATCAAAAAATCAGCTGCTCGTTCTTCAGTATTGCTACATCAAACTAATATGGATTCTATCGCTAAAGATTATGAAGCGGCCAAAGAGGAGTTTAGAAAATTTATCACTAAGAGTGACATCAACTACAGGTGATGAATATAATTATCTACAGTTATTATTATACTCCTCTATGCGTGTTATTGTTAAAAACATTTGTTAAACTTTAAGGAAATAATTGCAATTGCCACTGCCCTAAAATTATATGTTATTTAACTACCAATTTTGTAATGCTGATTCGATCATTTATACAATTCAACAATATAGAATCAATTTTTATTTGATTCTTAGTTTGGAATTGTCTATATTTTGTTTAACCGATGTTAATTCAGTTAATAAATACTTCATTTCAGGTCCGTGACTTTTTTGAAATGTTGCCAGCTTATGCGGGCATCTCTTATTGCTGCCCAGTTCAAAATAACTGGGGCCGGTGAAATCCCTTTGTTCGAAGATGTCATACCTAACAAAAAGTTAAAAAAAGGTGTATCTAAACTTACATCAGTCTTGAGATTGAAGAAAAAGAAGTCTAGCAAGAAAAACGGAAACATAGATCTTGTTACTTCTCAACTTCCTGAGGGTTCGGGTTTGAAAAAATATAATTGCAGTACAGTTGCAGAACAGCCTCTGTCCAAAAAACAAATTCAACGTCAGAAAGAATTGGGTAACGCTGCCATCAACCTTTACACGGAAGTGATCCAATGTTACCAGAACTACAAAACCATGATGCAGACTGCACAGAGCTGGGAAGGTGCAAAGTTGGAGCCCAGGTACGGAGACAGTATGGATTATATGCAGGAGGAGGTCATGATGGCTACAATGATTCTCACCGGCCAGTGCTCGCCGGATTAGATACTGACTTATCAGAAGCTTTTAGGAGTTTAGTCCTAAAAGATTATAGTCCGTTAAGTGTTAACAACTTAGAACTTGCTTTGAGTGGGTCTAGGCCACAATATGATGATCTTTAGGAATGGTATGCAGTTTCGCATGGTCTGTTGATAAACTTTGTTGACTGTTGTTAAACGGATTTAACCCCGTGCGATTTATTAAAAATAAAAGCTCGTAGCATCTCGTCGATTTCTTTTATACAATCTTGTGAACGTTACATAATAATATCTACACTCTCGTGCTGTTTATCACTATCAGTAGCAATCTAATAGTATGTACTATTAGTACTACTACCTCTTATACTAGTACCTTATGATTATCGCGGACCTTATTTGAATGGATATTAATTGAACGCTCAGGGAGGACCTAGCGTTCATATTTATGTCCGTTCAAATAAAGACCGTCTGTTAAGTCTGTCCAAGTTAAAGTCCGTAAAATTGTTTTCCAAAATTATTCCATTGCAAACTTATTGTCCAGAATATATGAAATTTTTTGAATCTCAGTCAATTTCAAGTTCTATCATCGAACTAAACTATATCATTGGATCAATGAAAAACAAGTTATTTTACTTTCTTGATCTTCGGCTTGAAACAGATAAGTGCCGGTGCAAAGCTTAACGTGATGTTAAGGTTAACCTAAAGTTGTCTAAGATCAAACCACTAAAAACCAAATGGCTTTTAAAAGTTTACACTGAAATGCAGGACCGAGGTGGTCTAATAAAAAAGTTTTCAAAAACTAAAAGCGGGTATAAGTGATGTTTTAAGTAACAAATATTTAATGCACGATAACCCATTTGACGAAGATGACTTGTACTCATCAAATCTGGTCATATTTCGTACTTGTTATTTTTACGCTATCTTCATAATTATAAACATGACACTGATATACACATATTTTAACATGTTTACTGCTTAACGACTGCTTTTCTTGCAATTACTGTATAGTTCAAAGGGTGCAGGATGTTCAACTCTACTAAATACCGGTAAAATTATTTCGTAGGTCCTAAAATGACTCCTCCAGATCCAGTCTTAACCTTAAATTGGACATAAATCAATAGCTGAAATTGCTCTGAATTCTGATACGTCGGAATAAAACCTGTAAAGCTCGCCATTTTTGAGATTCAATCAAATCGAGGATGTTCAAAGGGTGCAAGATTGTCATCTCGACAAAATACAACTACGAGTGGAAATTATTTCTTAGGCCCTAAAATGATTCGTTCAAAGTTATGTCAGTTCACGTAATGTCCGGTCCAGTAAGGTCCGATAAAGTTATAGCAGTAATCTACAATCTAGTACTATTAACTTATTAATTTCTCTACGATCTGTTTAAATTTCTTCAGAATAAACGTTTTAGTTTTATTTTTATTTACTATGATGTACCTATTTAAGGGAAATTATTTTTGTTCATTATTGATAAAATACAGATGATAACAGACTATGGGAATCTCCTTGAAATATATGCTGTTATTTAAAGTCAAATTTCATTTCCAAATGATCCCTTATATTCTGCGAGTGTGCTAAATCTGTAACTACATTAAGCCCGAAATTTGTACATCATTTGTACATCAACTATTCAATAGTCACTATTGTTATGAATTTGGTGTGAGAGTACATTTAAAAATAATGGGACAAAGAAGACTAACTCATAAAAATACAACAATGTCAAATAATTAAACAACAGCATCTATATTGATATATCAATAATTTAGCTGATATTTGCAAAAATGTTATGATGACTGCGTGATATACACAGGTGATCCGTCATTATAAGGTAAATATAGTCTTTTTAGAAAATCGTTGAAAAACATCAATAAATTAGATTTATAATTTTCTCAGTATACAAAAAATGAATATCTTCAATAATTAAATGAAATAATATGCACGTAAAATTAAACATGTTAACTTTGAAACAAATAAGTTAAAATGTAAAACGATAACATGAACATGAACATGATCAGTGATCACACATTTCAAATTCAAATAACTTTCCAGTTGCATGTTTTCACAGTAAACTATGAACGGTATAAATTTAATCCAATAATCCAAGATCGTAGAAAAACGTCTTCATTAAAAATCTGGATCAGTTAGATGGAACGATTATCTTGACCATTGACCAATGAAAATTTACATTTATTGATATATTATTAGACCAAATCGTTGGTTCTGCTGTAGAAGTGTATTTTGGTGGAATACTGCTGAAAAGTAGGATATACCAATCTATCCTTCATTAGTTGAGTGTTGATCCGCATGTCAACTGTATTTCATCTTTACCATCAATATACGAGGCCCGTCGTATGGGAGAAGGAATCGGCTGAAATGATGATCATTAATATAAGTGCCAAACATAATAGGAGTATTATTATTTTAAAAAGGAGTATTATTATTTTAAAAAGGAGGGAAAAATAATTAAGAATGGTCAATTGAGAAGAACGAAAAATTAAAAAAGGAGCTCAAGCGAAACAAAAAATAACAAAAGAAATAAGAAGAAGAACCTCACCTCAATTCCAGCGATTATGCTAAGTTTGCGTTGAATTCTCTGGACGGGGACGGGTATGTTATAATTACTGTCTGTCTTAGGAGTGGCCTTGTTCTTCAGCCGGAAAAAGAGCATCTTCGCTATCTCTTTTTTGTAGGTTGCACTCCGCGAGATATATATGAGCGGGTTCCATGCACAGTTCGACTGAGGTGAGAGTTATTTAACAAGGATTTTTACGAAGAAATGTACAAAGAATTGGAGAATCTCATAGAGGTTAATAAATACCATGACCCCAAAAATATGTATTATCCATAAAATGTAAGGTTATTTACAACTAAAATTTGATTTATTAACTCACAAGGGCAGTAATAACAATAAGGATGTGCGTGTAGAGGTACCAAGTCTGGTCGTTATCTTTAGACGAGCTCCGCACTAGGGTGTATATTATCTTACAGATATAGGGTGTCCAGCACAGTAGGAAACACACGATTATCAGTCGCGCTGTCACGCTCGCATTCCGCATGCATTTGGGCGTACCTGAGGATTTTATTCGTTGTAAATAATTATATATATTGTGTATATATATATATATTTTTTAGGATGGTGTGTGACTGTAACGGGTCCGCATGACTGCAAAAGTCAGTACGTTTAACGCCTCGAGGAAGATCGCAGGATTCCTAGTCTACGCTACTCTTTTCATCATGGCTACGACACTCAATTTTGGGACATGGAATGTTTGCGGTCTATCGACCACATACAGGCAACACTTCGTTGCAGAGGACATTGACAGATATAACTTAGACATTTTAGCACTTCAGGAGACCAAGACACGTGAATACTTGGAAACAACACTCCCCGGACATCATCGATTGTTTTTGTTTGATCAGAGACACGATAGACACGGTGGACTTGGGTTTATTGTTAACAAGCGTTTTTTGGAATGTATAGTATCTCATCATCAGATCAGTGACAGAGTTGTTTATATGGACTTTAAATTAAGTGCTAAAAGGGTGGATCAACCACCTTGTCATATCAGAATTGTTAATTGTTACAGCCCTACGAATCCCAAATCAGTTCAGAATCCCCGATTAGCGACCCAATTTTATGATGAGCTACTCGAGGCTATCAGTGTTCCTGCTAGATTTGAAGTATGGATGTTAGGTGACTTTAATGCCAAACTTGGCAAAAGAAGCCCTGTTGATGTAGAAAATGGTTTACAAGTGAATATTGGTAGACATGGTGTTGGGAGGAGGAATGAAAACGGTGAAAGGTTGCTACACTTTCTCACTGCTAATGGCCTGTTTGCTGCCAACACTTCATTCTCCCATAGCAGCAGACACATTACCACACGGACTGGTTGGATTCGGGATCGAGCAACCAGGAAAAGTAAACCTTATTTCCAACAGATTGACTTCATACTCTGCAAGTCCAGAAGCAAGGCACTGCTAACTGATGCCAGGTCATATGCAGGTACAAAGCACCGCAGTGACCACAAACTTGTTGTTGCCAAGGCAGATTTTTCGCAGCGCTTCAATTTGTACAGGGAGAGCAGAGCATTTCAGAAGAGTTATAACACAACAACCTTGATTGGAAGCAAACAAGCTCAACAAGAATATCAGCAAGAACTTCATCAGATACTTGAGCAAACTGTATCAGATCCTGACTTTAGCTCCAACAACACGGAACAGCAATTTGATATGCTTTTTGGTGTAGTTAAAGAAGCTGCTGTTTCCACTGTGGGTTTTCGCGAGCCACAGCGAAAGAGGAATCATTCCTCTGACAGTCAAGTTGTTAGCATGTCTGAAGAAAGGAAACAACTTTTACAACAACTGAACAACAACGAATACAGAGACAGGACAGCTCTCAGAGCTAAAATCAACAGGCTCTCTAATGACATTACTAAACGGTTGAAAACATTGAGAGTTGAGTTAGCAAACAGCCTAGCTGACTCTATAGCCACCATAGACGAAGGACGGAGAATGTTTGAAGCTGCTCGTCAACTATCAGGCAAACAGAAAATGGGTGCAGGCTCTGTGTCTGTTTTCAACACTGACAACCAACTGGTAGATAATGAACGAGACAAGGCTGAAATCATTCGCCAGTACTTTGAAGAACACTACACTGGACCTGACAGTGAACCACCACTACAACCGTTCACAGGTAACCCTAGGCCCCTTCAAAACCCCATTACAGCGTTTGAAGTTGAGCTTGCGGCCAAGAAACTCAAGAACGGTAAAGCTGTTGGACCAGATGGGATCCCAAACGAGTTCCTCAAACACTCTCCTGAAATCTTTTATTCCACATTTGCACAACTTACTAATCGATCTTTTGAGCTCCATGAACATGTACCTTCTTTCACAGAGGGATACCTTACTCCGCTCCAAAAACCTGGAAAGCCACTAGGCCCCCCTAAGAGTTTGCGCCCACTTTGCCTACTTAACGGTACTAGAAAGATATTGTCCATGATAGTCTTAAAGCGCATCCAAAGGCAAGTATCTCAGTACACTGGTCCTTGGCAGAATGCCTATAAACCTGGCCATAGTTGTGCAAATATCGTTTGGACCCAGCGAATACTAGTATCAGTTGTCAAGGAAAAACGCTGGTCTCTTCATAAGATGGGCATTGACATGTCCTCTGCTTTTGATACCATAAAGAGGTCGGTATTACTTGACGTTTTAGCTGATGCTGGTTGTAGTGAGGATGACATTCGACTGGTAAGGTATTTGCTCGCAAATACTAAACTGAAGATTAAAGTGAACTCAACAATATCGGGAGAGTTTATTGTCATGATTGGAGCTTTTCAAGGCGACAGTTTGTCTGGAAACTTGTTCACTCTATATCTGGCAGCAGCACTTTACCACCTGCGTGCTGTTATGTCCTATCTAAGACCTAACCCTCCCATAGCTGAGAATCTGTTACCCCTCGAGTGGGAGTACGCAGATGATGTTGATTTTACTGATGAGGATAAAAGCAATTTGGAGTCTTTGTTGCCAATATGTAAAGAGATATTGGAAGAGTGGAATCTTTTTGTCAATGAGTCAAAAGCCGAGTTCACCCATTTCTATCTGGCCGGCAAGAACGAGGTTGATAACAAAGGAGAAACACTCAGAGGTAGAGAACCTTGGAGGTCATCTATCTCTTTAGGCTCTAAGTTGTGTAGCATCGAAGATGTCAAGAGGCGATGTATACTTGCTAACATTGCTTTTCAGAACTACAAAAAAGTCTGGGAACAAGGTAGACGTATACCCTTGAAGATTCGACTCAAGATATATGAAGCACAAGTTGTTTCAATACTGATGTATAATTGCAACAGTTGGGCAACATCTAAACAACTCCTTCAAAAACTTGATGTCTGCCACAGGAATCATCTCCGTACGATCATCGGCATGACCTACCCTAATGTCATACGAAATGTGACTCTATACAAACGCTGCGAAGTTGTACCACTAAGTGAGCGTGTTGCTCGTGCACGGTGGAGAATGCTCGGTCACATCCTCCGCAGTGATAATAACTCACCTGCCCAGCTTGCCTTACATTTTGCTGTAGAGAGTCAGAGTTTGATGAGAGGTAGAGTCGGACGACACCAGTCAAACTTGTTAAAAACTATTTTGAACGATTTAAGTGATAGAAACTTTAGACTTGTAAATACAGACGATTTATACCATTTAAGATTTTTAGCGACAGATAGAAAAGCATGGAGAGAGTTAAGCATGATTTAGTTTATTCTGTGTTATTTTTCTCTTGGTGACTTATCAGGTCATCAAGATGTTCTTTATGTTCTATTTTTGATTTGAATAAAGTTATATAATAAATAATTATATAATAGTGTCACTTATTAGATTAGTTATAATTATAATAGTGTCACTAATTAGATTAGTTGTAATTATAACAGTTTCACTAGTGTCACAGTAATGATAAAAGTTCTTCAAATTTTATTAAATGACAAGGCTATGAACAATTAAATAATGACTCTTTTTAAATTTGTTTTGACGAGCAAAGACAATTTGATAATTAAATAGGTTAATCACTTAAAATCAATGTCAATATGATAGTATCCTAATAATAGTATCCTTCCCAGCAGCTGATTTACCTCTTGCTCGAGCCTTTTTACAGAACATTTTCTTCATTGCAGTTTTCAGGTCATTCACAACTTCATCTCTTTTGACTTTCACTGAAGTATTTAATATGTTATCAACTTGAATTTTACAAGTTTCATTAAATTGCCTTCAAATTTAAAGGTCAAGGGATGTACCGCTTACAGTAAACTCAAGATATTATTAAGGATAAATAAATCACGAGATTAGAGATGGCAATCCCTGTCAAACCCTATTTTCATGTCATCTTTCCATATAAATAACTAATAACTGCAGCTCCCCTGGCGAGTTTTGATCACGTGACATGACCAGTTAAGGAAGTTGGTCTAATTTCTCGTCAGGGCTAAGATTTTTGGGTGTGGGGTCAGAGTAGAGGGTTTTGATTAGACCCTCAGGGCCATCTAGAGAACGTGTTTAAGTAAGTCACTTTAACAGTAGAGTGATTAATCATGATCCTGATGGCACATTGTAAATCGCCAACTTCAAGACTCCTGCGTATATAACATGCCATGTTATACATGACAAGAATATTTTAAAACCATCTAAGTGCCAAGCAGCCCGCCAAAGTAATGAAGTACGTCAAATTAAAATCGGAACTTCTCGAGAAGATCATTGACAATGAGATGGCGCGCGAATGTTACATTATCTTTGACGTCAAAGTTTGATTGGAAACTTTGACGTCAAAGAAGATTTCGCTATACACGAAATAGCCATGCAGTGAAACTCTCGAATGTGCTTTACCAAACAGATTTTAGAAATAATAACCCAGTTTGTATGAACTGTAGTGAATTGTACTATGTTTGACGCAAACTAAACCGAAATCTACGTCCCTCCAAGTTTATACTTCAAATTACCCATAAGTTATTACATTTTTGACATACCTGAGTTTAGTCTGGACATTGAGTCGTTGCTGTGGAAAGAAGCATTGTTATTGCTGAGAATGGTGTTGTTTCTGTCGTTCGGTAACTGGGAGTTGGTCATGCACACGTTGCGTGTTGTTACGTTCGCACCAATGCTCATGTGACTGAAATGGTTATAATAAAATAAATGGTAATATACAGTAATAAGTTGAATAAATTAAAGGACTGAACCAGGCAATTTGGTTAATCAAACAATAAAATACTTTGATTAGATTAAAATCGAACTTATATATATTACTGAGTCTAATCAAAAACAACCAGACATTTCCCAGACTAATAATCAAGTGTCTTATCAGCAGAAAAACAATTAATGTTAGGTGTGCGGCAAATAATTAATTAACAACTAATTGGTTGGTTAGATGACTAATGAAAGTTACCTGGAAACTGACATGGTCTCCTCAATTACCGTATGCAGAACTAGATCTTTGTGACTGGCTGGAAACTGGACGTTGCCACCTACAAAGTAAACCCATTAGAAAATCAGTGTAATTAGTGTAATTAGTGGGACCTAATGAGATTGAGATTTTGTGTATGCTAGTCCTAATAATAATACTCCTCGCGTCCTCTAGGGAGGCGTTTCTCTTGCATCTAATATCTTGCTACATTAAGTAAAATTGTGTATCCAGAAAGTATGATTATCTGAACAGAGCTTGAACCACAACCAGATTAATTACCTTTTTCTGGCCGCCCAGAGGCTTGGTGTAGAGCCATGTGTGCTTGGCCCCACTCCAGCACCTGTATACTGAGCCGTTTGGCTCGGTTATATATCTGTCTCTGTACCGACCGAACTTTAAACTCCGTGTATATCCTGTAGGTTATCAAAATTAATGACAGACAGTTCTAATTTTGTGCACTCTGATTTAATAAATATAATTTAAAGTAATATTGCAACGAGTTGATGTCGATACAAAATATACTGCGAGACCTGGTATAATATAGATAATGCTATTTAAACTTCATTTGAATTTGTCTAAATAGTTGTCAAAATCAAGAGTGTTGGTAAGTTAAGTTGTAAAATTTGAAGTCTGGGTACCTTATGTAACAGTAGCATAAGATGATAAAGGGTATGATAATGGTGAAGAATGTTGATACTAAGAGATAAATATTCCCGGCTGATCGTTGAGCGGTTTCGGCTAGACACAAGCATGCTGATACTTCATATTCGTATCTGAGAGATGATTGATTAATAACTAATTATATGTCGAGGGTGTCCTTTATGTGACCAGAAAAGTTCTAATCCTTTATTTACAGAAAGTTTAACAAATTTATTAGTCATGAAATTTTCTGGAAATCTAAGTTTGACATGAATCTCTAAAATTAAGAAATTGTTGTGCAGTTTGAGAATTACATTATTCAAGGGTAGTGAATTCTATGCCACCCTGTCTAAAAATCTAAAACTTCATTCGGTATAAGTAACTTTTAACATCGATAAAAGTATGAAATATGGATCAGCTATTTATTTAATTAATTAATCAGCTATTTATTTAATTATTTTAAACTCACGTTCTTCCCGAGGCGAAGGGGAGGAGGGCTATAATGAGGCTTATTATCCAGAACAAAACCACCAGGGCTCGAGCTCTTCTCCTCGTTAGGATCACCTACAGAGTTAAATTATTAGTAATAATTTATTAGTAATAAGTTATTAGTAATAATTTATTAGTAATCATTTATTAGTAATAATTTATTAGTAATAATTTATTAGTAATCATTTATTAGTAATCATTTATTAGTAATAATTTATTAGTAATCATTTATTTGTTATCATTTATTAATAATAATTTATTAGTAATAATTTATTAGTAATCATTTATTACAATACATATATTTATATATTAATTATTAGAGACAAGAGAAACAATTAGGACTCTTCAAACTACATTAAATATAAGAATATACTCCTTCTGTAAGATACTCAATTAATGTTATAGATTTGTGTTGTAATCAGTTTATATATAAAGCCAAATATAAAATATTTACTATTCAAGACTTGCCCGCCTACGAGTTTTAGTTATATCGTTTGGTCGGAAGAGCATCGAGAAAACGGTTGAGTAGACGAACGCTGTTAAAATTTATTGAATTTCTGCTAGTTAACCACTTAGTTCACCAACTACTCAAAATACTCAAATATAGTAAAAACTGAGGACCTATCAAGTATTTGAAATCTCCGGAATATTGGGACTAGAAACTATCTTATAAAGTATTGATAAATTCCTGCAGGATTATGTTTACCAGATAGAGTAGTATGGAGCCCGAATAGCAAATTATAAATCAGTGGTACTCGTAATGTAAGGGGTAAATGAATTAATTGCCATCTGGAACAGATCTTGACAAAATGATTACTTCCCAGCGCACTCTATTGGCCCCTGGCATTTAATTTATTAAATGATCCAGATGTCCAAATTTAAATATTCAGGACTTTTTCCAGGCTGCTGGGGTTGATTACTAGTACCACTTCAGCAGGCCAGGGGGGGGGGCTTTCAGTTTAATTCTGGTGTAACAGCTGGGACGGATATTTGCAACATGTTCGCTTGGGTAACATTATCATGACTTAAACGCCGACAATCAACATCTACCCTAAAATTGTTGCTTCGATTTAGCGAAATCAGCTGTAACTCAAAAAATTAGCATTTTACTCTAAGGGCATTATATGTTGCTTGGCTTCAGTTTTATTTCTAGTGTTACCTGAGATGTTTCTTGGGCAAAATTTGTTTTGATCCCGTTTGTTGCAACAAGGGAAAGGCTCTTATAAGGAAAAGAATTTTTCAACGTTTCAACGGGATGTGAGAACATCGTATTCATGATCTCAAATTATTCGTTATATAGTGGTGTTGAACTGTTGAACGTATTACTATTAAAACATGAGGCGCAATATTAAAGCACACTTGACTCTATAGCGAAATGGTGCTCCAGACCAATTTGATAATTTTATAAAGAAGCTTGTCGTATAATCTGAGAACCCGATCAAGTTAAAGAAGTGGTGCTAAAATTGTAACTATTTTTGTTGCAGTGAGAATTTTAGTTTCCCACGAGAACAGCTTAATTTGCGCTATTATAAAGTATGATGTTTAACTGGATAAAGGTGCCTGCTAAATGGTTGTCACCTGACTTGTATTCTTATCACGTGACCGTGTGAATCAACGCGCCGCTAAGATGCATACCAACCCTTTGGTCTAGACATTTATTATTAGGTACGCGAAACGTACCTTCAGATTTAAACGTGCACATTTCAGCCTGGAGCAATGAAATTGCAACGTTTGAGTTTTGACACAATGTTGCTAGTTATACTCCAAGCCTAATTTCTCGGATCCCTACTCCCCATTCTGTGTCTGGGAAACAAGCTGTCTCGTCCTCACGACGTAGCTCACCCCTCATGTTCAGAGACTAGAGATGACACGTGACACGTAGAGTGATCATGACACGTGACACGCAGAGTGATGATTCAGCCTGCCTAAATCTGCAGCTAAAGATCCGCTCGAAACAACTCATCTGAAGATTCTCAAATGGATACTAGGCGTTCACAAGAAAGCTAATAACAACTTCTGCTATGGTGACACTGGTAGAACCCCCTGGACAGTTACCGTCATTCCCCAATGTTTAGCTTACTTCCATCGGGCATCCCTGGCGGTAGAAGGTAACGTGAACACTCTTTTGCACCACACCTTTCAAGAGCAAAAGGTACTGAATCTAACCTGGTATGATGCGTGGTCAACTATTGCCAAAATGAGTTCAGTCTCCAAGCCGCAGTTATCACCCACCCTAGACGCTTGTGAGTACATACATGAGACATTTGTTGACCATTGGAAGAGAGATCTCCTCAACCAGCCCAAAATGTCTTTCTACACAGCGGTTAAATTCGAGTTTGGCGAAGAACCCTACTTACAGCTCCCCTGCCGGCTTAAAAGGGTCAATATTGCAAAACTCCGATCTAGCAGTCACGATCTTAGGATAGAAAAAGGTCGCTACACCAAAGATCAACTCAACACAGCTCTTAAAACGTGTCGCTTCTGCTGCTCCTTAGAAACGGATGTCATACGTTTTTTAGAGGAGCTCCCCTTCTTTGAAACTCCTATTCTAGAAACCGAAGACCACGTCCTAACTGAGTGCCCCTACTACCATCAACTCAGGTCCAACCTCTCTGACAACCTCAAAAGCCTGTTGATGCTAAAAGAATATGGAGCAATAATGAACTCACCCCATATAAAAGAGTTCGGGAAGTACCTTACAGACTCCTCAAATCTACGTAATCCTCCTAAAACGTCCCTTAACCCTCGCAAACGGATGTAGTACTCGAACTTTATTTACTGTATTACCTTAAATTATTATAGACGATCTTCTTTTATTTTCGTGAAATTGTAAACGGTTAAATTTTACTATTTTTAAATGATTCAGTTTTGTTAATTTTATTTATTCATTTGTTCATTTATTCATTCTTGTATAGCCAAGACGAGTCCGTTAGTGTTCTCTCTGGTAATTTCATGTTTAATCCTGTTTAATCCTTTAATCCATCTCCCCGCCGTCTTGTACTTGTTATTGACAGCTTAGGGAAGTTGGCTCCAGCTTGTTTAGTGTTTATCTCTTTATTGTGTGTTTATAGTTACACGTGTTAATAGCGTGCTTATTAACAATACTGGAGTTGTGTGAACTATAAAAATGTTTTACTAAAGAGCCAAAGAGTGAGTGTTGGCGCGCCCAGTGAAGAGTGAGTGTTGGCGCGCCCAGGGAAGAGTGAGTGTTGGCGCGCCCAGTGAAGAGTGAGTGTTGGCGCGCCCAGTGAAGAGTGAGTGTTGGCGTGCTCAGTGAAGAGTGAGTGTTGGCGTGCTCAGTGAAGAGTGAGTGTTGGCGTGCTCAGTGAAGGCGTGGAAGATAAAATAGATATCGGATCTATGTATTCTTTCAAAAGACTAGCAGAAGGTGAGAAGGAGCAACCCGGTTTGATTTTTCTGAACTATGCATCTTATACTGGTATAGTATTGTTATCTATGTTTACCTATTAGTATTGCAACCTTTTTATCCGTGCTAGTTAATCAGGTTTAGGGTACCGGGCCATACTGTTATAAATATAATGGGCCGTTCCCCTAATGCAGGTCTTGTTTACCCA